CGGCCCAGAGCCTGCCGGGTCACGCCGCCCCAGGGGCTGCTCCGGCCGCCCAGCGCGTGGTGATGCCCCTGCGGGAGAGCGTGCTCAACAGCTCGGTGAAGACGGGCAACGAGTCGGGCTCCAACATGTCCGACAGCGGGTCCGTCAAGAAAGGGGGAGACAAGGACCTGCGCGTGGGGGACCGAGTCCTGGTGAGTGCGCCAAAACGAAATCCTCGACACTCGAAGCCGCCGGTCCTGACGGACGCTCAGATTTCCAGGCCTCTTGGAATCTCTGCTAATCACCCTTAGTCTCCTTCTTACGGGACTGCGTGTCAATGAGTGTATTTCCACATGTTTGGCTTGTCTGGAGTAAATAATTGGAATAATTCCCATCCTATAGGATATTTTCTAATGACGGTTCCCACCGTGCCATTGTGAAACCGTTTTCCAAGTGTGGCTTCATTCCACTACAGGAAACAGGAAAATGAAAATAGAAAGAAAATAGAAGTATTAAGAATTGTGTCTGTAGCAGCCTGGTGTAATGCAAGGGTCACTTTGCAGGGCCATTGGTAATTCCGTTTCATCTTCAGCAGTTTATGAAGTTTTTCGATTTAGGTCAGAATTATTGTCACACCCCTGCCTCCTCCCCATTTTTAGCTGAGATTTAAGGTGGTGCAGCATGCTCATACCTGTGACTCAAAGTCCTGTCTAAATTTCAGAAAACTGCTTTTCAAGAACATTTTAAAATGTTCGATGCAACATAGTCCAGTCTTGTTCCCTGTGCTCCTGAGACAGGCTCTGGTTTGCTACAGTATAATCTGTACTAGGAATACACAACTTTCAGTCAATGGATGTTTTAAATAGTGTATGATAAAATAAGTAATATTCTGTCATAATATTATAATATTATAGAACATATTTACACTATGTAACACTATCACGTGTAGTAGTCTAGCATCCAAACATAAATACAGGTGTCAGAAGATGTTTATAAGACTTACCTTACATAGGACAATTTTGGTTTCCTACAGCTGTGTTCTATTTTCTGCTTAATCCTTAGGGGTTGTTCTTGGTGAGCTGGAGTGTAAACTGACAGGCACACTCTTGGACAGGATATCATTCATCGCAGGGCAGAACTAACATGAATTCACTTAGACGGGTATACAGGGGGGAAATGATGAGATACGGATGAACCTGGAATGTATGCTTTTGAAGAGTGAGATGAAACAGCAGTAGCTGGCAAAAATGTGTACATATATATGAGGAACATGCAAACTTCACAGGGTTTATACAACAGACTGGAATCAGTTCCAGACTCCAAGACTGGTGAGACATTAATGTCTATCACATCACCATGCTACCCACTGATGCACAGTACATTCAATTTATTAAAACATGCAATTACCTATTAGGTTTTCCATACATTGTAGCCTACTGGCATACACATGTGATAAAATACATTACTTTCTACGTGACCCAGTCACAAGACAATTTGATAAAAATACCCTTTATATAGTCAGACTAACAGCTACAGGGTGGCTGCATGTACAACAGGAGTATGAGGCAGGGCATGATATACTGATTCCAGCAGCACACTCTCTGCCAAGCTAGTACACTGGGAAAGAGCGAGGAATCCACTTACCACCCATGGATCAGGTGCTCAAGAGGAGCCTTGTCCCACTAGTCCGACTCCAAGATTCCCGAGAGCTGATGCATTAGCTATCCTCACCACACTGCCTTTGGATTTTTATCCCATCCCTCCCCCTCTTCCCTAAAAGCCTTACTAGTGTCTGATCAATAGGACCTGTCCAGCTGGATTAATGACAAGACCACCCTGATGTCTGCTCATTGAATTACAGCAAGTGGTTTTTATAGACACATCAACCCGCTTGTTAGAATGAAGCGGTATGATTTCGTGCACCCTTAGATGCATGAGCAACATCCACAGACCCAGCAACCCGAGGCCCTGAAGCTTTAGAAGGTATCTGCTCAGGCACTGGCCTGGCTTACTGTAGTCAAACTCCTGAGACCTGAAGGGATCAGCCTACTTATCTGGGGGTCAAATGTTATCTTTACTGCATTCAAAATCTCTTGTATATTAATGCTGATTCAAAGTTCACCTTGATGTTTTTAGAACTGTTTCCAAGCACTTTCACCTGCAACAAAATACTCCACCCTATATACTCCACCAAAATACTCCTTACAATTCTATGCCTTTTCATGTTAAGACATATCTGACATTCATCTAGTCCTCACCAAGTCTCTATAGTAGATAAATTTTAACTAATGTGAATGGTAGGTACGTCTCTTTTCAGGCCATAAAGACCCATTGGGAATGGGGGACAAGGGCCACCATTTTTTCTCAACCATCCAACACTGGAGGTGGAGGTGATGTGGTCAGCAGATCACATCAGATTCTGTAGTATCTTCTAACAGATAATGGACTTATACAGTATGCAATTGCTCCTGTAAAATCCCATCAGACTATTTACTGAGAGCATTCTGATCAGCTTATTGATTGTCACATCAGTCCAGTAGAGCTGATTGAACCACTCTGTTTACAATATCATTAATCTTACTAAGCTACAGTAGCTCTCTCTGCAGCAAAATGAACTCCACAGTGTTCTGTGTCTTAAAGACGTGAGTTTTTAATCTTCTTCAGTTTTCATCCTGCATTTTGTAATTTTCAGACATTTGTTAAATAGGCCAAATGTTATATTTTAAAGTCAGCGTGCCTGTTTATAAAGCATTTAAAAGCATTTTCTGTGTTTGCAAAAACATATACAGTCCATACTGTATAGGTTTATTGCTAATGTAAAAAATCTTATTCTAACAAGCCAATGAAATGTTTTTACTATAGGAAATGAGTCAGGTCTGGACTAGAAGATCTTGTCAAACCAAAGAAAAAAAAAGATTCTGCCTGCAAACTATTCTCTGGTATTTCACACAGACCTATCTTATTTCCCTGACTGTATCCTACCCTCTTAAGGACAATCCAATGTCAATTAAATGACTGCAATAGAACCTCAAGTATTGCTTTTGTGTTCTAAAATAAGCCTAGCAATTACATTTTCTCTTTTAGGATATTAAGGAGGAATCACAATGCAAAAATTACACACACAGCCCACAAAGACAGGCATTTTTCTGCATTTACTGCACATCTGACTAGTTACAATGAATGCATTCCATCTTTTACCCACTAATTAAACAAAACTGCAAGCAGTACACTGCCAAATTGATATTTACTAATTTTACTGAGGACTGTAGTGCTTGCTGTAGTTATTGGAATGTTTTGTTTTGGGATGGAGCATTAAGGGTGTGCCAAAGAAGTGAGGTGGCCACGGTATTATTTAAAATGACGGACTTTGGCTGAGGATGCGAGAAAGTGGTTGATGTTTCCTGTTTCCAAGGCATTGTTTCTGTGAAAATGAAAAGCTTGCTGCTGCACCAACTTTCCTCAAAGTGTATCTTTACCTAAAGATTTTTTAAATACTAATAATAATTAGGTGGCATGGTGGCACAGTGGTGCCTCCCAGCGCTGGGATGCTGGGTGTATTTCCTTGTTTATCTGCGTGGAGTTTGCATGTTCTCCCTGCGTTCATGTGGGTTTCCTCCTGGTGTTTCATCCTGCAATCCAAAGACATCCCCCCAGGTTTATTTGCTTCTGGACTGTCAGAATAGGCTCCAGCTCCCCCCCACAACCCTGTCATGAATAAAATATATGGATAGATAATAATAAAAATTTCAGATTATGCACTGAAAGTAACACTTTACCTTATGTGGTGTAGACTTGTTTACTGTGAGTGTACAGTATGTGTACAGGACGTGTACAGTAAATTAACCCCATAAGTCATTTTACTTGATCATCTGGTATAATCTTCTGTCTGCCGGTTGGAGCACTACCAGCAACCATATAATCAATTTAGAACTTTTAGACATCTTTGCTGCATTTAAAATGCTTTAGGGTTTAAATACTTCTCTTCAATCAGTTCAATCAGAGTTTTTTTTCAACAGAGCTTTCTCCCAGGTCAGAGGGGTTTACTGTTAGATAACGTACAGCATGAAGATCTTAGTACAGCACTAATATCTTTATGAGAAGCATGTTATATCTTTATGAGAATCATTTCTGTGCAGTTGTGGCATATTCTGGCAGAGGAAATGTAAGCTCTCCTTTGTTTTTTCTCTGCAACAAACTCTGAGATACAGCAAAAAACAACTTCCACTGAAGTGCATTTGTGTAATTTGTAGGGGATTCTGCTGAGTGTCCCTTTGCCCAGTTCTCCTCAATCACGCTGACAGACAGTAAACAGGATGAAGCTAAGACTTACAGTACGCAGAGCTCCCTGACCGCAAATCACTGAACAGTGTCAGATCTGTTGATCTAAGGTGGATGTGGGGGAGAAGGGCTGTGATGTATATTCCAAGTCACCGATTGGTTTTTAAGATTTTGCTAGTTGTCTAAGTGGAACCCACAGGGATATTCCTACGAGAGCATTTTATTCATTCTCATATACAATTGTCCTTCTATTGAACATAGAAAGCTATGATCATGGAGAAACAGGAGGAAATTATATTCCAGGCATTAGAATCGGGTGAAGAAGGCTCCACAGCCGAAAAGTTGTGTTTTCTTTCTTCTCTTTTCAGCATGCAATGAACCTATTACTTGTTCCTTTGCAGCCTATGCATGCTGACGCAGGCACCCACCTGAACTATTAGAATAGATGACTCTTTTTGAACCAGGTAGTGAGCATGTGGAACTGACTGTGCTCACCAAACCATTTGATTGAAGCTGATTCACCAAAGCCTGACAAGAGACTTAAATATTCTGAGACAGGAAAGACCCAAGTTATCACACAATCACACCAGTTACTGGCATAGCTGTAAACCATAGGAAACTGGAGGGAAAGGCACTGGGTAACCCAGAATGCTGGCACCACTCTAGACATATTATTTGCAATATGCGATTACAAATAATATAACCTGGTTGACAGTATTTTCCATGTGTCATGCCAGTGTATAGAGTTACAACTAATACCCAGAGATATTGTAGGCATTGGGATTTCAGTGACAGTTTATAATACTTGTATTGTTATTTTTACAATACAGTCCTTCTCACTTTTTACAGGTTTGGATTTAAGCTCTAGCTGAGAGAACTAAGGTCACCTCCACAAGTGAGAGCCAGGCAGCAGCCAGCAAGGAAGCTAAACTGATTACTTCCACAGGCCTGATTGCTTCTTCGGTTTGGTTTTAATCAGCATTTGAGAAGTGAAGAAAAACCACTCTTAGGGCATGTCACTTTGTCAGCAGCCATCATATCTAATCCAGTCCAACTTAGAATCACCTCTCATCTGAAGTGTTTTTGGTATGTCTGCTCAGCAGTGGTTCAGAAGCTAATGGCAAGTGTCTGCTCCAACGAGCCTTTTAAACCCTTTCTACACTGCCGAATATTTTGTGTTTTGCTTACTTCTCAGTATTTTTAGTAGTGTCAAGGATTTTGTATTAAGATTATTTGCAGCAGGAGAAGGAAATACTTTCAGACCCTTAGGGGAAACGTTCATCTCCTGTTAACTGGTGATTTGTGGGTCAGGATATATTAATAAAACTATCAGCACAAGCTACAATCTGCTGGGAGAGACCTAGCAATGGCACAAACTTGACCTGATGAAAAGTATTGTATGTCATGTGTAATGTGCAGACAATGGAGGCTTTATCTTGAGTTTTATTGAGGAAAGGGAGAAGGTGACAGCAACAGTAAAGCAACAGTAATAAATTAAAAAAAAACAGTGGGGATGTTATCAGAAAAGATGCTATATGTTGTGATCACTTTCTATTAAATTATTCATGACCTGTTATCTTTTAAGTTTTGTTTCTCTAATGTCATGTTCATTAATAAAAGGCCTGAAATACAGAGATCTGAGCTCCATGCAAAGAGCTCACAACCTGATATTAAACCGCTTAAGTCTTATGCAACATAAAATGGCCTTTTAAGTCTTAACATCTGCTTTGCTACCATGCAAGCTTATTTCCATAGTCTCAAATAACTCACATTGCTGTATCAGACTGTATCAGTAGAGTTGTCATCGACTTTGATAAAAGGAATTCAGCAGTGTACAACCTTTATTTGATGTTATTTATTCATTTTCTGAATTCAGGATTTCCTTCCAGAATGTTGTCAATTATTTTGCAGTACTCTCTGTGTCACCTTGACATTAATGTAGCTCAGGGAAGGTTCAGCCTTGCTTTCTTGGCCAGTGTCCACATCAGGTTAGAGCCCTTCCCAAAGTCTTTTTGGTTTTGTTTAAATGAACTAAAAGTGGGAGGCGGTATTGTCAGCATTGCTGCCTTGCACTTCTGGGGCCCTGGGTTAAATTCTGGATCTGGCATGCTGTCTTCGTGGAGTTTGTACTGTACATTCTCCACATGTTCATGTGAGTTTATTCCTGGTTTCCTCACACAAAAACACACTGGTCTGTTAGTCAGTTAACTGGTTAATTGTGTTCAGGGAAAATTGCCCAGGTGTGAGTGTGAATGTCTGTGTCTGTGTGAGCTCTGTGATGAACTGCCTTCCATCCAGGCTGTATCCTTCCTTGTGCCTGTAGGCTCCAGCTCCCCTGTGACCCTGCATTGAAAGCAGAGGTTTGAAAATGATTGGATATACTTGAAATTTATCTTCAGAGCTTCCTAAGTATGTCTGACTGCTAACAAAAGGGATCCTATGAAATCCACAGTAATAAACCTGTGCCTGGAATCAGACTTGCCTGAGAGGCACAGCTGGAAACAGACTCTCAGTGACATCAGGGTGATCTGCAGGCTATTTTTACCACTGGGCTCTTATGAACAGCTTAACCTGCCCTTCACTTTCCCTTCCTGTAAGGGCTCGCCATCTGGAAACCACTGTATGTCCAGTGCCAGATGACATAACCACAACAGTACCGTGGAAGAGTTAGCCATGGTGTTATAAGCCTCCCAGGATGACGATGTCATCACTAGTAATGTGTCATTCGCTGGTCCTCCCAGTTCCTGGAGATTGCTCATCAATTGCGGCAAATGCCAGCTTGCATTATTGGTAGTTTCTTAGCTTCTGGAAGCAGATACCTGCCATCAGGGAACAAAAATATTTAATGTGATATTATGCAATTACTACAAAATTATCACGGAAATTCATTATCTCGTAATTATGAGATGCCAGTGATCAATTGAGCATATGAACAACCTATTGCATTGCACAATGACAGCACCTGGAATGTACTGAGAGCTCAGCTCAGCGTTTAGTGTTTATAACAATGTCCAGCACTGCAGAATTGGAATGGATGTGCCTTCGACTGGGGTTTATTCATACTGAAATGTTACAGTTTGTACCTAATGAGAACATAATCATTAAAGCCGTGAGGACTCTCACATATATCCTTTTAACTGCTTAAGACTGAAGGTCTTTTAATGATAATGTAGGTATTGTATGACAATTGTGCTATTGTGTGGTTATCACAGAAAGTATGAGATAATGTAGTCTTGCAATTATGAGGTAATACAGTACATGCAATATTTTGTCTGTTGTGGCAGCAATGTGCTTCTGTACTTTCTAGAGTGCGAATCATGGTAAGGTCATGGAAGCATCTTGTTGTTCAGTCACTGTTTTTACTGCTTTTTTATCAGCTTGGAGATATTGTCTAAATCACAGCTCTGCAACAACCTTCCCATGAACAGGAGGCCTGTGGAAGGTTCTTTTCTTACCGATTGGTTACTGCTTTCCTATCCCACCCCCCTGTCCCAGGTCACTTTCTGCTGGAACAAGCTACCTGCTTTGATATTAAACACAGACAAAAATCTTGTTAACATGGTGAAGTGTGAATTGCTGTCAACTGTATGTCATGCCTTAGAATCTACACATGCCTTGTAAACCAACATTAATGAGGTGTTTGAACTGAAAGTGATTTTTTTAAAGGCAGTCTTCAAATTTTGCTAGCTTACCTGTGAAAGCTTTTAAGGTCTGTGCTTTTTAACAGCAGACAGCCACATAGGTGACAGCTGGGATTTCCACAAAGTATTCTAGAATCTAGATCATCATCTTAGTTCTTGAAAACGTATTCAAATCTCACGTGTGATTGTTCAAGAAATATCTTAATTCCTATGCCTGGAATCGGACAAGCGCATACGCGAGGCTGTTTCACATTTGTCTGCTTTGTATGCATGAATGGATGATGAAGTCACAAATGGGAAAGAAAAGACATCTCTCATGTGACCAAAAACTCTGAATAACTTGATGCTGAATAATCTGAGCTCGTCTGACACCAAAGCAGTGTTGGCTGGTGTGTGTTTTTCACCACTGGTATGACTAGTGTAACTAGATACTGCAATGTGCAAATAAAATGTTCACAGATTAAATCTGCACTATTATATTTCTTTTAAACTTTCAGGGAGGTCTTTAGATTCTTATATTTCGTTTCACTGTTGTTTCCTAAAGATGATGGCCATAGGATTACAAATCAAGACATGATAATTCACTGGATATTTACTGGTGGACATGTAATAGAACTAACACAGGAGTTCATATTCTCATTTAAGTCTAAGGTTGTATACATGTCTTTTGAACTACGAAATTGAATGCAAAGCAGATTTGTAGTAATGATTGTTTTATATATATATGTGGATTTAATGTGAATTTCATGAAACAGCATGGTCCTGGGGCCAGAATGAGGGGCGCCACTACACATAAATGCTGAGACTGATTGTTTTCTTTCCTGGTGCCCTCACGGCCCTCTTTCCCTGCAGGTGGGAGGGACGAAGACAGGTGTGGTGCGATATGTGGGAGAGACTGACTTTGCCAAGGGGGAATGGTGTGGAGTCGAGCTGGATGAGCCTTTGGGAAAGAACGACGGCGCAGTGGCAGGAACCAGGTGCAGTGTTTTCTTTCTGTTATTATTAGTTTTGAATCTGCGACGGACTGATGTCCTGCCCAGGATGGACCCCGCCTTGCGCCTGTTGCTTGCCAGGTTAGGCTCCGGCTCCCCCGCAGCCCTGAATTGGATGAAGTGGTTAGAACCTGGATGGATGGATTTGTTGTAATCATATACAGTACCCACCCCATTTTTGTGAGCATCCCTTGTTTTAACATTCAGCTCTCTGGCAACAGCTTCTGCACCTGTGTGGGAGAGAGTGAGACCCACAGACCTGCTCCTCCAACACGCCCGCCTGCAGAACCAGCTTTGCTTAGAGCAGTGCAAGCTCCTCAGTGACTGGCGGGAGAATTTGAGCTGGCTGGAACAGCTGCACATCTCTAACAGGCCTCCAGCCCCCCGGACTGTCACAGGCATTGCTGAAAAGCCAAGACAGCCCTGGCTAACCATTCCCCACCCTACCCCTGCAGTGCTCCCTCTTGGAGAGCTCCCAGGCTTAAATCTAGGATAGGTCTTTAGTTGCACAGTTTTACATATGCAGCTAGCTTTGAAAAAGTAAGTCCTCAGACAAGAACTGGAGACTCATTCTTGTGTCTGTTCTGTGATTTTTGTGTCCTGCCTACTTTCATCGGGGCTGAAACCCCACCCACCGATGCTGACTCCCGTTTCCCCGTGATTGTGTGTGCCGTCTATCCAGGTACTTCCAGTGCCCCCCCAAGTTCGGCCTCTTCGCCCCCATCCACAAGGTGATCCGCATCGGCTTCCCCTCCACCAGCCCAGCCAAGGCCAAGAAGAGCAAGCGCATGGCGATGGGGGTATCCTCGCTGGCCCACAGCCCCAGCAGCTCCTCCATCAGCTCTGTCAGCTCCGTGGCCTCCTCGGTGGGCGGCAGGCCCAGCCGCAGTGGACTGGTGAGGGACAGGGGTGTCTTCAGGTCTCTAACTAAGCAGGGAGACAGAGGTTGTGTCTGCCACAGCTGGGAGAGCCAGCCTGTAGGCCTCAGGGAAAATGGTGTGATCGCAGTGGTCATGGAGGTCAGTCACATCCGTTATTTAATCAGGAACACCACTAAGATTTCTGAGGAGAATGAACAGGGAACATCGCTGGCTGCCTCTGGTTACATTTTTATATTGTTACAAAAACACCAGTCTTACTGCACAATCATCTGGACTAAAGACACTTGGCTGTATCTAAGTTAATATGACATGCCTCTTAAATGTGTTCATGTGGAAGATATTGGGTTTTTTTAAATTATCTTCAATATAATTTTTCATCGTTTTCATATTGAAATGCATCTAAATTACTGATTACTTGCATGTCATTTCTCTGTCACTCTTCTATGGTTCTTTCACAATAAACCACTTCACTGTGACTAAGAACCAATGTTAATGGCAAAAAGAAAGACCCATGCAATGCTGGTAACTGGCGTTTTCTTCTGTAAGTAATATCTTTAGACAAACACAGGCAGGTTAACATGTTGTTGAAATTGCACTGATTCAGATTTTTTGGGGGGTTATACCAATTCCTGTTCCTGTGTTTGCAGCTGACGGAGACCTCTTCCCGCTACGCACGCAAGATTTCAGGCACCACAGCCCTGCAGGAGGCACTGAAGGAGAAACAGCAGCACATCGAGCAGCTTCTGGCTGAGAGGGATCTGGAGAGGGCTGAAGTCGCCAAGGCAACCAGCCACATCTGCGAAGTGGAGAAGGAACTGAGCGTGCTTAAAGCTCAGCATGAGCAGGTAAAACTACCACAGAACACTTTGCAAAGGAGCTTCTTGGTTCAGGACTTTGCACTTGCTTATGACAGAGCTTCATGTCTCACCCTTAAGAAACACAGGGTAAAAAAATACCACAATCTGTGCATACAGGATGTCGCATAGTGCTGAAAGAAAAATTAAAGCATCAGGAATTAAATTGGTGCTGTTTTTTATAACAATTATTTCAGAACATAAAAACATAACAAAAATCATAACAATGCAAAAATATAAAAAGGAATATTTCCCACAGAAAAAAAGCAAAGAAGGGAAAACAGAAACAAGAGGAAATGAGCTATTTAAATAGACTTTGTAAATAAAAAATGTCCCTCTTTAAGCTGACAGTTTTTGCCCTACAGCAACGTGGTTTATCTGTACTTTCTGTAGTGAAACAAAATAAAAATATAATCGTTTTGGGATTGATATTGTTTAAGAAATAAAACAGTGTACAATCATGGGTTTACTGAGATTTGTTGACAGGAACATTTTACTCAAAATGAAATCTCTCCTCTTTCCCTCCCAGTATGCCACAGAGACGGAAGCCAACCTGCAACAAGTGCGCACCCTACTGGCCAGTGCACAGAAGGAAAAGGTGGAGCTCGCCAACCAGCTTGAAGAGGAAAAAAGGTAAGAATGGAAAGACAGAACCTTTTTTACACACCTTCACTCGGACCCTGGGGGACTTCCACAGAGGCTGAGGAGAATGCAAATGTATTTGTTGTTAAATTGCTGCATTTCTCAATGGCAGAAACACATTAATGGTGATTCATCGATTTCATATCTGTGCGATGGGCGACCGGGTGGCACTGTGGATAGCATTGCTGTTTCACAGTGCCTGGCCCCTGGTTTAGTTCCTGGGGTGCAGTCTGCTTGGAGTTTGTATGTTCTCTTGGAGTTCGTTTGGGTTTCCTATAGGTGCTCAGGTTTCCTCCCACAGTCCAAAGACATTCTAGGGGGTTAATTGGCTTCTGGGAAATTTTCCCCTGGTGTAAGTGTGTGTGTCCGTGTGTGTATCTGTCTGCCCTGTGATGGACTGGTGTCCTGTTCAGGGTGTGCCCTGCCTTGCACGCATTGCTTGCTGAGAGGCTCCATCTATCCTGCAACCCTGAATTGGAAGAAGCAGTTAGAAAATTAATGGATGGATGACTTTGTTCCCCCAAAATGTAAATATTTTTACTTACATCAGTGTTTATTCATAATTGTGATTTGTGTAGTTTACTTCTTTGAAAGTAAACTCCGAAGCTCAGCTTTTGAATGCCTTCCAGACATGCAGGCTGGGGAAATGGAGATCAGGTTGACTCTGCTTTGCAAGACAAGCTGAGAGACGTTTTGCAAGAGCCAGACTGGTCATACTTAATGCCAGCCCTAGATTTCAAACTCTGCAGCTGTACTCTGCTCTTTGTTGACAACCGGTGGTGATCTTGTGTTATTGCAGGAAAGTGGAGGATCTTCAGTTCAGGGTGGAAGAGGAGTCCATCACCAAGGGAGATCTAGAGGTATTTGAAACCTTTTCCATTCAGTGTGGCTGATTCAGCATCAGCATCTGCAAACCTCACCTGATCTTTCCCCCGTGCTGGACAGAGAGAAGATTATATGATATCCTGCTATTTGCAAGTACTTGTTTTAAAACCAAGCAGTAATCTGCCTTTAGTGTATATCTTCTCTTTAATGGAAATGATCTTTCCTAAAATGAAAAGGCAAATATTTACAGTTCTCACAAGATATAAGTAGTGGATAGAGCATTTCGTCACACAGTATGATGAGAACTTTATGGTCAGTGTTTCCCTTTAACAGCTAACTTTAATATTCTTTCCATTCCTTTACCGATAATTTATTACTTACACGATGTATGCAGAATTTAAACAGATAACTCCACAGATCTCCATATCATCATAGTGGTAATTGAGCTTCATTTTGCTGCCAAGCCATGCGCATGCAATATCTTTTACTGTAGCAGAAGGTCAAAGATCAGCTGTTATCTACTACTAACATTTCTGCTTGGTAATACATTGTTGAAAAATTAATCTGCTGAGTGTAAGCAGTGTGTCACGACTTTCTTCTTGTAGAACAGATTGTTCCTCGTCTAGCCTATGCTAACCAGATTGCATCCAAAGGGTTCTGTATCTTTCTGTGGATGTCATCAGTGCTAATGAAACGGCTTCCAGATTTCAGCGTCCCCCTCCTTCTCTTGCCTGACTCTCTTTCCTGTCTGTCCTCCTCTTTCTGCTTCCTCTGCCTCTCCCACTCTCTCTCTCCCCAGACTCAGACGAAGTTGGAGCATGCCCGCATACGGCAGCTCGAGCAGAGTCTGCAGCTCGAAAAGTCAAAAGCCGAGAAACTGCAGAAAGAATTAGAGGAAAAGAGGGTAACTCAAAGCAGTCCCACTGCCCTGGCTGAGAAACAGGCTGGCTCGATTGCTTTCCGTTTTGCTTTGTTTACTGGGGATTTTGCCTTCCATGCCCACTGCACATGCTTGCTGCTGGCTTGTTACCAAAAACCTGATCTCCAACCTTCAGCCTGCACCTCACTTCTGTTTGCAGATGTTTGGAATATTGATAACAGGGAGTCACATTGCAATGCTAAATATCTCCTATAGAGTACGTTGGACTCCTCGTGGATCATGTCCGTCTAAAAGGAGGCTTGAGCAATTTTTGGTTTTCCCTTTTCTATTTTTCCTCTTAATTAGCGAGGGTACGGGAGTATTTTCCATTTGCGCCGAGAGAAGGCTCTCACTTAATAAGGTGAAAACCACACCAACCTGTTTGTACTGTACATCTCAACAAAGCCTGAAACTTTTCAGTCTTTAAAAAGGCAGTTCACATATTATTTCTTTATTGATTGCCTCTGATTTTCCTACATTAATCATTGACTTCATTGACAATGACCTAAGTGATTGCCAAGCTCATCTTAACAGAACACTTTTTGGGAAGCCTTTGTCTTGAATGCTAGTTTTTCTGCCTGTTTGCAAGTTATGAATTACAAAGATGTTAGCATTGTAATGGACCAGACAAAAGCTCCCAAGAAATATTAGTCTTTGGCATGTTTCATGGGCATATTCATCACAGGCCTTCATATCGTAGCTCCAGATTGAGACCATCATACCCTTGGAGAAAACACATGCAATACAATGCAGACAAACAGTTCAATTACAGCCTTTTTGACAGTGCCTTTTACATTCCAAGACCACAGAAAACCTAGCAGATAACTACTTCCAAGTAGTTCTTCCAATTAAAACTCCCCTAGATTCATAGAATCCTAACTTTGCTGGGCTGAATCCTTGCTGTAATGACTGTACAGAGAAGTTATCTGACCAAGTATCACAAAGATTTATTACAAGGCAGGAGCGTGTTATGGACAGGAAGCCTGCAGAATTGTCTGTATTGCTGGGAACTGCAGTACTGCTTCTGTTTGCTAACGAACCTGAGCTGTTCATTAGCCATCCAAGGTTTGGGACAAAAAAATAAGGTAAATCTGCTGTCCCCCCTTTCTCCTGTCTTTTCTCCAATTCTGACTTTGCTTGCTTAAACCACATTACGTCATGTCAACATGCTGACACGTTACGTCACAAAGCTTATTGTCATGTCTGGTCAAAGGGATGCTAAATATCAGAAGGATAAGTCAGTTCTTAAATCTGTTCTGTTACCATTTCCAACTGCACGTCTTCTGCCACAAACCTTTCCTACCCTCACATGTAGTACAAGCCGGTACATTCATGCTGAATGGGTTTTCTTTTAGCAACCATTCGGTTTGTTTCAAATGCTTCTGCACTGGTTTTGTGGAAGAAGATCCAGTATTTCACTCTGTGTTGACTGCCTGCTTGGAAAGAGCTATGTTAACATGACTGGCTTGCTTGGCTTCTAGAACGCTTATTTCTTTGTGACTTGCTTTTTCCTATGCTGTTCTTGCTGGTCGAAAGTCAGATCTGCTCAAAATCCATTAAGGGTTTCAAACACAGTCTAAAGGATTCATTTTCTAAAAACAGGAACATTCTTCGAACAGGGAAACTATTCATAAATGAATGAATGACTGTATCTGTTTTTGTCAGTATTTTAATATTTGAAATAGACTTTAACAGGAGATTAACAGGAGATCATCTTGGGTTAAGTTAGAACCTGGTGGGGAAAAAATACTTGATTTTTCAGTATATTGCAAAAACCTAGTAAGTTATTCTGGCACAAAACAATAGGCAGTCTTGGTTGTTGTAACTCATAGCATGAAATTAATATGTATTTAGAGTTCAAAACTGTGTTTGTTATGTTTTGATTTAAAATGAAGCACCTGAGCATACATCTGATTTGTTTTGCAGTTTTGCTACTCCTCAACTGTTTGGAAACACATGCATTTGATTTGACACTCTTTTCTGATGTCAAACCCCTTCCCACATGTAATGCGTGTTTTCTTTATTCCCAGCAAACCACCGTGGAGGAGAAGAGCCGGGTCCTCCAGCTGGAGGAGGAGTTGGTTCTGCGAAAAGCGGAGGTTGAGGAGCTCCAGCAGAGGCTGAGGACCCCCGGCCTGGCTGATTCGGGAGACCCGGGGCCGGGGGTCAACACCGAGGCCTTCCTCCTGCGGGAGCAGCTCCTGGCGGCAGACCGCGAGCACCACAGAGAGAGCAGTCAGCTGCGGGAGAGATATGAGACAGCCCTGAGCGCCAGCCAGAAGGAGGGCGAGCGTCTGAGGACGGCCTCAGGGAAGCAGGTCCAGGAGATCAGCGACCTGAAACAGAAGCTTCAGCAGGCCACCCGAGAAAACATGGAGATGATGGACAGCTGGAAGTCCAAGCTGGACAGCCTGGTGTTGGACCACCAGCGTTCACTTGAAGATCTGAAGGTCTCCCTGACTGCAGACGGCACAGGTGGCCAGCACAAGGAGATGGTGGAGCTCAAGGCTGCCCTAGAAAGCCTGAAGATGGAACATCAGCTGGAGCTGGAAAACCTCAAGGCCAAACATGAGATTGAGATGGCTGTGTTGGTCAAGGAGAAGGAAGACTTCCGGGCCAGACTGCAGGAAGTGCGGGACGAGATGGAGGAAGGCAACGAAAACTGGAAGAGGCAGACAGAGGCCAAAGCTGGGCAGCATGCGCTGGAGATGAAGGAGGCAACCGACAAGCTGAAGAAAGCTGAGCTCCAGCTCTGTGACCTGGAGAAACTCCACAGTGAGTACAAGGAGCAGGCCCAGGCCATAGAGTTCCTCAAGGAGCAGGTCTCACTGGCCGAGAAGAAGATGGTGGACTATGAGACCCTGCAGAAGGCTGAGGTACAGAGCAGGAAGGACATGAGGACATTACAGGAGAAGCTGAGGGTGGCTGAAAACCAGCTACAAGCCATGGAGGCAGACCACACACCTCAGGATGCCAATGTAAGCCAGAATTGACCAAACCTGCAAGCATCTGTCTATCAGTCTAACCAAAAGGAGGACTTTACATAAAATTGACAATATTGTGTTATATTCAGTTATTTCCAATGATGTAGAAATGTGCTTTATGAGAGTTAAATTCATTTTCGAATAGGATTCGAATAGGGGTGAATAGCTTTGGATGTCCAGCTTGCATGAGAGCTGTGGGGGGGATGAGGGGGGTCTGTAATTAAAAAAGGACAAATGACAATTAAACTTAAGGACAGAGAAGGGGTGTCTAATGTTTAAGGGGACACCAGCAATGAAAAGCTTCTCAACAAAGCTACTGTTTCCTTTTAGATGATAGAAAACAATGACATCTCAGAAGAGAAGATTAAATTGAAACAGAACTTGGAAGGTAAAGTAATCAAATCTGTTGAATTTATGAGAATCGCCAAAAGGCCGTGGTTTGCCAGCGAATCGAGGAGCTAGGCCAGCAGCAGACCTGAACAGCCTGAGGGGTTTATCTTCAGGCAGCGTTCTTCAGGAGGAAACTAATAATTGGTTAAATGATGTAATCAGGAGCTCAAGTGGAACGAAATCCAGAAGAAATATCTCTCAGGACTCTAAGCCTTATCTATACCTCTTAGGATTGTATATAATTAGACCAAATTACCTTTAATTTGTGAATGAACCTTTTATGAGATATCTCATCAAAATCGTTTAGAACTCTTAATATATCATATCAGAAGCTCTTTATTGTTTGTTCGAAAAATTCAAAAGGGTAAAAAAGAAATTCCTTTTTTAAAACCATGTTGGCTGTCCCTTAAAATGCCATCATTTGATTAATATTTTTCTAGTTTTGCTTTACCAGCGACAGAAGTAAAATTGATTGCATGTTAGTTTCCAGATCTTGTAGTGTGCCCCATTTTATGAATTGGTCTTATATCTGGAATCCTCTTGTCTGTGATTGAATCATTTCCTTAGTCATAGCAGAAATATCCCACTTAAAGGTTTATGAACAACATCCCTCATTTCCTTAATGACAACTTGGAAAATACCTTCAGGCCCCAGTGATGTATTAGTTGTAATCTATCCTAGGCCCTGTAATCTCTCAGGATCAGTTATTTTAAAACTAAAATCTTGTTTTGCTTTGCCACAGTTAAACTTCCTGTGGCACCAATTTAAATAACGTAGCATAATGCAGTCTGGACAGAGCACTATGTACTCCACTAAAAATGAAGCCCTGTCATGTTTGTCTTCTTCCCACAGAAGCCCTGGAGAAGCTCACAAAAAGGGAAAAGGAAGTGTCCTCTCTCACATCCCAGGTCGACGCTCTCAAATCCCAAGTAGCTGGTAATTTCTTCTGTCTGTCCTGCAGTACCTTGTATTCTGCTATTCCATCTGATTCCAGTCTCAGCAGGGACAAAACTAGAAACTGACCACACACCACACACAACACGATAGGATGTACAGCAGCAATATGGAACACGGTTTTTAAATGGTAACTAACTCAAAAGTAGATCAGGAAGATAAATACAGAATGTATTGAGGCCAGTGCATTCCTCAGTATTAGTGACTGTGAAGTGAGTGCTCTATATTGTAGGGTGCACACGCTGGTCCTTTGAGTGTACAGTATATCAGAATTTGATGATTTATAATTTAATAAACAGAGCCATTCTTTGCCCCATATGTGTGTTCTAGAAAATGGCCAACTTTATAAAACTCTGTTCTCAATCAAGCTCTGTTGTTCTCCCACAGGCCTGGAGAGCAAGTGTCGATCTGGGGAAAAGAAGGTGGACAACCTTCTACGGGACAAACAGCGGATAGAAAAAGACCTGGAGGCTATTACCAGGAAATCCCATGATGCCTCTGGACAACTGGTCCTCATTAGCCAGGAGCTGCTGAGGAAGGAAAGGTGAGTTTTTCCTTCCTCAGTTTTGTTTTCCTTCCTGAGGTTTCAACCTTTTCTGTGCTTCTGGGGTGTGATTTCTGTGTAACTCTTGCGTTGAGGTCCAAAACCCTCACCTGGTTATTGGAACCCTACTTGAAATAAAGGAAAGTAATTGAAACATATTACCTGCCACGTCAGGTTTTTTTTTTAACAGAGTAAATCCATAAAATCCCACGTATCACTTGCCTTTCATTCTTATTTTCCTTGGCTGAGATATATTCTTCTTTGTTTTCCCACGTTCCCTTGCAGACTTTGTATCTGAGGAGACGTTTAAGCCTGGATCATTCTGTGACAGATTAGGCTGTGTCTGCAGAATTCATCTTGGTTGTTTAGCAAGCTGTGCCACGTTCATTCCAGCAACCTTGAATCACCTCTTTGCATTGTAACTTTCAGGCATTATTGAACGTCCTGCCTGCCAGATTCCCTCCACTTTGTTTAAAAGCAGTTAAGGTAATTAGGACACTTAGTCTGATTAAAGCTTAGACTAAAATGTCAATCTTCGTCTTAATCGATACTCGCTTGGTTCAGCATGTTTTCATTTTGGAGAAGGAAAGGACAATTCTAGGTTGCTGATTGCAAAGCAATTTAAACTAAATATAATGAATTATAGGCACATACAGTATCTTAAAAGCTTCCATTTGGATTGTGGGAAGCGTTCTACAGTCTGAGGACCATATTGTAGAACTAGCCTGTGTCAGTCGCTGATGTCGGTCAGGAGGTCACTCTTTCGTCACCCAAAATTATCTGAGCAGTGATCAAGCTAGGTTGCATTAAAGGTAATCAAGGAAAAGATTGAATTCCTTTTAGCAATAATGCATTTATTAAGAGATAGTGTTCCATAATCTACATTGTGAGAGGAAGCCATCAGCAGAACACCCACACATCTCTCTCAGACAGGTGTAGGAGTGTTGTACCAAGTCTCTTTTATCAGTGAGGCTTTCAGTAACAGGACCTGATGGATTCATTTTCCAGCTTTGCTAAATATAAAGTTATAAGTTTATTTCCATCGATGATCAAGACCGTCGTAACGTCTAACATTTGACGAGCCAGCTGAATGTTGTCCCAGGATCAAATGCAGCCTGCATCTTTGAGAGCGACAGTATGGATCGGTAACCATTCTTAGACTCACAGGGATGATCCGTCTGCCTGTGTCTCATTCCCAGAAGCCTGAACGAGCTGAGGGTGCTGCTCCTGGAGTCTCCGCGGCACTCCCCTGGCCTGGACAGGGACCTGGGCCGCGAAGTGCACAAGGCGGAGTGGAGACTGAAGGAGCAGAAGCTGCAAGAAGACATCAAGGGCCTGAGAGAGAAACTACTGCTGCTGGTGAGGCTGGGGGACTGCAAAGTTGGGATCACTAAATATTTAGTGGTGGAGCACTAGGATGTTAATTATCCCTGTTCCTTAGGCAGAACACAGGTCTTCATTGTTGACTGACATGTTGCGAATGATAACTGTCAGTAGCCAACGGCAGTGTCTTTACGGGGAACACTGGAAAGGAAGTAATTACCCACCATACAAGCTGCTTTGATATACCTTATTGTGCTTTAAGATTGTGCTCAACCTGAACGCTTGAGTGATCAGAATTGTGGAAGATTGCTCGTTCTTTTTTATTGGCCGTTTTACAAATTTGTCAATAGATGTCTGGAGACATTTACAGTACGTATTTAAAACCTTGCTCAGGATCGGGAGAAGTCTTCTCCTGACCACCGCCGGTACTCCATGATTGACCCCTCGGCCACGGACACGGAGCTGAGCCGTCTGCAGCAGAGGCTGCTCAGCACAGAGGACGCTCTGCGAAACGCGCTGGAGCACAACCAGCAGGTGGACAAGCTGGTGGAGGCCATGCGGACTCGTCCGGACAAGACCCAGGTAACCTGGGAAGGCTACTCGTCTTGTTTATAGGAAGGCTAGAAATGAGAGGAGGCCATTCAGCCCATCTAGCCTCTATGGGAGAGAATAGTTATTGACCCGGGAATCTAATCTATCATATCTATAATATATATAGCCATGACTGGCATATTCTCACAACCCTAGGGGGTTCATATTCTGGATATACAGGAGATGCCAGTGTCAGTAGCCAGAACTCCTGGGTTGGGGAGTCCTCCCTCATGCCTAAAGCTGTGCATGTCTTCCAGGCTTTGGGCAGCTCAAATTCTGCCAATGGGATTCACCAACAGGACAAGCCCTTTATACAGGAGGTGAGTAAGACATTACCAGGGTTTGGAGGCGAACACTCCAGTCCTCTTCCACATGGGCTCTCTCTTAAAATGATTCAGCTTGGAAAATATTCACTACATGCAGTGTTACAAGCTATTGAGCATGTGAGTGTTCATATTATCAAAATAAGAGTGGAATACTTGCCACTAGTCAGAGAAAAGTCACATGGAAGGCTATCCAACTTGTAGTCAAATCTTCAGGCAGCATTTTCTGTTCTTGGATACTAGATATATTGTACTGTGTTTTTATTATTATTTTAATTTATGCTGATTTAAAATCTGTGGATATTTTATGTAGATGTACTGTATTACTATTTAGCAACTGCTCACTGCTGATGAGGGTCTTGGTGGTCACAGGCTGAGCAGAGCAGACCAGACTGCCCTTTCCCCAGCAACAGTGTCCAGCTCCTCCTGAGGGGCGGTGCCTACAGTCTGGGGACTTAATCTCATCAGAGGTGGCACAGTGATGCAGTGGTTAACATTGCTGCCTCACAGCACTGGGGCACCGGGTTCATTTCTGCACTTTCTGCGTGGGGTTTGTATGTTCTCCCCATTTTGGTGTGTTTCCTCTGGGTTCACTGGTTTCCTTCCACATTTCAAAGACAAACAAATAGGTTAATTGGCTGCTGGGAAAATAGCTAAGAACTAACTTACTGTATGTGGTATCTTTCTGAATTCATTTGACTAAATTATCTATAAACCATTCAATATGTTTGATTTCCAGGAAAAGCACTGATAAAGGAAGAGAAGGTGACAGGAAGAGAAATCAAGTCACATGTCTTCAAACTCGAGTCTCCAAAGGCATCTTCAGAGAGACTAGCCTCACACTGGGACAGTGGAGAATTGCTCTTCTGACTCACTGGCCTCCTGAAGTTGCTTTAAGGCATTTTCTATTTCCAGTTTTACCAAAATCCTGGGTCTGTGGTTTAGTATTAAGAAATAAGTGATCACCTTTTTGATTCCACAGACCAAACTAAATAGCGTGAAATCTCACATCCACCTTGATATTCCTGAAAACTGTGATGGATCAGACTTTTTCAGGGTACAGTTCTCCCCCACCATAGTTTTCAGATTTCCGACTGAGAAGCCTGGAAATTCAGATGAGCTCTAATGGCATTAGTACTGAGTCAGAAAGCTGGATCCTTGTTTGTCTCACAATTGACACCAACGACTGGAAGAGCTATCCCTTCCCTCTCCAAGAGGTGTAAATTGATACGTGCGGGTGTGTGTGTATCACCAATCACTGGGGCAACCTCATCATTGGGATGGAATCAGTTTAATCAAGATTTTAACTCACACTTGTATTTTATTTATTTCTTGCAATAGTGAAGCACTTTTCAAGTGTACTCTTCTTAATCTTATCTACATGGGCATGAGATTGACACATGCAGATTTAGAACAACCTGCAAACCTTTACTTTGTCTACAGGAGCTATGAGGCCTAACATCTTTTCCAGTTGGTTCTGTATCTACATGTGAATTATTTTTGAGGTACTAGATTTGTCTGAGACTCTGTTTTATAAGAGTTGAAATGTTACTGTTATGGACCTGTGCATAATGCTTTATCCAGCCTGAACTGAATTCAGCAGTGGAGATGAACAGTTTATTCTAATAACTAACCATTCTCAACTGAACTCCACTGAACTCTGCAAAACTCTGTGCTCGACTTGACACTGGCAAACCACTGCAATTTTGTAATCTTAGAAACTGTCATAGGAAGGATGCCTTTTAATTTAAAATGTCAGTATTAATTGAAAATCCTTTAGTTCTGAACCTTAATTAATGGGTAAATGTCTTAATGTGAAGGGTAACCAGGTAGCCAAGTCATAATCTCATCTAATAGTATGGCACCAAAATTTCAACAGAGTCTATGCTTATATGTCTGTCTTTCTACATTCGGGGATGTTCTACACAAAAGTGGGCATTACAGTACATACAGTACAAGTGAGCATCATTCCTTTCAGGAGGCAGGCTGCCATAAACATGTTGTGAGGGAATAGGATTACCTCCTGAATGGCAAGTAAAACTCTTGTAACATAACAGTCTAGTGGGCTTATTTTGGGCCAGGATTGCCATTTGGTCAGGTGGGGCATAAAGGAAACACGGGAACAGAAGTGCCAGGAGGAACCCAAATTCTGATGCCCACCTCCTCCCCCATTCAACAGGAACAGAAGGGGGTCCTATGTGTACCCCTCACCCAACTATTTGGTGAAATGACGCCAGTCCAAATAAAAACCCAAAAGATGCAACTCGCTTAATTTATTTTTGCTCCAGAGAATACGAAGACTGCAGAAACATAAGAACAGTTCCAAACAACAGCAGGCCATTCTGCCTAACGAGCCTGTTTGGTAGTTAGTAGCTAACTGATCCAGGGATCTCGTCCAGCAATTTCTTGAAAGAAGCCAAGGTGTCAGCTTGTACCACATGGCTGGGTAGCTTGTTCCATACTCCCACAACCTGTTGAGTAAAGAAGTGCCTCCTGTTCTCAGTTTTAAATGCACCTCACAGTTGAAAGAAAACCAGGAAAAGTTACTAGCAGCTGGATGCAGAAGACAACGAGCTTAAAAGACTTTGGTTTATCATCTTTTTATGATAATTGGAATCTTGTGTTACGAAAGCTAACCATTAACATTTTGTACAGCTCCCATTCTGTCTTTCACATAGCAACACTATTCTCTCATGAGGTCCTGTGATGACATGTTCTTACATGCAGCTTCTAGTACCTTCCAGAATTCATTATGGGCTAATGAGCTCCAGAAGCGTTGAATTAAATTCTCCAGAACCAAGATGCAAGAAATTCATCTGTCATTGATTTGATAACAATCAAATATGTAACATCTTGATGAATCTGTGAAGGAAAAGGAAAAGATGTCTTAAACTTGAAACCAAAAGGGAAAACCTAAAACCAAGGCAAAATGACAACAGTCAGAGAGCAGGGGTATCCCTAGTCTGGAATTTAACGTATCTGTAACTCTGAAGTCAACCAGTTCAAGATCGCAGATGTAAATCCTGTCATTTCCTATGGTACTGTATCTCCACAAATCCTAAGACTCCTCAGCTATTAAATGTTAAAAGTAATGGACAATAAAAAAGCTGCTGTGTTTTATGTGCAAGGTTATTGTTTTTTGTTTCAGTATGATTTATGTGTGAATGAGTGAGGCGATGTTGTGCACCTCTTAGTTTCCCAGCTCACCAGATGCACATTTTTAACTTCATTCCCATGATTCCTGATTGTCACTTGCTGATTGTAGGCTCTATATCTCAAAGGCTTTCACTAAAGCAAACAATATGTACAGTCAAAAATACTGATCCAGTAACCTTTATTCTTAGAAATAAGGATGCTGTTATAAGCTTATTATTTGTAATGTAGCTATGTAGTTTCAGAGAAGAGGTAATTGTTAAGAAATTGTGAAAAATGACTGTAAAATCTACAGTATATTGGTCATCCATGATTAAGGTTAATTTTCTTTTTGTTTTTATATGCATAAAAGAGATAACATAAAAGTGGTATACTATATATTTTCTAAAAAAAAAAGTGAATAAAAATCCTAAACCACTACCTGTAACATCAATGGCATATTTAGAATGTAGGGAGGAAAGGATCCACACCCTCTAAGTGAAAGTAAGTACTGTAAAAAATAGTTTCCTTCACGCTGGAAATAATCAGCTCTGTTTCTTAGGCAAACGTTTTTCCAAGGGAAGCAACCTGTTTAAACTGAGCCACAGATCAATAATGTTTTTGTGCACTTCCAATTTAAAAATATGATTTTATCTATGGTGAGGGGTAGGAATAAAACATTCTGTTTTATAAGTGGGATAAGAGATGAGGGGTCTCCAGTTAACTGGAATAATATAAGGATCTTAGAGCTTTTAGTATTTCAGCTCAGTTTATTTGTTGTACTGTATACACAAGTGCAATGAATTACACCTTAATGTTTTACCTAATTTTCTGGGCAATAAAAAACATATATATCCAGCTTTTTATATCACAAATGTTACAGACAAAAGACTTATTGTTGCTTGTTTATATTGTTGCTTTTCTGTAATTTTTTAAAAATATCAAATTTAATTAGAATCTATACTTCTATACACAAAGGTAAATTAGTAAACAAAGGTGAATTTGTGAGTTAGCTACCACATACTTGCTTGGGATGGTAGTCCTTCAGTGAAACCCAGACTGCTGCTCCAGGTCATGTTGGGGGACAAGCAGGAGGTGATGTCTTCCTACTGGACCACAATTTCCAAATTATGTCCCTATGTGGTGTCCAGAGGCACTGGGCTGTGGAGGCCGTCCTTAGAATAAGATGTTAAATGAGGTCCTGACTTGTTGTTCATGGCATTTTTCAAAAGAGTAAGGGTTTTAACATCTCTGTCCTGGGTGAATGTTAAGGGCTTCTACAAAATGGCCTTCCTTACAGTATGTCAACCAGCTGAAGCAAGCTCTTTTTTCTCCACCTGAACTGATCGCTAGAGATTATTATTAACAGCTGAGGAGGACACATTTTTTGATTAATGCCCTCTAGCTCCAATGCTTCTATAAAAACGCCATTGATCATTTGACCACTTAAACCAAATCAGGATGGAATCAGTTAAAGACTACACCAGTGAGAGCCATGTGAATTATTGTTCAGTTTGTATAATATGCATTAACAGCTGCAGTGCACTCACAATTCAAAGATATACAGTAAAAAGACTAGAATTTATATCAAGTGCTTTGCAAAAACCTTAAAGTGTTTAGAATCTAAAGCTTTATTCAGAAACTAGCCTGTTAAGTCATATTGTAGAAGCGGAGGTTCTTGGGGTGCTGTATGGTTGTTACAGTGCACTTTCTGTAACATATCCGCAGTTCATAAAATTTGGATTGCACAAGACTCGGATTCGCGGAACTTCAACATATGCAAATTTCCTTCCTTGCTCGTTTCATACAACCACATGAAGAGACCAACCATTTAACTGTAAATCGCTCAGTTTGTCTATATTTCAACATGCATGTTGCAAAATTTAAATTGGCAATTGATGGATAATAATCGTCTATATCGATAATATATTTTTCGTTGTTATACGCGTTAGCAAAAAAATATTCAAACCCAAATTGCGTCTTTTGCTGCTTTTAATGCAGTTTACATATTCATTTGGGATCGTTAAAAGACACAGCTCTTCCTACGCCTTAGAGGTACTGCAAATCTAATGCTGCAGATGAAAATCCTGCCGTCATACAAAGTATATATCGGTTGCTTCTGGCATATTGTTACCTAAGATAAACAGCTACAAACAGCACAAGGAATGCAGTTTGAAATCTGAGTGCACGCATAATTGGGATAACTTTATTCACGGCTGTAGCGTAATTGAAAAGCCAGATAATTCTTTTTCTGTAATACCATGTGGAAATATTTGGAACCTGATTTTGGGCAAGTTTGAACAAACAGTGTACCCAGGGCATGGCTCAGTGGAACTCGGGGCAAAATTCCAGTTGGCCGCAGATTATAGCTCAGACTCCAAAGAGATAAAGAGACCACAGCCAAAGCGAAGATCACATGTTGTAACTGGAGCGTGTCAATCCTAGCAAATAAACATTTTTTGTTAAATACAGAATAATTTAATTCAATTACTTAAGCACATACGGAACCCCTCGAGTTAATCATTGTATCGATATTTCACTAATGTTCTACGAATTATATACTGGCACAATTAAACAAATAAAGTTTCGCTTTCACTTTTTTCTTCCACGGAAGTTTATTTTAAAAATCACCGTGGGAAAACAATTCAAACGGGATTGAAAAACATGCCTTCAGGTCACGCGGTATGTCACCGTTGTACAATTGTATGACCTCCAATATTAAAATTGTATGTTAATATTAACTGCACACACACACACACGCTCTTAAAGTGATAATCTGTAATCTGGGCATAGAAATCTAGTTCACAAAAATGCAGTCAAATCGCCCCTCATATCAAAATGAAAACAGACCACAAACTGAGCCGTGTTGGGTTTTTGCGTTCAGGACTCGCCTCTTGCAATTAATAATTTTAGGTGGAACTGGTTTTCTAAATAGGGAGATTTTTTTTTGTTCATATGGCAAAAAATTCCCACTTCACGTCCAGTTTGTTTCCCCCACGGTTTTGCAGGGGTTCCTTAATCCTATATGTAAATTACAGCCAATAGATGCTGTTGTTGAGTTGGGTTGGGATTAGCAGAGGCGAATGAGTTTCAATTTTACTGGATTACAGAACAAAGACGGGAAAGGGGACACGCTCCTGCGTTAAAGAAAAGAGAAAGAAAAGGGGCATAAGAATAATAATCCACCAATCGGGATTTATCAGATTGCCGAAAACCAAGAATGCTTCGGATTATCGCGTTTCGGGAACACATCGCTGGTATATAGAAGAGGTTGAAAATCTATCTGTTTCAATTGGATTAAAAAGAAGAAAACACCGCTGTGTGTCTCGGGATTGACAGCCCAGGGAAATTAAAACGGTCTTTTCGGTAAGCGCCGGACGCGTCTCTCGCTTTTTAATGAATGAAAGAAGCATAAAAAAATAAATCGGGCGAGCACGTGACTTTTCTTGAAGGGTATACAAATTGCGAAATTACAGATTATAATTCTGGGGGAGGGGGAGGTGCGGGGTCGATTATGTAGCATTGTTTCTTACAGGCAGGTCGTCTTCGGCGAAAGCAACGACAAATTGCGAGTCCAGGTTCATTTTCCTTTAGCGTTTTTGACAGTAATGTTTGTCATCTGCCGCTGTGTCCGTAAACTAATGTGCGAGGTTCACATTTCTTATCTTGACCCCGATGACAGCGCTATTTCAGCTGAGGGAAGGGAGGAGGTGGTGGGCTGGCTACTTCTGGTCATTGTTTTGTAAGAAAGTGACATTCGCGGCGGTCCAGATTAAACCTGCACTTTTCCATTTCGCGTGCGAAACCTGCACGACTCGTCCTGTGCTGAATGAAATAACATCTCTGACAGCGTTTCTGGGAAGTGTTACGGACGAGGAGCTCAGAATTAAGATTTCTCTTGGTTGTGCCATGATTGTCGCTGTAAATTTGTTCGTTTTAACTATTGCTCGTCTCGTAGTTGAGTAATAAATTACTTCATTGGTAACAGTACTGCTTCCATTATGATCTTGCACTACTGCTAGATGGGTATGTTTACACTCTAGAAATTAAAAACCTGGAATATACACTGATTTCAAATAGCGCTGAAAATATTTTAAGATAGCAGATTATGAATGAAAAGACGTTATGAACTACTGTACATCTAAATACATTTAGAGAAGGATTTCATTAAATCCCAGCAAACCAAGGAAGGTTTTAGTAAGCAGTGCAAACTGCAATTGTTTTGCCTAACAAATACATTGCATGGAGCTGTCAAATAATTATAATACTCTATTTCAGTATTTTCTTTATAGTCTCAAAGTTTTTTTAATCTGCTTTGAGATCTGGCTTTGTTTCTTAGCGGTGTACATTTTTGTGCAAATTAAAAGGCATGCCGTTAAAAAAAGCTACTGATTTCTGGCTGAGTAAAGTCCATATCCGCTGGAAGTTGTGAAAGAACTGTGCACTTGTGTGTGGATTCATTGCATGTGAATGTTCCTTGTTAAATCAACAAGGAGCTGGTCAAAATGTAACTTTGTTTCAGGTTCAGTTTAGATAGTTACTATCTTGTGGGTGGTGGGGATATAAATTCATGGATTCTCCAGAATAATTACTATGTGTTCATTATGACTGTTTCCACTTTTAAGATGTGTCTTAGGGTCAGTGAAAACATCGCTGGGGAAATGCTGTTTGTTACAAATAGGTACTATATTTGTCAACAAATACTTGTTTAGCATGTAGGTTCTATATGGAGTTTCTGCAAGAGAGAGAAATTCTGGTGTAATACCACAAGACACAGAGTTCACCAAAGTTTCAAGAGGGGCTCCACTAAATTAGAGGAAGCATCTACAAAAGACTCAACATGAACAGCATCATCAAGGAGTCGCAGTCATTGACCAGCCAGCTAGTTGACTGGTACCGTATAATATTCCAGTTGGCAAGATACATATTGGATGATTTACTATTCCAAGAAGACAATAACTCTATTCACACCTGTTATGAATTTAGAATTATTTTTAATGTAGTGTGGAATTACAGGGTTGTGGACCAAAAAATTAAACCACTTTTGTGGTTAGAGATTTTTTGTAAAGCCAGAGCTTACACCCAGGTGTGGCTCCTTTGTTAAATAACATTCTAGCATGCTTAGGGTGAAGTTAAAAAAATGCTGTACAAGCCTGGTGGCCTATAATTATGGCTATCATAGCTGGAAGAGGAGAACTCTGTGACTTTGAAAGAGTTGTGATTGCTGGGGCGTTTGGTTGGAGCTTCAGGGAACGAGACAGCTCAGCTTGCTGATGATTCATGAGGTGACGTCAACATGCAACTCAAAAGGAAGACACCATCAACATAGGGGGGGAAAATGAAATGGACAGCAGTGTGGTCTCCAAAATTGCATAATATTAAAGTGCAAAGCAAAACAGGTGAGCAACTGTAGATCAGTTGATGGCAAATTGTAAGATGGGCCAGTTCCCATAAAGAATGGTCCACCAAGAGCTCCACAGAGCAGAATGCCATAATCAGGTTGCAGTGCACAAAAAACTGCTCATCACAGCTGGCAATGCACATTAGCAAGTCCAGTGGTGCATAAAGCACAGGAAATAGACTATTGAGCAGTGATCTGGTCAGATGAATTATCCTTCACAGGGTTGTTGACCAACAGATGAGTGCACATGTGGCACCAGTCTGAAGGACTCTCCAGTTCTGAGTGCTTGATCCTAACAGTGAAGGATGCTGGTGGTTCCATCATTTTGTGTTGCACATTTTGTAGGGATAATGTGGATGCTCTTTCCCATAGAAGATGGTAATCTTTCAGTAATAGTACTGAGCGATCATCTTTACTCCCTGTGGCAGGAGGAGAAACTTCCAGAATGACAATGCCCCCATTCAAAGAGCATGAGTAGTCTCCCAATGGGTTGATGAGCATAGCACAGTCACCAGTTCTGCTACGAGTTGAGCATGTTTAGGATATTCTGGAATGAGGCCTGAGACTTTCTCATCGAAGAACAGTGCCGCGTCCTTCCTGCAGAATTCCAGATGCTGGGAGACTCTATGCCACAGCACATACAGGCCATGCTGGAGGCACACAGCGGCCCAACACCCTACTAAATCACTTGACATTGGTGCTTCCTTTTTTGTGCACTGCCTGTAGATGAGTTTGCAAAAATGTAAGACTTTTTGTCATGAGTCAGTACAGCCCTCACAATATCAAATGCGGTTTCTGATAATTTTGCTTATCTGGTTTTGCACTTTTAACTGGCATGTAGAGAAGTATAACCTCTGTATCTTCTCATAGGCAAGTCTGTTGTAGAGGCTTTTTTTTAGATCCCATTTTTTCTCTCTGAATTAGGACATTTTGTAAAGCACTTTGATATCCTTAAGTGTAAGTAACAGTCAATGATTAGCACAAGGTTAAATACTTTAGGTATTAAGTGTTATTAAAAAAGTCTCATACCCAGAATCTCTTGTTGAGGGTATTAGAAAAGTATTGTATATTAACAGCAATGAGCACTGCAAGCTGCTTAGTGAAAAACCTCTCAGAAATCCATGATACCCTCTTTGAGACCACAGTGATATCTCTGCACACCATATGGGACATTGCTCAGTGAGTAATGAACAGATTGCAGACTTTCTCAGGAATGTGCAGTAGTACCACACCAGCTTTGAATGTCATCAGAAATGTGATCATTCCCTATGAATCGCATTTGGTTGAATGTTACCATAAATTACATAATATACTGTATTTACTCAAAAGATCTAAAATTGTGCACAGATGCTAGAGTATCCGATGTCCTCTGTGTGAATAGGAATATTTGCTGGAGTGTGGAGTTGAGTCAGTGAGCAAGCTGAAGTGGAATAAGCAAGAGGTTCAATCCATGCCGAAAAGTTAAAAGACAAGAAATTTACCTGCGTTTCAGCTTAGGAGAGCTCATTAGGTGAGCTGCTTTTCTACACCGCTAAAGAAGGCTTTACAGACAGAACATTTTATTTTTCTGCCTCGTGATTTTTTTAGTGTGAAATTCACCTCTACTTGTCTCTATGAATAATTATACTTGCAGCACATTTTTAAGGCTATAATTTACATGCATTTTAATACACCGAACCTAACCCAACCCAAAGCAGAAATGTAGTTGCAAACAAACCAGATGGAAAAATCTTGCACTGGTCCTAGAGAGGGCTGTATTCTAGTATTAACAGCTGTTACCCGCATATTTTTAAAAGACTTTGGGAGTCTATGCTGAATATAGAAGTATGGATTATTAAGCAGTGTTTTAGTTGCAAACTGAGCTCAGAACTAGCCCTGTTTTGTGTGCCCAGCACATTTCTTAACACTTCTCTGAAATGAGATTGATCTCAGCTTTAAATTATGTGTTGATGCCTCTGTTGGAGAAACAGTTCTACACAGATCGTACTTAACCTTCAGTAACTCCACGAATCCTCCTGAATTTTAAATTCCTATGAACTGCTTTAATGATGCTATTTTCACTCTGATTTTCAATGAGAAGGCTCACAGAAGATGAAACTCACTGAAGCGATCACTTGTTTTGGTTCAGTAAATGTTTTGGGGATTGTAATGTGGCTGTGCCATCTTCAAACCCACAGATTTCAAAGGTTAAAAAATCCAAACCTTTAGCAAATGACCCTTAATGCTAATAAGTGACTTTTAGAGGAGATGTTGAATAGGTTAAACATAAATGTGTACTGTGTAACTAAAACATCCAATGCCTTTTTAAAACAAAATGTACTACCTAGATTTTCAATGTCTGGTAGTAATTCTGTACAGTAAGTTCCTGATCTGCTCTCTGCAAAGATAAATTCTTGTGAATGACTCTCGTTCCCTACCCATGATTCTCTATTTATGCAGCCTTAAGCTATGTTGCCGTAAACTATACTACATAGAGAAGAACCTTTAGTCCACGTCAGTACTGGACTTGGGGTGGACATTTGGACTTCAAAGATAACTCTCTGTTTTGTAAATTAAGTTGGAATTTCAAACAGTTTCAGTAAAAATAATAAATGGGAATAGGGCTAAATAAATATAAGAAGGAGGTACGCAACAAGTCAGATCTGAAACAAGAGGAAAATTAAAATGAGTTAAACTGAGGCTTTTTGTAGTAGTTTCTGTGAGAATATCACTTAACTGTTACAGGGATTGCAGTTATCCAATCATAGCCTCTGTTGGGACATTTTTGGATTTTGCAATATAGAATGATTTGTAAGGGGAAAAGCCAATCACAGGATATATGCTGTATGTTGTGGATCCTTGAGTGTTGGCCTCTCTAAAAGCACACAGATGGGCTGAGTAGATCCCAAGCTTTGACTAATAAGATCATGCTCAGCTTACAACAGTTAGAATGTAAGCACAGCTGACTGGAGCACCTACTGCACACTACACTCATACATGACCTTTTTTAATCCCAGCTGCTGCCGGATGAAGAATGGTCTCACTGGTTAGAGGTGTGCAACCTCTGTGCTTATATTCCACTGCTGCAGCTGTTCCTTAATTCCATTAGTGATCCACACTAGAAGGTTAAACTCGCGTTGCCATTTACCACCAAGGGCAAACTCTCAACACAGCAAGGAGGTTTAAAATGTATCACTTCGAATGCAATAGGGTTACATGCACCAGAAATGCACGTGACACTATTAGCCACAAAACTGTATAACACTGTAGTGTGTAACGCTGTACGCACACAGCTCCGTTCATAGGTGTAGCCATCGTCACCTTCATTCTGAATGTCTTGCGTTGTTTCATGCGATTATTAAATATTAAGAGTCAACTCATGGTAACTTGGAATGTACAAGGCCAGTCTGAAAGGAGCTTATGTGTGAAGGTTACCTGACTGTACCTTGAGGTGGTCCTGTCTGTTTGGAATGAGACTGCATGTAATGGCTTTCACTTGTGTTTCACCTTGGTGTGCATCAGGGCTCGGAAAAGTAGAGCTTGGTTCCTATCTTTTCTCCACTCACACAACTGACAGAATCGCAAGGATCATCTGATGGGTACCTTCCAGTGTTGTGCCTTACCTACTGTAAGATCATGAGAACATGTCGCAGTGACTGGTCTAGTCATTTCTGATTGCTGGTAGATAATCAGTTCCAAGACACCCTTTACACGTGTGAAACTCATTGATTCTGTGGAGCAAAAGTATTGGTGACCCATAACTTTGGTTTAGTTAGTTGCATGGTGGGTCTCGTAGCTGCTTCGCAACACGGGTGTCCTGGGTTCAATTCTGAATCTGGGGCGCTATCAGTGTGAAGTTTGTGTGATCTCCCCGTGTTCGCATGAGCTTCCTCCAGGTGCTCTGGTTTCCTCAGCATAGTCCCACGTCATACTGGTAGGTTAATTGACTTATGGGAAAACTGGCACTAGGTATAATGTGTGTGTACCCTGCCTTGCACCCGTTGCTTGCTGGGATAGACCCCGGCTCCCCCGCGACCTTGAAGTGGTGGAAACAGTTAGAAAATGGGTGGATGAATGGATCTTGAGTTTAAACGCAGTCCAAAAAATCTCTTCTAATTACATGTGATCAACACGATAATAGACTTTTAAATTACATTTTGAGCTGAAACAGGTTGAAAAGGTGCCAGCAAAGCATTGCAATCAGTTCAAGACTTAACATGTCAGTAAATATGTTAATGACATTTGAAGATATATTTTAGTGGCTGCCATGAATTTCTGGAACAGAATTGTTTGTTCCTCAGTCCTTCTGCAAGAGCCTGTCTAAAGAGGTTACATACATCTGTCATTCGGTGCTTTGCTTTTAAGGAGGACGTGGCTTTAAGTGCTGCTTGCTAGAACAAACACAAATACAGACAGAGACAGTCAGCATGCAGCTGGGGCCACTCCTGTTCCTTAGTGTGGAGTCTGTGGTTTGGGCTGCCCAGAGGCTGGGATAATGGCTTCTAGTGTCTGGAGAGATTAAAGGCCGGAGCTGCATTGTTCAAATGCCTCGAGATTAGTTTCCAAGGAGACAGATTGTGGTTGCCATGAGAACGCAAGGGGCCAGGAATTAGGATTGCGATTTTTTTCGCCCTTTCTTATTCATTTTTTTTCCCCCCAGATTTTGTTATTTATTATCTTCTCATCCTGATCATGCTGAGAGAGGAGATAAAGCCAACGAAAATGCTTTTCTTCTTTTGCCTTTTGTGCACCCCCTCGCCAACAGCACAGGCACCATCAGGCTTCAGACTAAGAAAGGGGAAAGAAAGACTCGAACGCTTTTTGTACTCGTTCCCTTGTTTGAGATTGCTGGTGGCACAGAGACGCTTCGCTCGGATGTTTCTCGTGTTGGTTTTTGAGAGCAAATTAACGATGAGGGTTTTTTTTAAATAATCCAGGAAAACCTTAATTGGCTGACAAAAGCTTATCGTAATTAGCTACTTTCACATGCGTGTAATGGATTTCTGGATTAGCATATTGGATGGAAGGTTTTAGGGCTGCTTTTAAAGCTTCTTAATCCCCAGTACTGTAAAACATATTAACCCTTTTTTGGAAACTGAATAGCTGGTTGACTTATTTTCATCTTAAAAACATCATTTGTACCAAATGCAATTTCTTGTTATTGATTTTCTTCCTTATATCATTTTGGAGCATAAGAGAGGTTAAGGCTGTTAGGTACTTCTTGCATATTTGGTGTTTCATGTTTTGTATTGATCTTTCCTGGTCTGCTCAATCTGTTTTCACATCAAGATGAGCTATTTTGCAAACCTCTACAACTCTTTGGATGTTCTTTGAGTTTGGGAGTTTTTTTTTAAACAACATGAACCCAGTAATGAGAGTCATACATGTATGATCAGAAGAAATACATATACATAAAGTTAAATCTACAGTCACTTGTCGAAATTAAGATGGCCAATAGCTGTGGGAATAAAAGATATCTTAGTTCTAGAGCATTTGAATCAAGGTAGTCTAACACTAATTCTCAATCGATGCTGAGATGGAAGGAGGTCAGATTCACTGTGCAAGGGGTGTCGATGGCAGTCAGTGAGTATATTGGCTTTCCTTACTATTTGTTTGATGCAGATGTCGGAAAGCTGTAGCTGTTGTGCAGGAATAATTTTGCTGGCTACTGTCACAATCGTGCTCAGTCTGTTTTTATTGCTTGTATTTTGGAGCAAATTTCCAAAATGCTGAATTCTGTAGTATATAATTAGTACACATTTTTAAGCAGACCATCATTTTATTAATCATTCTTTTCAGTAATGAGATTTAGAATAATAGGTGTAATTTTCAGGGAATACTCTTTTCACCCTCAAAGCATTAATCCACCGCTCTAGTTGTGGTCAGTTTTGGTTCTGTCTAGGTTTAAGTCTAGAGACTCATTAAAATTGTCGCACTTTTTTACTGAACAGAAACAGTATGATATGTTGCTGCCACTGGTCTGAATGAGTAATTGTTCCTGTGTCCTCCCTCAGAAAGGAATGGCGCAGGTCCGAAAATCGTGTGACCCATCTCGAAGTAGTTCCCGTGCCGAGCTGCGGATTCCCAGCGTCTCCACAAAGCAGGAGATCCTTACAAGCTTAGTGTCTGCATTAGATTCTGTGGTAAGTTTGGCCTTTCAAACCCTGCTCAAAAACATGGCTGATGCATGGAAATCATTTAAGCAAAAGAATGTTCCTTTATGGTTAAAAAATGAAATATGAGCCAAGTTATGATTGCCAAAGATCCTGTGACACTTTTTACAAGAGCAATGGTGATGATCCAGCTGTCGAGGCTAAATTAAAGACTGTTCCCTCTGAAGACCAGTTGAGCTCTTTGACCCAGACATCATGAGTTTGGAAGCCGTGGTAGCTCAGACAGCAAGGACATCTAGCTCCTGACTGGAAGGTCCCAGCTTCAATCCCAGGTAGGGGCAAGCAATGTAGCTTGCTCCAATTCCTTCCAGATGGCTCCCAGGTCCACTCAGCCTGCTTTCCAAATGAGTACCGGGGCTTAATCCTTCCTGGGGCAATAGGCTGACCGAAGCGTGATGCTGACCTCATCACCTACACATCCAGTGTCAGATGGTTGAGAAAAATGGTGGCCCTTGCCCCCCATGAGTTTGAGCAAGGGTCACGTCATTGGCTCACTAGCTCACCAGGATTCCTAAGTTGGCAGGTCTTATCAAGAATAGAGGTGAGATTAGATGCATGGTTGTCTTTGTCATACCTGCCAACAGTGTGTGCTGCTACTTCCTTGGGGCCTGTAGACATGCAGTGATGTCAGTGACTCGCCTGTCAGGCACTGTGGAGCTTGCAGCTTGTAAAAAATTCAATGACTCAGTGGTAGACTGTCTGAGGAGCACTTCCGCCCATCCTCATTCTTCCTCCACAGTACAGGAGTCATTGCTTGGAACCACTTCCAGACAGGATGGGTATAAAATTGAAAAACAAGAGTTCACAAGAGGAACAAGAGTTCAAGTTCTGTGTTCTAAACGCTTCTTCTTTTATCTTGGTTAAGTCTGTTTTCTGCCGCAACCCTTGCTCCTAAACAAGCTAGGGTTTTGGTAGGAAGTATTTGTGTTCCTGCTTACATACAAGTGCAAGAATGTGTTCTTCTGTACCTATGAATGGGGCTTCTGACCAGCTGTGGACCTGTCTTTCAGTGTACTGCTCTTTCCAAGCTGAATGCAGAAGTGGCTTGTGTCACGGTTCATGAAGAGAGCATAATCGCTGTAGGTACTGAGAAAGGCAGGCTGTTCCTCAACTCCAGGAAGGAAATCCAGACTGACTTCCACAGGTTTTGCAGTAAGTTACAAGGATTTTAAGATTCTTGCATCGATTGCATGTGTCCCTATCATTTTGACCTCCAGAGTTATACAGTGGGTAATGTATATGTACGCATTACTGCCAGCATCAGTTGACTTGAGTCCAAAGATATGAATGGCTCTGGGATGTTGAGGTGTGGCAAACACAGCTATGCAAATGGAAACTGTTTCTAAATGGTTCCTTTCAGGAGTGCCCTGCCTAACAGCCTTACCCACTGTGATTGCTGCTGCCAAACCCCAGGACACTGAACCAACCAAGCTGAGCAAGGAGAGCGGGCAGGGCATACAGCGGGCACCTGTGGAGACCCAGTCGAACATCTTCGTTCTTAGAAAGATGGTGGAGGAAGTTTTCAGTGTCCTTTACAGTAAGGCCACTCATGTGTCATTCCTCAGACTGTGAAGTAGTACATTTCATTTGTCTTTCTGGTGTTCTTTGTCTGGTTTGTTCTCAACAGTCTGTGCTTCTAAGCAATTCATTTTCATTGTGCTTAAATTTGCCATTCAATGTAACTATTCCAGCAAAAATCACTTCTAACATTTTCTGCATATGAGCTACATATAGTAAATATAGTAATACATATAGTAAATCTGCAAACTTTAAAAAGCATCATTATCCTTGGGGGGGTCTGGAAACTGTTAACAGTGATTGTAGACTGAGGAACTTAGACATTTAAAACAAGACACTCAAAAGATTGCAGAGCAACCAGACTTACACAGAAAAGTAAGATATAAACAACAATCAGGTCCTCACCATGGACAGAGGAGCAAGATTGCTCAAAGAAGCTGAACCCTGGAGGAATAATCTGGTTAAACAAGATACTGTCATTGTGTCTGTGCCAGGTTTCAGTCAAGCACAGAAAGTTAAGTGATGGAATCATTCAATAAGACTGCCTTGTTTGCAGAAAGGGTGTTGAATAAAGCTGATCTGGCCAGTCTCGGTGATGCAGGGGGTTTGGGGGAAGCAAAATGTGTTCCAGACATGGAGGGAAGCATACATTTTTAAAGTCAGCACCACAGCGGGATGTAGCTGAGAATCAGCTTGGCGAGGTTGGCAGAAAACGGCACCCGTAACAGCTCTGGATATATCTCGTAGGTCACAAAATCTCGCTATCACAGCAGTACTCAATGAAGGATTGCTCAAGAAAATAATTCCACTTAAATTGCAGTAATTTTGACGATCATTGGATGCATGAAATCTGAGACAAAACAATGAAAAATGGGTAAAATCCCAAATCAGGGGGTTGTGAGTAGCTGTAAGAAAACCTCAAAACCTCACCAGAGCAGTTAGGAAGATAGCCTGAGTAGAAAAATACATATAAGAAAACTGACAAAGCTTCAGCACATAATCCTTCATTAAGGGACTTATGATATTAATTCCACTTTTTGGCCTCCTTCAAGGATCGATTAGAATCACTTCTGTTTCGGAAGTGAAGGAGAGCTTTGGTGGGCTGAACATATTTCTTTAAAGAGCTGCATTTTCAGTTATATGAATTTGTTATTTGATGTTATATAATGATTTATTAAAATTAAACTGCAATGCTACTTTCATATTTCGCGGTTAGAATCATTAATGAGCGCATTTCAAACCGCAATAAAAGTAAAATCTCAAATTTACATCACAAAATAGACTAAATTTCCCGATATGCACAGCGCCATATTCTGTGATTCATGTCATAATTCAAGGGAATTCAAATGCAAGTTTGCGACAGCATGGCGACTTACAGTACTTTCACAACGTTCACAATTTTGTGCTTAAATCGCAATTTATCATTTTTTTCTGTAACGTCAATGAATTTATTTTGTTACTAAGATTTATTAAGCAGTCTGAGAAATTGAATGGCTCCCCTTTAAGGAGAGTTGAGATTCTCATCTAATGCTTCTTTTGCAAGATTTCCTCCTACACCCTAAATAATTAGGTACTGCTTGTGTGATTCTCTTTCAAGGTGCATTTTCTTAGCCCTTTTACTTGGTGGAATGCAAAAGGGTGGGGCACAAATAACAGAAACCATGAGCGATATAAATCTTCTGCGCGTTAATTCAATTCAAATTTCTTGTTGTCATTCTACAGGTGAGGCCATGGGGAAGAACAGTATAATACCTGTGCCTTATGAGTGGATTCTGAAGGACCCCAGCTCTGTGACTGTCCATGGTCTGCCTGATGGGGTCTCCCTGAGAAAGCCAGCTGACTACGACACCAAGACCTTAATGAAGATCCTGGAGCAGAGCAACCGCATTCGCTTCACGGTTAAGAGGTGTGTCGACTGTATCACTGGAAAACAACTTGGAACGCTGCTGTGTGCTGTGGTGGTCATTATGACCAGCTGTTGACTATGACTATGCAGAACTATGTTGGGGCAGCATGTCATGGCAACAGCAGAGTAAGACATTTACAGTGCCAAAGTTTGTGAACCCCCTATATAATTGTCTTATCGTGATACCCTTGGTTACTCTAAACCAGTCTTTTCTTAAATAACCAAAAGGATTTAGGTTGTCCATTTAATGTTTATGAGGTGCATGAAGTACAAAAAATACATAATTAATAATCAGTATAAACCATGTTAATAATAAGTTAACTTCTAGCTACTTCTAGGAGTTTGGGTAGCCCTGCTCTATAGGATAGTCAGAAGCTTTATGCATTTGGTTTCACATAAGATGTTAATGGGAACATGTAATTGCACAAACAGAAGAGAATTCAGAATATTCCAAAGCTGAAATATCAGATTTCAGAAAAAGGAGTAGTTGATGTGCCACACGTTGGAGAAGGTTACAAAACCATTTCTAAACAACTAAGGCTTCATCTTTCTTTGTCAGACAGAACATATTGAATACCCACCATGATACGCCCATGGTACCCCCAAAGAATGGTTTTGATGAGAGGATTTCCAGCTATCTAAGAAGTTGTCCGGTCACCTCAGGTTCTCCAAAGAAGCCTTCTTACTTCCTAGGCTACTGGAAGATCTCTGGACAGACGCATCAAAAGCTGTACTGTGTTTCCACAAGAAAAAAGCTTGAGTGATGAAAACCAAACACTCCAACAGAAGAACCTCACCTTGACCATCAAGTATCGGCACCATGGTATGGGCCTGCTTTGCTGCCTCAGCATCTCCATGGTTTGCCATCATTTAATAAACCAAGTATTTGGTGTGGTAGCAGCAAATTCTGGAGAATGGCAGTCCATCCTTTCATTAGCAGAGCTGGGACACGCAACAACATACCAGCAGATCAACAGAATAATGGCTGAAGAGGAAATTTCACGTTTGCAGTTTGCCAAGTCAAAGTCTAGACCTAAACTCCATTGAAAAGTGAAGACAGGACCTGAAGATAGCTGTTCTTGCAAGGAAACCCTCAAATGTCACCCACTTAAAACATTTTTATAAGGTACAATGGACTGAAATTCATAAAAGCTAATGTGAGAGGCTGATAAACAGTTACAGGAAACATCTCAATGAAGTCACTGTTGCCCAAGGAGCTGTCATCAGTTACTGAATCTGAGGGTTCACATACTTTTCTGAATCAGCTTATCATCTTTTATGAAGTCTTCCGTGATGATCTGATTAAATTCTGGTTCAGATATATACAATCTGAGTATAATTCGGACCAGCGCTAAGGGGTTCACAAACTTATATTCACATAATCAAGACTTAAATTGATTTCATTTATTTAAATTTAGACTTTGTGAAACTGCCAGACTGCATCTCCGATCAGAGCATGACAGTATTGGAAGTGTTTACATGACGTCTGTTTTATATTCAAAGGCCCATTGAAGAGGCTTCCTGGGATGCCAAGTCCTGCCCTGAGCTCAACCACAACTCTGGTTCCAAGAGCCTTGCCAGCCACTCCACTGTTAAAGCTGCCAACCAGGAGACAGCGGCTGGCAGCGCCATGCTCTCCACCTTCCTGTATGGCATCCCCATGCCCATGCAGGCCCACCCGGAGGGGAAGCCTGACCTTGCGCCCAGCTCGCTCCTCAGCGCCATCCAGAACAGTGACCACCAGAGTGGCTGGGCGTCGCAGGGGGAGAAGACGGCTCCGGCGAAGGACTGCGCCGACAACGGTCAGTGCGAATTCCCAACGACCGACCCGACGAGGAATGAAAACGATGTCAAGGCATGATATCAATGTCTGGTATTCCCCTCTCCAACAGGCGACCGATTAGGGGGGCCGGCAGAGATGGGACAGAGTTCTCAGAATGTGCACATTTCCAAGCGCTTGTTGTTCTCCATTGTGCATGAGAAATCAGGTGGGTAAGGGACCAGTGCATTTTAGAGTAAAGGGAGCCACTGAGAGACTCTTGTGAGTCCTGTTAGTCTTGTGTTTATTTGTGAGGTTTATTCCGTGCTGAAAAGAGAAGAAAGAAAGCACAACCCTTCGACTGTGGAGCCTTCTTCGGGTTGTGTTTATTTGTTCCAACCATTGCTAATTTGCTTTATCACTGCAAATAAATCAAATTTCTTAGACAATTTTATAGTCTGTACCACAGAAAAAAAAACATTTTTCTTTCTGTCTGTGTTCTATATACTGTGAAGCCAAGTGTATTCAGAGGCATGCTGTTTTATACGTTTTTGAATCTGTGTGAAATAGTTAAAAATATAACAAAGAAAAAACTCTTAATTGAAGAGACTAGTGGCAGAAGAACACAAATCACTCCCTGAGTGTGACGAGGAGAACTGATAGAGTCCATTTTGTCCTTTTGCGATCTTGGAATCCTGATCTTAAGAGTTTGAGCAATTCATTGAATTAAAATGGCTGTGGAAAACCAGCACAGAGTCTAAAAGCGATCACTGTGGGCAACAACTGTCAAAACCAATCTTGTTCTATACCAGTTTTTTTGCCATTTTATTTCTACAGACAAATGGGACACGTTCATTCGTGAAACGGAAGACATTAACACACTGCGGGAGTGTGTCCAGATCCTGTTTAATAGCCGTTATGGTAAGAGACCGTGGTGTAAGGCAATAGCACCTTTAAGCTGACTGCCACACTATTCCAGTGATGGAAAACCACCACTATTGTAGGAAAGGACTGAGGTGTATTTTATCATGCTCTAACTGACACTGCCAGTAAAAACAATTCATATTTACATTAAACAGCTAACAGGACCAAAGCTTTCTGAAGGACTGGAAGATTTGATTAATAGTGCAGCTGCAAATTCCAAACTATTTCTAAATGAACCAAAATATATGAATTTAGCACAGCTACTGTATGTGGTGTCTTGTTCATTTCTTTTTATGCATTTTTTTTTTTTTTTTAGAATTACTTCGAGATTTCCTGTCTATCTGAAGTTTGTTTGTTTTTTAGCATATTGTGGCTGTTGCTGCCCGTTTTCATTTTGTTTGAGGACATCCAGGGCTAGTTTAGGAGAACGAAGCATGGCGGTGTTGTGTAGAAAACTGTCTCTCATAAAGCAGCTTGCCAACATCGGGTGTTAGTTTTACTAAGCCTGTCTGCAAAGCCCAGGCTGGAGGTTTCTAACAAAGCTGTCTTTCTCATTGCCAACCCTTTCCTGACCTACTGCAGCAGAGGCGCTGGGCTTGGACCACATGGTTCCTGTGCCTTACCGGAAGATAGCGTGTGACCCGGAGGCAGTGGAGATCATTGGCATCCCAGACAAGATCCCCTTCAAGCGGCCCTGCACATACGGGGTCCCCAAACTTAAACGCATTTTGGAGGAGAGGCACAGTGTGCGCTTTGTGGTGAAACGGTAATCAGGCCCCCCAAGGAGTGACAGTTTTGCCTTAGGCTCTGCACTTAGGAGATGACTCCTATTAGCACTGTTAAACCAGGGGCAGGAGTACCTATGGGAGCCTTTTTAAAGCATGGAATATAACATTGCATTGGATAGAAACCGCTGAACATCCATGTGCAAGAGATGATTCCTTTCAATCTCCTGAGTGACTGGTGCACAATACAGATACTGTAAAGTGTTGTGTAAGGACCTGGAAAAGGCAAAGAAATAATATAGTTTCCATAGCTATTTACATATCTTGAGCACAAAAATACCCTTTTGTCCCTATAAATAGTGATCTTCTTCCAATTTTTTTTCCATTTGAAATATTTTGTGGTATGCAGATAAAATTAACTGCTCTTGTTTTATACTGTGCTGTGAACAGAATGAAAATTCAGGTTAAACACTAAAATACTTCTCAGAAAGCTTCTTTTAAGGACATTATAGTAAGTATCTGTTGAAGCTCCCCTCTGTGTTGACACAGCTGGCTAATTCTGATAGAAGAATCCTGTGTCAATCAAGCTCTTTATCAAGCTCGGATCCTGCTTTGGTTTAGCCTGTTGCTTGATTATCTCAGCTGCAGAGTGGGCTGAGATTGTTTCTTTTCAGAGAGATGAATAATTGCTTTGCTAATTATTGATAATACTGCCTGCAATTGTGTACTCAACCTGAAGTAATTGCTTCCCTTTATCTTCCAGAATGTTTGATGAAAGGATTTTTACAGGTAATTATTTTTAATTATTATTTTTTAATTCATTTTTAAATGATGCTATATTTGAAGTCAGTGCAGTTCTTCTAATTACCTTTCCATTCTGTCTGCTAAATCTATAGTCATTGAAGGTGATACTGTCAGTTCTTTCATTAGACTCTCACCATCAGCACTGAATCTGATACATTTTCTAGAAGCCCCCTGTCATGTGTTGCCAATCCTGCAAAAAATCAGGGTCTGTGCCCTGAATTGTATAATTAAAAAATAATCCTTATTCTTATATAGCGCTTTTCTGGACACTCCACTCAAAGCGCATTACAGGTAATGGGGATCCCCTCCACCAACAAAAGTGTGTTGCCCCCACACACCAGCTCTCAGTGTGGAGGAGAACAGAGTGATGAAGCCAATTCATAGATGGAGATTATGAGGAAATTTGGCCAGGACAACAGGGTAACAGCCCTACTCTTTTCAAAAGATGCCCTGGGAGTTTTATTGAGCACAGAGAATCAAGACCTTGGTTTAATGTCTCGTCTCATCCAAAGTCCAGCACCTTTTCACAGGACAGTGTCCCCATCACTATACTGGGGCTTTAGGAGTGGTTCTACTAACACCTGTTCCAGAAGCAACCTTAGCTTTTCAAGGAGGTCTCCCATCCAGGTACTGCAAGCTCACGAATCCTGAGATTCAGCTGTGAATGGCAGGGTGATTAAAGCTGCTGGTTATAGTCTCCTGAGCCCTTCAAATTGTGTTGTAAATTTCGTCACACTTTGCGTATTTGTCTAGATTTTAAGGAGTCACAGTTTAGATCCCCTTGTACTGTAAAAACCACTACAAGTCCCTGTCTAGTCAATCAGTACTGATAAAGCAGTTCTTTAAAAGAACTACTATACTCCTTGTTTATAGTGTCTGTCCCCCACTGGTCAAAAGCTTGTAGAATCCGTAGCTGGTCCCCAAACATGGAATCACACATGTGCCTAAGTGATCATTGCTAACTATATCAAGACTGAGATATACAGGACAAGAATGAGTCTATGTCTGGTTGGTCCAGCTCTGGTCCTAGAAATCCAGTGCAATATGAAGGTTCTCTAAGTCTTTTTTTAAAGCAGCTACACCTGAAGAGCAGGGATATTGTTAATTGGTTTAATTAAACAATAGCAAACTGAATTAGGTCATGCAGGCCTGGGTTGGAATGAAAATCTGCAGACACTGGACCTCCACAACTGGAGTTGGATCACCCTGGTTTGTATCATTGCATCATTGCCAATGTTTTACAAGGGGACCAGGAGTGCAGTAAATCAGCTTTTTAAAATAAAAGCAGTTCTTCCATAGTTGCGATCAATTTCCATCCTGAACACTGTGTCCAAATCTAAAGGGAATGCTTTCACAATTCCTCATCCCAAATTCTAGTTGGCCTGTCTCCCTGCATCACTCTGTTTCTGCAGCTGGTGGAAAGGCATTCAAAGACGAGGGGAAACAGGACTCAGGGTCTCCATCTGAAGACAGCTATCCAGAGACCCCCAGGATGTTACCAGCTTTCGAGGTGATGAGCAACTCGCACAGTAGCAGGTGGGTTTTAGGCTCTTTTCAAACCTGGCTGAGCACAAAGATGTGTGAAAGCTCTTTGATTGTATCACTGTGTGCATCTTCTTTTAAAAGATTATGCCAGTTGCCAGTTTAGGAGAGACATTGGAGAAGATGCCAGTGAATTTTATGTCTTTGTGCAATTATGTATTGTAGAGAACCTTAGCAACCAATTTTTTCTTTGCAAGTCCTGCTTAGGAATGGGCTAATTTTGTATATTGGAAACATTGTATCACTTCCACATTTTGGAAGAAACTAACAAAAAATGAACATGTTGGCCTTTTTTGAGTTTGGTTTATTAACCTTCTTTCCCCTTGGAAAGAATTTTTATGAACAAACCTATTGAAACTGAAATTGCCACGCTGCATGTAATATTTCTCTTATTCTTTGCAGATCCACTAGTTCGTGTGTGAGCCCTGTAGGAGATGGTGAGGCAGGTTGGTACCAAACACTAAGAATGGAATTGGAAACCTTGCAGAATGATTTTCTGAAGCTGTCTGTTCTGATTTTGGAAAATATGGACCAGGAACACACAGTCCTAGTCATAATCATGCAACTGTAATTAAAGCCCTCATTTTTCTGCAATTCTTAACCTGCTCTTCCCTTTATCGTGAGGTGTGGCTTATATGCATTTTGCTATAGTCTACTGGAAAGTCTTGTAATATAACCTACCTGAAGCTCTGAGTGCGTTTTGTTTTATTTTTTTAGGGCCATCAGGAGATTGTTCCCCTATTAAAAAGATTAAAACTGAGCCACCAGACGGAGAAATCATTCAAGTGACAGTGCCAGGTAAGACAGGAAGGCATAGCCTATCCAATTACTTACTAATCTGTGACAAATTGAGGAGCTTGAGCCTGAAGGATGCCTCTCATGCCACTTTTGGCTCTATGAGCACATTTCGAAATCCTCCTTAAGGTGCTGCAGAAGGTTAGGAGATGCAATCTGAGTTTTTTTATTTTATTTCTCCTGAAGAGAAGGCCCATACTATACAAGTGTGCGGTGTTTACCGTCTGCGTTTGGTTCATAAAGACATCTCCTCCTCCAGATGTCAGTGTCGTACCGGAGGAGCTGAGCGAGCCTGCGGCCGACTCTGCGGCCAGTGAGAGCCCCCACCTCTCAGACTCCCCCGCAGGTAACCTCTGACTTGTCTCCCCAGCGCCACGGCGGGACACAGAACTGACTGGGGCCAACCTGCAATCACTCTCCTACTTTTAGGGAGGTAGATGTATGAACAATTTTCACAGACTCTTCCCCACCAGCCCTTTACTGCTCATTCCTGTACCCGTTTTGCTGCCCAGTCCCTACGCTTCAGTACCAGTTTTCTACCTTACAGTCAAGCCTGGGCACAACAGTACCTCAGAACTCTTTTTTTTTTTTACTTTGCCCTGTCAAAATGAAAACCAGTCAAAAAAGAACTCATCTGATTTAAAACAGGCCTCTGTTTAGACCATATAATGCCGACTGAAAACTGATGTCCCACATTGAAACAGAATTATGCACCTATCTTTCAGTCATTGTTATGCCTAACCAGACTCTCATCTTGGGACACAGATAGAGGGGGCATATTGACCAGAAGACAGTTATATCATCATCCTGATTGCCTTTAATAATGGTGCAATTATTTCAAATGGACATTACTATCTAACAGATAAAACCTGTATTTCAGTAGACCTCTGTCAAAGTTCTGCATTATCCTCAATGACATAAAGACTTATCCTTGTGCTTAGGTCTCTGTGGCAGGTTTGACTGTACCAGTATGTAGCTTATTTCCATAGGGAAATTGCCAATTTGTAGCCCTGCTCCTGAACTGAATACCATTCAGGAGTCTCTGTTCCTCTGTCACCCTGGTGAATTGTTCATACATACAACATTTGGTCTAGATACCCTTAGAATACCCCAAACCCAGACTACTAGTTAGACAGACCTACCCACAGCCCTTAAATCCTTGCTCCAAAAATGTTTTTCATCCTGGTTCCACAAAATCATAGTTAATAAGAACACTTGAACCAGCCTGTTTCCAACAGAATAACTTTAACTCAGGGGTGGGGAGGGAGGTTTTCTTGTTAGTTACGACATTGACCAGTATGTTTACCAGTTTAACTTTCTGCCAGTTTCTGACAAACATATTGCACAGTAAAGTGGTTCTCTTTGTAATTCGATTGCTCTTAGCAACATGAATGTCAAGAAACACAGACAGTTTGGGAATGAGAATGGAAGTGGGTAAAATACACATTACTGACTGATGAGAACAGACAAGCCCATCAGAAACTGAAATCTGGCACTCCAATGTAATTACAGATGTTCTTAAGTGTTCGTATTAACATTATAAATCATGTTTTAATAAAATGGCCAACTATTTTTTTTCCAGTATTTTTAGATCTGGTATTTTTTATATCCTGTAGGATCCGTTATAATATTGGTGAAATCGGTCTGACAGATACGATAGCCCTGTACCACGCAGATGGGTGTTACAACCCAAGGATAAGTTTAAATGATGTAAATGCATGATTTATAATGGTTTTCCCATCAATACCTCCATTCTGATTGTTTGGAATATGTCATCAGTGTATAAGATGATTATGCTTCCTATCAGTGATTTATATATTTTTTAAACTAGAATATTTCGACAGCAACTTTGAGGATGTATGAAGCACTGCATTTTTACTTTCCAACTGTAGTAGTAGCAGAGATATACAGTTATTTGCAAAAGTAACCCCTAGTTAAAATGTATATTTTAGTGAACCTCTAAGTGAAAAGAAGCTGACACAGCCTCTCCGTGGTACAAAGTTAAACTCAACATGTTTCTGCAAGTTACTGTTTAATGCCAAATTAGTATTTATTTGCTAAAATAAAAAAGTGAATGTGACATGCAAAAGTGTGGGCACCCTTCCAGTCGATTCGCTATTATTTAATTTGTTTTTTAACAAATTAAAATAGTTTTTTAGGGACCAAAACCTCATTGACTTGCAAGACCTTAAATTAAGTCAGGTGACGACAGTTCCAGGGTTTAACTTCTTAGGCTGTGATTGTTGTTCTGCCTACTTTCAGCAACCATGTGCTCCCCTAAGAATCTGTCGGAGGACTTGAAAATAAAGCAGAAGAAGGCTATAAAATGGTCTCGAAATACTTCCCTGCTTGCAATTTCAGCTGCCAGAAATATCATTAAGAAATGGAAGTTAAAGGAAATTGTTGAAGTCAAGGCAAGATCTGGAAGAAAAGTTTCCATTAAAACTGCTTTGAAACTGGTCACATTGCAAAGCAGAATCCACAGATCACTGCAAAGGACCTGCAGAAAAGTTGACAGTTGACACTGGAGTAGGTGTCCATAGGTCCACAGTACAGAGTTGCTTACACAAAAATGATCTGCATGGGAGAGTTGTCAGAAAGTAACCTCTTCTATGATCTCAACACAAAGGTCAATGTCTAAAAGTCTAAATTTAGACACAGTCTAAAAACACCAGTGTTGGGATTTTTTATGTCTATGGATTGATTAAATGAAAATTGAATTTTTTGGTCACAACCACAAAAGATACATTTGGATAAAAATGAGTAAATGAGGTTGGATCTATTATGCTTTGGTGCTGTGTGGCAGCCAGTGACACAGGAAATATTGGTGTGGAAGAAGGAATGGATTCAACAACCAAAAAATCAGTAAACCCTAGAAGCTAAGCTTGAACATGGGTTTGATATTTCAGCAAGACAGCAATCTGCTATATGTCTTAAATTGACAAGTACCTCAAAATCAACCATGAAGTACTTACAGGAATAAAATATTACGGGTTTTGGAATGACTTTCACAGGCCCCAGACTTGAATATTAATGGAAATTTGTGGGGAGATCTCAGACATACAGTGCATGCAAGAAGACCTAATAATATCTCTGAACCAGAAGAGTTCTGCAAGTAAGAGTAGGGAGGAAATTCCAAAAGCAAGTATGGGATGACTCTCAGCTGGCTACAGGGAATGTTTGGAAGCTGTGATTTCTGACAAAAGTAGGTTACTAAGTACTGACTGTCGGGGTGTTCAAACATTTACATGTGCCATATTCACTGTTTTATTATTTGAATATCTACAAAAATGCAAATACATGCTAATTATCCATTTGAATTTTCGGAAAGATGCAGAGATTGTGTCAAGTTCTTTTCACTTAGAGATTCACTGAAACATACAATTTAACCAGGGTTAAATTAACCAGAGCAACAGGCTTTATAATCAAGTGGCCAGACTGATCCCTGACACACTCCTGTCTGCTTCCAACCTGCATCCTCCTCCTCAATTCCAGTTGAGTCAGTTGTGCAGGAGCCCAGACCCACAGCCGCAAGAAGGACTGTTAAAGGTAAGAAACCATTAGATGCAATAATAATGAGATGCTAAAGTAAGAAGAACTCGCCATCTTTTCCGAAATCTGAGTTCCTCAGTTGTTACTGTGCTGAAGAAACTTTTGTTTAGCATCTGATTGCTCCCCAAATAGTTAAATATGGAGTCCGTCTCTGAGGTTACCAAGCAATTGTTCCTTGAAGTTCTTGTCACTGTGTGCATCGTCGTCCAAGCTCTTCTCCTCGATGTTTCAGAGGATCTCGGAGAAATGATCCTTAGGCTGCGGAAGCAAGTGGAAAGCCTTTTCAATGCGAAGTATGGTGAGTTATGCGATAAAGCCTCTGTGCCAAAGGTTTTCCCTCTAGGATGAGGTGGCCCAGTACAGTTATCCAAGGCAGATGTTTTGTCATATTCTCTTATGCTTCTGAATTGAATTCTTGAAACTTTTTTTTTTAATCATGTAGCACCTAGTGGTTCATCTGCAAAAAGCCTTCTCTTGCAAACTATATCCACCTGTCAGCCTGCAAGCTGAGCTTCTTGAAAGGCACCAACTGATTGTTAATGGGTTCGTGGACACAATGTTAGTTAGTGAGCACAGGTTGTGGGTTCGAGTCCTTCCTACAGACACTGCAGTGATTGGGAGATGTCAGAGGGCAAAAGACAGCTGCTCCCATGCCACCAAAGTTTCCTGGGGTGAGTGAGCTTAGGCATTACCTAGTGACCAGGCACCAGTATACTCTACCCTGTCAAGCCTCAGGGCATCATGGTTATTTCTCAGTCAGCTGACATGCTTCAGGGTCACAATACGGAAAGAAGCCAGTGGCGTAACGAAATGAGTTTTCATGAAAGCCACATAAATGGGGAACAGCGTTGCTGGGGGTGATCCCTGTCATGTACCGGTGCCCCATCCATGGGATGAGTCGCGTGCTCTCTAGTCCATTTATCTCCGTAGAAACCAGGAGAAGCTCTGGCTTTGCTGAGTCACTGTGTCTGACACGGGCTTCACCTTTCTTAACGGATAATTATTCATTAAACCTAACAATACATTCAGTCAGCTCTGGTGAGCACAGAAGACGACTCCTGGCTTCTGTTCGTGCTCCATGACAGGTGAAGCCCTTGGCCTCTCACAGCCCACCCGTGTGCCCTACTCCAAGTTCCAGATGTACCCCGAAGACCTGTATGTAACTGGGCTCCCCGAGGGCATGTCCTTCCGCCGCCCCAACTGCTTTGGCGCCGCCAAACTGCGCAAGATCCTGGCGGTCAGCAGTAACATCGGCTTCGTGATCAAAAGGTGAGCCGGGTCAGGAGAGCCTCCGTCTCTTTTCCCTTGTCATCAGGTGAAATTAAAGATCCCATGTGGTACAACCAAAGAGTCGCCCTCATTACAAGCTTCGTGGAAGAGGTTATGAAATGGCCATTGGTATAGTCTGTTTCTGTTCTGCCCAAAGATATAACCACACTGTTTTCCAGACCTGAGCTGCTAACTGAGGCCCTGAAACCTGAGCCCTCTCCCCACCCAGCCAACACCCCAGGTGAGAGTCCCTGCTCTGATTCTGCAGGACACTCTTGTTATCAAGTGGCGCCGTCTCTTTCGTGACCTGCTGAGCTCTTGTTTCCGCAGGAGCTGAACTGGATTGCAAAGATGTAGCGGTGGGGGACCCAGGCACTCCAGCGAAGAGACCTGGGTACTCAGGTAAGATGAACAAAACAAACTTAGCAAAAGAAAAAGGCTAGAATACAACTGGATGTCTTTTTTTTTATAAAAAGAAAGTGTCTTTCATGTCTTTATCTTGCAGACAGTTTAGAAGCCAAACTTTCTAGAATTGACCTGGCCAACACACTGAGAGAACAAGTTCAGGACCTGTTCAACAGGAAATATGGTGAGTTTATAGACCGATAAAACAGTTGTGACCAGCTCGCCATGGTGACGTGTTGAGGGGATATGGTGTTCTTTAATGTACAATGAATTTTCACAACTAATGACCAAATTATACAACATGACATGGACTTTATCTCCAGTCCAATTTTGCGCTTCTGAGGAAATTCTTCCATAAATCTATAGGCCTGAGAGCTTTTCCTAGACACATTATTTTTCACATTGACTGCACAGGCAACAGAAAAACAAGACACATTCAGCATTTGCAGAGGGAATCATTCTTTAAAGCATTACCGTTTCCATGTGTCCGCAGCCTAACACTGCACGCAGCGATGCTGTAAAGCTGATCGCTTTCCCTGCTGTTGCTTCCATTTAGTTTATTCTGTTGTTCAAACCACCCCAGTGGACCATATGTGTGTGTCGCTCAGGTGAGGCCCTTGGCATTAAGTACCCGGTCCAGGTGCCCTACAAGAGGATCAAGAGCAACCCAGGCTCGGTCATTATCGAGGGGCTGCCTCCCGGCATTCCCTTCCGGAAACCGTGCACCTTCGGATCCCAGAACCTGGAGCGGATCCTGGCGGTCGCACATAATATCCGCTTCACTATCACCAGGTAGTGGGGGTGGTGGGGGGGCACTGTGGTTTTTCCACCTTCACTGGTTGTGTGTGTTGTCATCAGTTTTGCTACAAATTACATAAGCTACTCCTGTAACTCATCTTATCTTCTTTACAGGCCTTTCCAAGGGCTTATTCCTAAACCAGGTGAGAGACCCGTGTCAGGATTGCACCAGTGTGAGGCTGTATTTGATATAATTCTTTGCTAATAATGAATGAAAAAAAAGTCAGAAAGAAACTAGAAGGGACTGTTCATTAACTACAAAAATGTTTACAGCAGTGTTGGATTACACTGATTTGCTAAGGATGTAATAGGTTTCACATAGACTTAACATGATTTGCAAATATTTTCTGCATCACAAGCATTCTCAAATGTAACAGTAGTGAATACACTTTTTATAACGTAGAAAGGTGGTATTCTGAATTTTCCCGATTATCTAGTGTGAAATTCTCTTGTATTCAGATCATTTCTTAAATATAGCTTTGTTTATATGCCCCACCTATATTATTATTATTATTATTATTATTATTATATTTTGCCTTGTATGCCCATATTCTACAAGGTTATGTCCATCAGTACCAGCAGTGTATTACTGGGCTTGAGAGGAAAGCCTTAATGGCAATGGAATGAGCAAAAGACATTTTGTTATTCTCTACATTGTACACCCACACAGAAAACCATTCTTTCTTTTGTGCTGGTATACAATGTTATAATGTCAAGACGCTCTACCATGGACGCCCATGGAATGAACCCCTCCTCTCCTTGCAGCTCCTAGGAGGATCACCTTGCTGAAGAAAGCCTATGTCTCAATAAGTGGTGAGTTCTCAGGACTGTCAGGGAGAACCTACAGTATAGCTAATGTCTTGCCACGTGCCCGTCTCTTTATTTTATCCTGCCATAAGATCTGTTTTTCTCTAGGATTGTGTTTGCCTTTTTTTCTTGTGTCTTTTATACATGATCTTTCCTATTTATCCACAACAGATGATGAAGAGGTAAACCGCATGGGGGAGAAGGTGATTCTCCGGGAGCAGGTGAAAGAGCTGTTCAACAAGAAATATGGTCAGTTCTGCCTTCCTTTCATTCTTCATTTGCTGTGTGGTATCGCAGGAGAGTTCAGAATCCCTGAACTTGGGTTGGAGAGTGTGCAATCGCTGTCATGCAACCCTTAAACTATCATTTACAATGTTTTGCCTTTGGATCTTTGAGGCTTCACTTACAGTTTTTTGTAAGTGCACCACTTTTAACAAGACTAGAAAAGAATGATTTCCAATGATACTATCAAAAGAAACCGACACAAATCCACAGCATTATAATTAGGGTAATAGTTCCTGTGACCACTGTTTGGAAGCAATACAACATGCTTTGCATGTTGCCTTCTTATGGGATTTTGGTGATCTGTTTATAAATAGGGCATATTAGTTACTTTCTGTGTTATTCCAGGATTGACATTCACTAGGTTACATCACTTCATCACATTACCCAGTTAGCTCTCTCACTAATGAAGTGATCTAGTTCTTGTGCAGCAAAGTCACTTGTGTATATCACTGTCAGTTACAACTGATCAAAACAATCAGAGAAAATTATAATCACTGTCAAAAATCCACATTTTAATTTTATTAAGAACATATTTGCATAAACAAGATTATATTTTTTCTTTAGATATAGTTTATCTATCAAATGTAGTTTATCTTGGGTATAATTCCGAATAACTGGGCCCTCCACTCTCTGTTTGACTCCTGTTTATGTCCAGGGGAGGCTCTTGGTTTGGACCGCTCTGTTCTGGTGCCCTACAAGCTAATCCGGGGCAGTCCGGACTCTGTGGAAGTGTCTGGGCTGCCAGAAGACATCCCATTTCGAAATCCCAACACCTACGACATTGCACGCCTGGAGAAGATCCTCCAGGCTCGGGAACAGATCACCATCAACATCAAGAGCCAGCTTCAGTGAGTGGAGAGGCAGGGAGGCAGCAGTGGACATTAGCGTGTCCTGTCCAGGGGGCCGTCTGATCAATTTGACATCTACAGTAGCACTGACATCAGCCAGCTCAAACAGACTTTGATTCTGAAGCCAGAATCTTTGCAAAAAAATTAAACCACCCATTCACTGAATGTTTTCTTACTTTTCAGGTAGTTGAAAGGTTTAACAACAAATTACATATCAAATGTATGGTAATATCTGTTATAGCTAATATGTATCTTGTGCACTCTTTTTTTGTCACAGGGTTTTGTCAGCGTTCATGGGTCTGGCCACTTGTTTGTCCTGTGCCATTCGTCTGCTTAATGTATCACACCACCACTTCTGTTGCCTTCCTCTCAGATTTGTCCCACCCCTGCTCACTTCCTGTAACTTCTGTCCCACACGGTTTTCATCTCTCCTTCCCACATGTCCAAACCACAGTGGTCTTACTTCTGTCTTCATTAATAAATTATGTTCTGTGGAAGAAAAAGTCGGGTTATAACATTACTGAAAAAAACTAGTGATTGAACTTACGTGTTGTGAAATAGATTAGCCAATTTGCGATACCAGTTATTAAGATAATTACTATCACTATACAGTTGTTTTGTATTTTGTCATCACAAATTTTATTTCTTCATGTTGTTTTTGTCTGTTTTTCAAACAGGCCTTTTGCAGAAATTTGCACCCAAGCCTGCAATACAGGTAAGAGATTTTACTGGAGCTTTCCAAAGCGATCTACCAGGGATCTATACTGATTGAATCTTTTGAGATAAGCTATTATCAGAACAGGACAGCTCCCTATTTTATGGAATGCTGATTTCAAAAGAGTAAATAAACAATTATTATTACTATACTGCTGTTTTGGTTTCCCAGCATGCCCTCAATTTCCTGTCAATGTTTTGAAACGAGACAGTAGTGTTGCATTGAATGACCAAATTCATCATTCCTTTTTTTTTATAGGGAAAGAAGGCTCTGCCCATCGCCGCAAGCGCAAACGACTTCCTGACACCAGCAGTGTCTCCACCTCTTCAGGGGTGGAGTCAGGAGTAACATCCAATCAAATTCCTGTGATGGTGAGTGGCACTGGGGATAATGGGATTATGAGAGAGTGGCTTGCTGTAGTTTTTTTTTTAATATCTTATGATTCTTCCTAAATTTATATTGTTTATGACTTGGGTTTTTTCATCACTTTGTTATAATCCCATGTTACTTGAGCAAAAGGTGTTAATGGTCTAGTGTGCTGGATCCTAGCCCTAAATCAGCTGGACAGGTGTCTGCTGGTTTTCTTTACAGCTGAGTCCTGAATCACAAGTGCTAGCTAATGGCCTTAACTCATCTGTTTATTTGTTTAAGACTGTATGGCACCTGGGTTTTAGAAATGCTTGACTTCAAAAGTACAGTTTCTGTACAGCAGACTCGCCCTCACTATTATAAATTGGTGATCAGTTCAGGAGACACAGGTGAGAGTTACAGTGTATCAGACATTCCCACAGCCAGCTTTTTTCTTCCCTTCTCTTAGCTCTGGTTAGATGGGTGAAGGCAGTTCTGCTACATTATTGATACCAGTTACTGAGCTCATTCAATGTATAAAGAGCTGAAAGCTTTTTAATATGCCCCAAATAGAAAATGAAATCAGTTAGGCTGTGATTAAGTATTCAGAGACAGGACCAGACTTGGGAACCAATTGTCTAGATCTACCACATAAATAAATTAGACATAAATGTGAGTGCAAATGCGTTAGACAAAGTTACAGTACAGTGACATAGCAAGTCTTTTAAAGTAACAAATCTTCATTGTCCAGAGTAGGTCAGAATGGAAATGATTCTTTGGATCTTGGTAAACATCTGGCTTACTATTACAATTCAAGATAAACTATGAACAAGAGACCAAAATAAGAGAACAAGATTCAAAATTCAAACGGATCGATTTGGATTCAGGAATTCAGCCAAGTATTATAGAGAAAAGCATTTAAAGAAAAATAATCGTTGTTTGGTTTTTGTGCTCTTCTTTCAACAGCAGTGGCCCATGTACATGGTGGATTACAGTGGGGTAAACATGCAGGTTCCCGGACAAGTCAAATACTAGCAGCGTGACCCACAGATTCCACTGTAATAGAAAGGACAAGTGACTGGGAAGGGTTTGCATAGCAAACAGCATTTATGAACTCAACATCATCGTTGCCCATTTCTCAAGAGTGCAGTTGCTGCCTCAGCCGAATGGAAGGAATGGATTTGGAGACTTACTTTTGATGCATTTTAGAGCGTAACAGAAAAAGAAACACTTCTTCCACCCTGGCTAACTATGATCACTGGAGGTTCCTTCAAGAAAATCTCATTACTACACAAGCTGGGGGACTCCTGTCTCTTAAAGAAAATGCCTTTTGACAGTTGGTTTTATCCACTTTTCGTTCACTAATGGTTTTATCTGCCATTCATGGAACCGAAAAAAGCACCTTAATGCCAGAAGAGCAGGAAACATGATGCTTTTAGCTCGAGTTTAGTTCCACATACTTTTTATGTGCTGGTTTGTGCGTAGAACATTCATTCCTCATGAATGACCACTTTAATAGTCCCTCTCGCCATCTCTAAACACAACTGCAAAAACAGAAATGGACATTTTCTAATACAAGAGTCCTGTAGTGGCCTATTTAAAACAAGAATCTGCTTCTATTTATCTTAATACATTTTCTCACATAACAAAAGTCTTCACGGAGGAGTTGGCGATAATCTTAAACCATCATTGTTTGGGGAGAAACTTTAAGAGGATATCCTTTTAATGTTTTCAAGTACCGTGACTTTTGGTATTAGCATGAAATGATTTATGGTGAATGTGTGTTTTTAAGTTTTTGTTTTCACCTCTTCAATAGGCTCTGAGAACATGATATTAGCTGTAGTACTTTCACTAGAAATTGCTTGACAAATGTGAATATAGTAAATGCTCATTCTGAACAGCACAAGTGAAGACAAGCTAATCGTATTTGTTATTCCAGGGAGGACTATCATACACTGGAGGGGAATTCTTTGTGAGAAACTCAGTAATCAGACATAGGATCTGCATGGAGACCTGTGCCAAAGTGGCCAAAATGCTGGCTAAATTAATAGAATTCCATCCACAGGAAGCCCAGATTCACTTTTTACTGTTCCGCTAGTCAATTGTCTCTTAAGAAATGGGTTACAAAAATGCAACAAATATAAGCTGTAATGAATGTAATTCATGTAAAAGAAAAGAAGGTAAATGGTATATGCTATTCTGTAACAACTGTCTTTTCAGGACACGAGCTGGGGGATTTCTATGCTGTACTTAATGCCATTTAGGCCTTTGAAATAAAATGTGTTGCCTTGCATTTTTATTTTCTTACACTGTGGTTAAGTTATTTTGTGGATAATAATGGATGTGGGTCCAACATGCATTCTCAGAAATATTAAATGCCAGAATTAACTGGGGAAAGAAATAGAGTTGCACTGAGGTGTAAGAAGTTGACTTGTTGATAAATGCATTATCAGGTTAAAACTATGTTATTATTGTTATGCCATTCTAGCACTTATGAATGCAGGGAATGAAAAGACATGCCGACAAACAACCGTCAGTGGGGTAGTGAAATGTAGGTCTTGAATGGGATACACTGTGGATATATTTATAAATCACCCTGTTTTAGAGTTCCACTTTGGAAATGACATCTGAATGAAAGTGACAGACTGGGAGCAAGGATCTACAGAGAAGTTCAGAGAATGGAAGAGGAGAAATTCCAAAGAGAATCTGTAAGTATGAGCACGATGCACACACAGAGGAGACCGATCTAGAACGCAGATGGGGAAAAAACAAAACATGCTATAGACCAGTAAATCTGTCTTCTTTAATGAACTCTGGAGATGTTTAAAATGGAAACGGTCATCGTAGGAGATTTTAATTTTCCTCACATAGATTGGGGGGAAAAATGATCGGGGCTGTCAGCAGTCAACAACTGCTAACATGGTTAACAAGTGCTTTCTTTCACCGTTTTTTTTTTTTCAGAACACCTACTTAAAGAAATGCCTGCACTGATTCAAGTAGGGTCATCCACTGTAGGGTAACTGCACTGGCTTTACAGACATGCATTAATGGGGGGTATTGAGTAGCATGACTTCAGTCTTGTCACAGTTTGAATGAAGGAAATTTTAAATCACCCAGATTCTGATGTTCTAACATCAGAGATGCAATTAGAGAGAACAGAGGTAGCCACTTCAGTGTCAGGTTTAGTATGGGATGTAGATTTGTATCATCAGCATAGAAATGGCAATAACTGGCCAAGTGGAAATGTGTAAAGGCTGAATAGTAGGGAGTCCCGAGGAACACCAGACTTCACAAACCCAACTTCAGAACTAAATTCCTCAAACTGATGGTGATCGGTAAGGTAGGAGTTTAATCTGAATCTCCTGATTTTCCTGATACAGTGCTTCTTGCTTCCATTCATTGGGGACATCTCATCTCCTTACACCTTAATCTACGGCGAAGTGAACGCAACTTTGTGACACTGTTTTGAGACCTAGGGGTCTACAACGCCGATCACAGATTTCCTTGGGTGTCCTTGCTGAGAAGTAGAAACTACAACTCCTAGAGTGCAATGCGGACCTGCTTCCGGTTGGGGGAGCTGGAGGAGCGATTTTGGTGTCGGTCTCTCTGAAGAGGCGGTGGTGAAAGTGAAGGAAAATAATAAAGTAGCAGACTAATACAATTCCAAACGGCCATCTGATAAGGCGGTGTTTGTCAATGTCGCCGAGTTATAAGTGGGGGTGACGTCAGTGAGTGTCTACTACTGTATGGATATTTGTTTTTTAAGCGATCTAAATGCTTGCTGCTTGTTCATAATTCCTTAGCAGTGGGTTAAGCCAAGTGAGCTGACGCAACGGTCTTCGCAGAACTCACCGCAAAAAAGAGTAAGTAAAACAACCGTGCAATTTGCAAAAAAAAAAACGCTAAATGCGTTCAACAAAAATTTGCATAAGTGTTTTTGTGCTTGCATCTTTTTATGCACTCACATCACGAACGTCTGAAAGCACATCACGAACATCCTTATGCACTATTAGCAAAAATGCATGACAGTACTAACGTGGGTCACAGAGATTCGCATCCTGTTAGGAGTGGGTTCAGCCCGTGTGCGTAACTCGCACACATGACTTGCGGATTACGACCTGACCAGTTCGCTTATTCATATAACGATGATGGTATGAAGAGACAACCGCAGTCTCCGATGCGTTCTGAGCTGTGTACCGAAGCCGGTGTATGTTTTGGCCCTCCGCCTTCCCCTTTTAGAATTTGTTTTAATGTGAAACAATAAAACATTAGGTAAAATACTGCGGAGATGCTTAAAAAACAATCACTATCGTCAATGCTATCGATCACTATCGTCAAAACAGCAGCTTGAATCAGCCGGGGATGTACGCCTCTAAGCGATAAATTAACTGCTTGAATACAGTTCATGATTTACGTGGCGTATGCTTTGAGCTCGCCAGACAGAGAATATGTAGCCTCTGGACTTAAGATGTGTGTGGGAATTCGGTTTTCTTGCACTCTGGCTGCAGGAAAGCCTCCTTTCCCCAGTCTGCCCAGACTGACCGTTGCAGAGGTGAGACATGTTCACATCGCACAATCCAGGAGGTGCAACCTTGCAGCACCGCGGAATTATGGGAATGGTTGGGGAAAACTGGAAACAGCGAAGCTACACAGAAAACGTGTCTTTATGTAGCTGTGTCTTGGAATTAGGCCCTCCACGGTGCACAGTTCTAAAACAGCTTTCAAAGTCACACTTAACACTTTCACAACTCTCCAGAATGGACTCCTTAAAAATTACAGTCGATAAAACTGCAGTGGTACTGACGGCGAGCTGTTGCTTTGATATTCGATATTCAAGAATGAATTTGAACGAATAAAGAAATAGCAGCTCATGATCCCGTAAGAAAATCTTCAGGCAAGGCAGTTCGACAGCTGTTGGGTTTTATTTTGTAACTGTCTTTAGAAAACCTGAATCATTTCCACTCATAGTCTTCTCTGTTCAAGACCAAAAAGATTACAGTCTTTTAGCTTGTCACTGTAGGACATTTCTTTAAGTCCCGTAAAGTCCCACATCCCGTATTTCTGAATCTCACAGGTTTTTCACATCCATTATCCTTCCCTCTTTTCTTCTTTCCTGTCAGGAACCATGGCACAGATCACAGTGTCTACCAGCGCACACTGCACAGAGGAGCATCCCTCTGACAAGCGCATCGTAGTGACTCTGCTCATGTCAGCACTGGATTCTATGGTAACTAGTTCCACTTGGACAGACCACACACAACACGAGGGTTAAATACCAGTAAAAACTGTGCATTTAAACGCATGAAGAGTGTGGTTCTGAGTAGTTAACATGGTGAAAGAGTTTAAGGCAGGGGTCCCGGTGAAATATGGTGAAAGAGTTTCCAGTCCCGGTCTCGGTGTGTCTGTGGAGTTTTATTCCAACTTAACAGGCTGAACCCACTGCCTGCGGGCTTAACTGGACCTCTACCAGCTGGGCAGGTGCTGTCGTCACTTTAAAGAGACCTTGAAAAGGAGCAGGATTAGGTGCTCCTTGTTTATGATGAAGGATGAAGATGGTGGGTTTTGGTTTCTGAATCACTCCCTGAGAATCTCAGGAACACAGTGGGGTACTGTGCTGTGCTTCGGGTTGCAGCTGTGTTAAGATAAGGGGGTACCACGGAGCTGAGAGCTGCCAGAGTAAGAGGTTCTGACGAGCGACTTGTGCTTGCTGCCTTTTCAGTGCAAAGAGCTTGCAAAGTCGCGAGCTGAAGTGGCCTGCTTTGCAGTGTACAACCAGGAGGTGTTTGTGGTTGGATCCGAGCGGGGCAGGGCCTACACCAACACCAGGCCCGACTTCCAGAGAGGTTTCGTCACATACTGTAAGTCGGCATGAAGCTTGTAGGGCTAAAAAGCTCATTCCCAGTCTAATTCTGTATCCTGGGAGTTTTGTTTTTCAATTTGAAATCCGGTTCCAGTTTGTAAATTGAAGTGCATTCAACTCAAAAACCCAATTGACCCCCAACCCTGATGTGCAGTTGTCGTTTCTTTGTGAGGTACAGTATATGGGAGTTTTAGCATGTCTACTAGCTAGAGAGGAAATATAATTTGTTATGGCTTCATAAATGATTTGGAGGTTATTGTGATACTGTACAACAGCCATTTACAAAGAATTAAAAAAAAATGTTGTCTTCCTTGAATTCATTTGTACAAAAGGAAACAAGAACGTTGTTATTTAACCCCTTAAGAGCTGATGGATGCTTTTCAGGAAATAAACCTGAACCTGATTTACTCATTCTGTGTTCAAACATGTCAGTAGCTGAAAGATACGGTAGCTTTAGCAGGACATGCACTGTACATGCGTGGAATAACTTACTTCTTTATTGTGATGCTCAGGTGAATCTGAAGAGAAGAAAGGGAGAGAACAGAAGCTCAAGTCTTACAGTTATGAACATGGAGAGGTTTCAGACAAAGAGACTCTGAGGAAAGCAGTGGAGGATCTTTTCTGTATTTGTTACGGTAATACCTGAAGCTGTTGTTTTGAAGTCCTAATAGCGTTGCACAAAGACTTTGTGCTCTCCAAGCTATTTTATTTTAGAATAAATCCATGCGATGCAATGATGTCCCATGCAAGGTATATCCTGCCTAGTGCCTGTTGCTGCTGCCTGTAACCCTGTATTGGATACAGTGGTTAGAAAATGGATAGATGTTAAATATTTTAAGTTAATATAAGACAGATATTAAGAATAAACTGAGACAACAATTTGTTCTACATTACAATTAGGTTTACATTATAAGACACTCTGTGCATCTATTAGTGAACCCTGGATTAATATGAAAAAATAGAAAAAAAACAACTTTTAAGCTCTGCCTATGCTAACACTCCAATAAATGCACACTTTGCTTAAAGTATTAGGCATTCACACCTAGTAATGTATTGGACCTTTGTGAACAGCAAAAACTACTTGACTCTTTAGCCTTAAGTTACGCGTTGTGATGAGGGTAGTGGCTTGTGGGATTGAACTGCATGCACCTGCAACTTTCAGTAGGTCTGAAATCTAAGAATACATTACCATATAAGATGACAGAAGCTCATCTCATAGTCTTCAAGCCACATCAGATTCTCTGCTGCTGAGAGACTGATTGTTTGGAAATCCCTAAGAATTCAGCCATCAGGTGAGAGGATTTCAATGTAAATGGCTAGGCAGGTGTGTTATCAGCTTGATCTCATGGTAAGCATGTCCTTTGCTTTTAGGAAGGGCTTTGGGTAAGCCCAGTCTTGTCCCTGTGCCATTCGACAAGATACAGAGTGACCCCTCAGCAGTGGTGGTGAATGGTCTTCCAGAGGGAGTCTGCTTTAAAGAGCCTGCAAGCTATGACACTTTAACACTGAAACAAATCCTGGAGGGTCAGTCTCACATAGCCTTTACTGTCAAAAGGTGATTCTTCTCTCTCTTGTATTTTGTCTGTTTCGTTCTTAAGTTAGGGTCAACGTATGGATAACATCTTTGTGTCATTTCAGGGCATTTCTGGAACAAAAGGAGACAAAAGGTAAGGTATTTGTGTGTATTTTATGAAGTATTATTTTGGAGCTTTAACTTAACTTTACGGATGTAACTAACTTAAAATAAAGAAGATAAAGATTCCATTTTGTTAAATTGTACAACCTTTTAGTAGTTCATAAAAATGGTTAGAAAAATGTTAAACAGATTTTCATTATAAGATACTCAGCAAAGCTTTTTAGTACAGCACTCTGGTACACAACACAAGCTGGTCGCTGTAGACAAGAAAATAATAGAACTTCAACAGTCTAATACAGACAGAACAGTTGTTAGAAATCCTGTGTCAAAGGCTTGGTTCGTTCTGTAGAGACTAAAATTCTAAACTAAAAGTCCTGCAGTTTCAGTGGTTAAAATCTGATGTGATGCAGTGTTTAGAAAGTAAATCTTCACTATATATTTGTAACAGTCTGTTCTTAGAGCAATATGGGTCTTTAAGCAGATAGGTGTACTGCTTGAAGAAAAAGGGAAAATGTAACTTTGCAGGCTTTAAAGGGAAATTTCAGATATTTGTGTTTTGAAAACTATTTTATCGAAATCTGAAATCTTAATGTGTATTTCAGTTATTACAGGAGAGCACACCAACACCACCAGGGAGTTTGAAAGGAGAGAATATGACAGGTACTTAGTGTTCCATGTGATCTAGCAAGGTGTCTTTGTTGTTTGGATGTGTAGTGCCGAGTTTGTTTCATGTTCTATGGCAAAGATTCTTAACCTTTCAGAGGTCCCACATCCTACCTAAAAAAGGGTTATCAGTTTGATTGTGCTTTTAGGCTGTTTAATGGATTGATAAATGTGTAATATGTAAAACCAAACATTTATTACAAATTACAAAATTACAAATGATACTGTGTGTAAATACAGGCACCTTTCAATATGCAAAACTTTGGGAATAGAAGGTATAATTATAGGTTTCCTTACCTTAACTACAGCACCCACACTATCTCTGGTCTCAAAGTGCCCTTTCTGAAATGAATGAAAAAAGTGAAATCAAGTCAATTGAAGAGACTACAGACTTGCTTGAATGCTCCTTGTGGAATTAACCATTATGGAATACACCAGTGAGGGAATTTTGCTGTTTTGGACAGAGAAATTCTGAAAACATGCTTAATGAAAGAAATGTCTGAATGTCACAGATTTCATTTGGATTAGGTAGACAGTGGTATTTGCTCTTTTATAAAGCCTACCTTCTGTTCAGCTCTGTGAATTGCTTAGCAGATGGTGAGGATGTTGTTTATGAGAAATGAGGGATTATGTAGAATCTCTTGATGTATCTTCTTGAGAAAAACAGCAGTGCAACAGTTGCACCTTGTTCCCTTGCAGCTGTATACCTGTGCCAGTGAAGGCAGAACCGGCTGAGGAACATGGTATGTACATTGAGTTGCATGGGGCTTTGTAGGTTAATACTGTATTGTTTGGAAGGCTACTCTTCTGTAATTATTGTTGACCTCTTCTGAATTATTGACCCTGTAATTATTGACCTCAATGTCCTACAGTGCATATACTATGTCTTAAAAAAAACTAAAAACCTAAAACTAGTCATCGAGGGCTTGCAGTATATTATTACAGTATATTAGATGTACTCTTTATATCAAATATAGAACTTTACTAAAAATATGCTGCTAATATGTGAAGAAGTACGTTTGCAGTTTGTATACTACATTTTGTGTTTGCATCCGTGTGCCCCGTCATAGACTGGCGTCCATAGGGTGTATCCTGCCTTGGGCTTGTTATTGGTTGGGAATGGCTCTGGCATCCCCCATAACCCTGGATTGGAACAAGCAGTTAGGAAATTGATTTTTCTTAATTTCATGGGATAAGGGCTCTCGATCACTGATGTCTCTGCTTGTGCCAGCTGTAGTGATGATGAACATGACTTTTGTCTGTATTTGTTCCTTTAGAGGATCTGGAGATGACAACAGTAACAGTAAAGGAAGAACTAGAAGACACTGGTTATAACAGTTCCCTCCTAACAGGTTAGCACTCATCCCTTTCTTTGACTTTATTTTGTTTTGGGGATTGAATTCACTTTAATCTTCCCATAACAGCTTCCACTGCAGTTTCATGTATTGTCAGGTGCTGAAGTGGGCGAAGAAGTGAAGTAAAAAAGTGGTTCTCTCTCTCTTTTGTTTCCCAGACTCAGCCTTGCAAGCCAGCTCTGAAACAAGTGAGGACCCTGAGGTAGAGGTGACAATTGAGGGTAAGGCTACAAATGATGGTTGCAGCCCTTCTGAAATGCGACACCACCAGGTTGGGTCAGCTGACTCGACGCCCTCTGGTGTCTCAGCCTGGAGTCCTACTGGGTGTCTGGGTGTATCTGGAAACTATTTTGTTTCCACAGCCTCAGCCGACTGCTGGTCGAAGACCTGCTGTTTCGCCCTGGGTGATCAACAGCAGTCGGACTTTCAGCTGTCTGGCAGCCCCCAGCACTTCAACAGCAAAAACACCCAGTGCAGCACCAAGTGGGGCATGACTGTTCTTCGTAAGTGGTACCAAAGCCATTTCAGGCGCCCGGCTTCCACCATCGACAGCATGTCGGCCCTGGAGCTCGACGAGGTCCTGAGGGAGTTCTACATCAACGCCAAGACCAGCAAGAAGGACAAGTACACCAAGAACTCTCTCAACGCCATTCGCAAGAGCATCAACCGCTACCTGCGGGGACCCCCTCTGCGGCGGGACATCAACATCCTGTGCGACTCCGAGTTCCCCGCGTCCAACAGGACGTACCGCGAGGTGTGCCGCACCCTGAAGATCGAGGGCAAGGCCTCCACCAAGCACACCACCCCCATGGCAGTGGAGGACCTGGTCAAGCTGTACCAGAGCAGCGTGCTGAGGCTCACCACTCCTCAGACCCTCCTCAACAAGGTCTGGTTCGACATCATGTTCTTCTTCGGTCGCCACGGCGGCGGAGGACGGTACACGCAGCGAGAGTTCACCAGAGAGTCTTTCGGCTTCGGGATTGATGAGTACGGTACGTCCCTCCTCCCCCATTTCACCAGCCCGCCACTGATCGAGTTGACAGTCCAGTTCCGTCAAATATATTTCAGTGCGATGCTGAAAAGAGAAGAAAAGAAATGAAACGTTCCGGCTGTGGAGCCTTCTGTGACGCACACCTGAAGAATGCTTCACAGCAAAAACGTTTGCGTTTCTTTTCTTTTCAGTATGGAACAGACTTATTAACTTATTCCTTTACCGATGCAGCTACCTACCTACAGTATATTTCAGTTTGCTCTCAAGAAGGACCCTGAATGAAAATAAAGCAGTATGATAATGACAGCAGGACCTTCCAACATGCCGCTGATGACTATAAAAGTATTTATTCGGTGATAAGGTTCATTTCCAGCACTAGGAATGCAGCTTTTTCAGAAAGGCTGTTCTTTAAAATGTGGGCCATGATTGAGAAAAGGGGCTGGGTGAAATGTAAGCGCTGATTCTATTTTCCAACGCAGGTGTGGTGTACAGGCGGCCACAACCCTAGCAGCCTGTCACTGCGCCCCAGCCTTGATCTAACACGGGCACAGTGACACCACCAAATTATGAAAAGGTTACTGTGCACCTTGATGTTTTGTTAATTAGAACTTGATTTGAACCCCCTAGCGAAGATACTACATGAGCCAAACCAAGAAGATTAATTTTCTTGGAAGTGAAACCCCAAATGGCACAATACCCAAAAGACCTGGGAGGGAGAGCTTTGAAAGACATCTCTGAAGAGTTCCATAGCTGTTCATCACAAACCAGTCCTGTAATAGTGTGTTGACTCAGCCCTGGTGTGTGTGTGTTTGTCCAGGGAGGGAGTTTGTCTATGCCGTGAAGGACGAGCGAGGTGACTTGGAGCAACAGAACTGTCCCAAAGTGCGGATGTATGCCCTGCCAGGAGACCCCCGCTGTCCCGTGGCCGCCTTCCAGCTCTACCTGTCCAAACTCAACCCCTTCAGCAATGCCTTGTTCCAGCACCCCATCCTGCACCCCTCCACTGACATCTGGTACAACACCAAACCCGTCGGGGTCAATGTGCTAGGTGGGCTCATGAACGATTTGCTGTCCTATATCTCTATATCCCAGTATCCTATTCCTCTAAGGAACTGGGACTGTTGGGATGTCTTAGTGATTTTCCTCCTGTTGGTCCCAAATCTAACCGAAAGTCTGTGGAAATGTCTGGATTATTTTTCTTCTACATCAATACATATTACTCTGTGATTTAAATTGTGTGCAGTGCAGAGGCCAGCCTAGGTGTAGTCTGTTCTTGTACCTTCTACACCTGATGGCTCTTAAACTGCAGCATGTGACAGATATGGATAGTTATTATAGACCAATGACAAAACGGCAGGCATCTATTGGTAGAGTAGTTGAGATGGTGATGGTGACAAAAAGGTTTTGAAAGGGGAAATATGAATCTGATAAGTCTGGTTGCCAGTTAGATTTGGCATGTATACTGTATCTTGACTGTTCTTGGTTGTAGACTGCCAGTGTGTAAGTTACTATGAAATGAGTACATCTAAAGTATCCTGGGAAGTTCTTGTCTGAAGTCTCGCTGTGTGTGTTTGCAGGCAGCATGATGCCCAGGCTGTCTAAGGAGGCTCAACTCTCTGCCATCTACTCCAACCACAGCATTAGAATGACCCCTATCATGTTGCTGCAGGGCCTACTGCAGATGCATACCACGAAGGTATAGCAAGGATTCAGTTACTGTAAATTGTCCTGAACCACTGCATCTAAGGTATAAACCTCTAGATGGCTAAGAGTAAGGTGAATCTTCAGAGCAAGATAATATAAGGAAAATAATAAATGAAAGCATATAGCAAACACAGTTTGTAATCATCAGTTGTAAATGGCTCTGCTTTACAGATGCAATTTATAAGGGCATAAGAATACCCTCCTCTGGTTTGTAAGGCTTTCAGCCCATCTAAACCTTTTAGTGGTTACTAGTTAAATTATCCAAGGATCTCCTCCAGCTGTTTAATGAAAGAAACCAGGGAATCGGCATCCACAACATTTCTGGGTATATTACTCCTTATGTCCACATTCCCTTTGGGTAAATAGGGGCCTCCTGTTCTCTATTTTAAATTCACTTCCATGTTGTCTCAACATGTGCCCTCTGGTTTGTGTTTGTTTGTTCATTCTGAAAAAGTTCCCTATGTTGACTTTGTCAGTGTTGATGATATGCCCTTCTACACAACATTTCATTTGACATGGTGCTAGCTCCACAGTGCCTCACAGGTGAGTTAGCTCTAACTGGAGGAGCAGAGCGTCTCACGCTGACATCACTTCACGCCAGCAGGTTTCCGGCAAGGCACAAGAGTTGCTATTTGCTGGAATGCCAGGAGACCCCTGGCCAGCTAATTCCATCTCTACCCTGGCAGCACTCTATCTACACTATCCTTCTAGACTCTCTGCCCAGAAGTTTGATTGTGATTGGGCACTGTAAAAGCATTAAGTAAGATTCATCTAAAATCATACAAAAAATGTTTTAAACAATTCCTTATGTCATGAAGACCATTTCCCTACAAGCCATCCTGGTCTATCATTTTTAATAGTTAATGCAACTGAAAACAGACATTTAGGATTTCCAGTTTCTTGTATTTTGCACTTTACTAAATAACATATTTTTTCCCCACACAGGCAACTTCACTAAAATCCAAGCACCAGTAAAAACGGAAAAAGAGACCACCTCTTTTCTATAATGTGTTCTGTGCCAGCAAAACAGCCCTGTCACCTTTTTCCACAGGGTTAGGCTCCAGGCAGCTCCCTGTTTATTTGCCTTGCGGTGACGTACTTTCAAGCTCCAGTACAGCCACTCTCACAAGCCCATGAATTGTACAGCTGCCGAATGTCTTTGCTTTTGTTTTATTGTGACATTGAAGCTACTCCCCTATGAAATGACTGTGTATTTGGAAAGGAGTGATGACACAAGGAGAGCCCGATCTATCAATCCCTCTATTGAAATAATTAAATGCTGTAATATCAAAGTAGGAGTTTGCTGTAGTGTGCAGTGCTAATCTCCTTCTAGGCTATCAGAGGTCTGCGGTTACCTTTAAATTCTCGTGACACAGGAGGGGAATCCTCTGTGGCTGGTTTAGCCTCCTTGTGCCTTGATGACCCCGACCTTTGTGTGGGCAGGCAGAGCTGCCTTCCTTGTGCTGTCTTTGTTCTTTTGCACATTCACATACAGTATGATGAGCTGACTTGTCAGTTCACTGGCTTTTTAAAGATGTACATGTGTGACTGTCTGTTTGTCTGTCTCTCTGCATGCACGGTATTGAAAGATGCGCAATGTACTGTAAAATGACAAACATTTGTGTTTATCTTAGCATGTACCAGGACAGCTTCCAAAGCTTTACAATCCGGCACTAAGACGAGTTTTTGTTTTCCAAAATTGTGTTTTAAAGGTTTTTCAAATTAGTGTTTTTATATACCTGATATCTTTTTGCTGAATTTGCACCTGTAAACTGTTCCGTCCTCTTTGGGGAAAATGAGATTTAAAGTGTTGCAGCAGAGCACGAAGTCAGGAGGATCGGTGTGCCCGCTTTCTCTGCTGTCTTAGTTTTTATATTGCAAATCTACAGTAAGTCCCCGTTTCATTCCTCAGAGTTTAGTACTACGACTTTGAGATACAACAACTCTGAAAACTTGATTTCATCATTTAGCCTGTTTCTTACATCTTGGTTAAAGCTTCACTCGGAGGCGTTCTGAATTGTTTTGGTTAATGTGAATGTATTTTTTCATATTTGCTGAGATGAGGTCACCCTAGGGAGAGGTGGAGGATTTGACAGGCATGGCTCTTCTTTCCCTGGCAAAACAGTCCCCCTGGGTGCAGCTCAGTCAGCCAGGGCCACGCCACTCCTTCACCCTTCAGCTGGCGATGTGAGGCCTGCAGTGTGTCAGGGAGCAATGGCTCAGTGGGTGGGCGTGTCAGAGGAACCTGTCTGCACTTCCTCGTTTTTCCCATGTGGGCACAGTAATTGTACTCGTGAGCCGAGACGTTAAGATGCAATCGATGATTCCTATTTGTCTGACACTATGATAGAAATAATTGTTCTAAATTGTTTTTTAAATATATATACTGAATAACTTGTTCCCCCTGCTACTGTCTCCTGGCATGCTGTGTAATATTTCCTCCTGAAGAGTGAGGTAACACATTTCTGCAATACTTCCTTGAGACAGCCTTTGTCCTGTATATGTTAATGTCAATACGACCTGCATGGTGTAATTCTGTCTCTTGTTACTTCTGTTAATGGCAGCTTACCAAATCTGTTGTTGCCCGGTTTACAGTTAATGTAGTACTGTAGATGCTATACTATACCGGTATGTATCTAGTTTTCACGTAGTAGCCCATAGTCTTAGCATTTATCAGCTAAAGCTGAGTAAAGTTCTAGGCAGTGGTGTTTTCTTTGTACATTTGTCCTACTTGTCCTTTCTGTAAGTGGCTTATGTATTTTTATGATGCTGCTATAAACAAAAATGTATAAAGATGTCTGAATTTGTAAAGCATTCCCATTTTATGTATAACATAGTATATTTAATAAATACAATTACATTTTCTATGCAAGTGTTGGATTTTTTCCTTTGGAGATTCACTGTCTGGAGTTTGGCTGCCTGTTGTGTCCACTCTTGACTGGAACTAGTGTGCATGGAGTTACTCTGACACACTGTCTGCTTCTAATCATAAGAACAGAGGAACAAAGGGTTAGATCTGTAGACCCTTATTGTGATTAACCTGATTTTTTATGATAGTGTAAAATGTAATATGCTTTCATCCTTATAATTCTAAAGAGGTTATTTGTATGCTATATTCTGTACGTCTTACACCATTTTAATGTCATACTTTTGCCTTCAATTATATTAAGGTAGAGCGCAGTAAAATATTTCATTTAAAAAGGCTACACCAATCACAATTTTTTTCATTAGAATCCTACAGCACATTTTTCTCTGGTGAGGTCTGAGGTCTGATGTCATGAAGGGCAGTGGGTTATTGCTACATAAAATGTGTGCATTTCAAGCTTCCTAAAGAGTGATATTCACTGTAGATCTCAAATCTGAAGCCGGAGGAAAGCAACGGTTTAGGTTCGAATTTTGATTTCTCCATCATCCTTAATAAATCATGAAGCAAGTGAACCAGTGATGGATTATATTAGATTAACCAGATTCCTGTAGTTAAAACACATACATATTTTTACTAAAGTCATATCTTTATTACTGAGCCCAAATTGTATCCATTTCTAGATTGAAGATTTTTTAAATATTTACGCAGTTTTATGGGCAGGAAATGTACAGTATTTAAAATGTGGCGGCACTTTTGTCAGTAGAGGAAAGCAATCTACTAAAATGAAAATCATTAAATCCATATTGATTTTATCCAGCCCCTTAACCAACATTCAGCACTATTTCTATGTGCATATAAATGGAAATACGTCTGCTTACAAAAAAAGCTATAGTCAAATGTCTAAATCCCATTATAAATTTCTCTGGAGTTTGTTTGATGATCATCAGTTTATTCATTTAATTTGTAATACCTGATCTGCCATTTGAGAACTTCAGAATATTTTCTTCCATGAATTATGAAGGGAGGCTAATTATTTCTTTGTAAAAGGTTCAGCTTGTGCTGAGAAAGTAAATCTGTAGACTAGACATATTTTTGAGGTGATTCTTGGGATTTCTTAGATGAAATCAAAATGAGCTCAGCACCGCTTGAGGTGTATCGATAACTGGCTACACCATATGAAGATTCCCAGCATAAAATGTATGAATGTAGTGTAGATAATTAGCAAAATGTTCAATCCAACAGACATTTATGAGGTCTTGATGATTCTATTTCGGTGTGTGTTAGCCAATAAACTTGAAAGTTTACTTTGTTATAATCGCCAAGATCTGTTTTCTTCCTTTATTAACAGAACAATATATCACATATTTGAAGTTATGCTTGTAACGCGTCCAACTTTTCCTTTGTTTAATGAAGCAGACTATTCCTGCCATAATCAAAAAATATTCCCTGTGAAAACAGGAGCCCCTCCCCCCACAAAAAGAAAGTGAAAGAGTACAGTTCTAGTTAGTCAGATGTTTATTCTTATTTTGAAAGGGGGATTCTGAAAAAATCCACTTGATCACAGGGAGAACATGCAAACTCTACTTAGTTTAAAAATTCAACTTCTAAATATTAACCAAGCCATGCTTGACTGAACTGGCGAAGATGTGAGGACTAGATCTTATTTACAGTATCTGCAACATGATTACAGCTTCTATAATATACTGTGGATTACTGTCTTCCAGACAGAGAGAGTGAGAGGCTGTCAAAGGCTAAGAAAGCCCAGTAACTCTGAGAGCAAGTCCGCTTGAAATTTGTTAAGGAGAGCTTTAAGAGGAGAGATGCAAAACTCGGGGATTGCATTCCAGATGCTGTTTACAGACAAATAAGTCCCTAGTGACCCAGTCTGAATCACCGTAAAAGTGATGTTTTTTATTTTTCTCCTTTGGCCCATTCCCATAGCCTGTTATTAATAACCACAAGTACTTTCTTTCTCTTACGATGGTCTTTTAATAGAAATGTAGCTAATGAATTGTTTCCATCGCAGCCAGGAAAATTACATTGTTTTGTTGAGTGCTCTGCAGTCCATCCATTACACATTAAATCGTACTCCCAAACCCTTTATGCAATTTCACAGTTAAATATCTTCTTCACCTCAGGAGAAACAGCTGCAGAACCCCATAGAGTACATGAAATACTAACACAGCAGGGCAGACTTGAAACTGCATCAGGTGATATAAGCAAGCAAACCACAGGGAATTGTAGTGCTGTATCACAGAGCAGTTGCCATATGTACAGTAGATACAACCCATGTCAGAGCATCCCTAGGGTTTTCAGTCAAATGTCAGATAAAAAAACACCCTGAGGTGTAAGGAATTTAATTCAACATTTAAAGCTCAGCTACATCAGTCTTTATGTAAAAACCTCTTTCGTAGCTGAGACTGGAGGCTGTAAATAAAAATAAAGCACTAATACAGGTAAAGAAACTATTTTTACCACCTAGTTAAAAGTCCTTGATAATAATATCACTGTCTGCCATACACATGAATAATTTATGCATTCTCCCACCTTTCATGTTTTTCCTTTTTTTCCTGTTTTTTAAAATTTGTGGATCGCTCAGAGACAGACACTCCAGTTTCTCAAGCTAATGTAACAAAAGTGTGAGGTTTTCTAAAGTTACTGATATAACTGAAGTAGTCATTTGGGTTGATACCATTGAGAACTGTACAATTGTGGATTAAAATCAGTTTATCTTCTGTTTTCAGAGCTAACAAGATATCCCACTAACCTCTGTGCCATTGCTCACTTTTCCCAGCAGGCATTATTCCTGCATTTTCGTATCTTTCAAGTTCCCATCCCAGTGTTTTATTTCCTGTACACCTCAGTGCTTGCTTTTCCTGATTTTTGCATGAACATTTTGTCCTTTATGCAATACTCCTTGGAGAGCAGCCATGCATGTGTCCTGAGATTCCCAATACAATAGGGTTTAGTTATTTGCTCTGTCTGTTAGATTTTGAAAATGCAACATTTGACCTGAAATCTCTGAGGCAGGAATCTGCAGAAATAGGTTAGACCATCCATGAAAGAATGCGTTTGTCCAGGTTTTCCATATATAGATATAGATATTAGTAGTTCAGGTGGGTAGCTGCGTCAGCATGCGTAGGCTGCAAAGGAACAAGTAATAGGTTTATTCCATGCTGAAAAAAAGAAGAAAGAGAACACAACGTTTCAGCCGTGGAGCCTGCTCGCCTGAAGTTCATACCTGAAGAAGGCTCCACGGCCGAAACGCTGTGTTCTCTTTCTTCTTTTTTTCAGCATGGAATAAACCTGTTACTTGTTCCTAGATATAGATATGCCTAGAATAAGCCTTTCAGAAAGAGATGATTGTGAAGACACACTGAAATGTGGGAATTAGTGCGCAGTTACAGTATATTCCTTACCTTAGCCCTGTATCTGATACGTGTGGGTTCACAGAACTGTGCTGCAGTCTGTGGAAGCAAATGAAGTGGACAGAGTGTGGCTTGCACAGTGAGTGCTATTCAATCGTCCATCCAGGGCAGGGAAACAAGTTCAGGAACTGCAGACAGACGTGGACAGAGCGAGCCCATGTCTGGGACTGACGCCTGCTTGAATGGAGCCTTATTCACAGATGTCATTTAATCTGCGCCAGAAACCCAGACACACCGAACACTCAATGAGAATGAATGTGGAAAGGCTTGTTTCAAGACCGCAGGATGATTTTTTATGCACTGTTTTATGACATAAGCTGATACAGTGTTTGAAATCATGGAGGTACTGACAAAACATCTGTAAATACTACAATCTTCTTAAACTGATTAGATTAGATTAACAAATAGATGCAACAAGGTTTTTTACATCTAAACTCACTGGATTGAGCATATACTCTCCTTGTTTACCCTGTAGCTGTCAATCTGTTTGCTGATGTATCCAAACATGGCCTTAACAAGTTGCAGCATGTTAAGATCTCACCTGCCTGGGTCTTAACTAAAATTAAAATGCATTTTTTCAATGGAAAATTGAATTCAATTCTGTTTAATTTGCATGTTGTTCTGTTTAGTCTACACTAATTAATTGATATGTTAATTAGTGTACACTTGTCTCTGTAGTTGTAATTTTATCTTGTTATATTGTAAATTCGTTTCCATGATGTTACAAAACACACTTGATTGAATGAAAACTCTTATTCTAACACTATTTTTCTTTTGGTAGCAGATGTTAATGTCTCTCATAGTGGGGACAAGAAAAGACAAAAGGGTTCTGAAATAACTACAGCAAATAAAGATATGTAATTTATCATTGGAAACACCAGAGCCTAATTTATCATGATTCCTCATACCGCTGTCCTGGGGGTAACACAGCAGTGACGTACTTTTCCTGCGCCGTTGCGACTACAGTCGACTACAGTTCTACGACTACAGTTCCCAGAAACCTCTGTCTGCAGCTCGGACGGGTGTTTCCGATATGAGATCCGTGAGAAAACTGGAAACGAGTTTAGTACAGCTGTCGGAAGAGCTCGCAAAACGACGCGTGTGTTTATTCCTTGAAATCAGCCTTGTGTTGGAAGCTGTAGTTTTGCATTTCGTTTTATTAATGGTATATTTGTGTTGTTTTTTTTAGTTAAGGGGGAGACTTCCTATGATACTGCCTGTGTAAATTGTTTACATAGCTACAGCGCTACAGAGACAGGAGCTCAGAATGGATAGCATTGAAGTTGGGTATTGGGTGTTTAAATTGTTGTAGCAAGTTTAAATCTAGGTATACGTGCTGTAATAGTTTCTATTATTTTCCGGCTGTGGCGTGCTTGAGTCACTCGAGTGATGACAGCCGTTCAGGACGTGTAGGGTAACTTGCTGTTTCCATTTAAATTGAGTTTCGGTTCGGTTCGCTTGTGGACAGCACAGGCGACAGGGCAGAGGTGTCGTGAATAGCGCACTGGCTATTTTATCGCATGCATTCGACTGAAAGGGCAATACACGATTAACCCGGTGAACAGTTCTAAATGACGTTTTATCCTAAACGATTAACCAGGCTGTTTTTTTTTTAATCTGCCAGTGAGCTACGCGAAGGATGAGCAGTTTCGGACGCGTTGACGGTGTCGCAAGTTGGGTCTGGTCTCGGTGATCTGCGACTCCTGTTTCATGATTGCAGCGCGTAGTCCAGCTCAGCGAGTCTTGCACGGCCGAGGAGGAGAAGTTGCCGTCTGTACCGCAGCCCGGCTCGGGTGGAGATGGCGGCGGCTTCCGCTCCGGGCGGTAGCGGGTCGGGACCCCCAGCCGACCGGGGCTCGGCGGCGCAGCTGCAGCCGACGGTGGCTGTCTGGGAGTGGGCGGACGACCTGGGGTACTGGCGCCCGTACAGTGGCCAAGTGAGCGGGTACATTGAGCGGTGCCTCCTGACCCAGCGGGGCGGGGGGCCGGCGAACACCAGCATCTCCCTGGGACAGGCTGACCCTGCCCTGGCGCCCTACATCATCGACATCCCCAGTCTGAAACAGTTTCGCCAAGACACGGGTAAGTGGCTGTGGTTCTTCATTTAGAAGCGTTGGTTAGTGCCCCTGCGCCTCTGGGTTGCGCCGGAATGTGACCAACCTTTCTCTTGGCAATTCGTGTAATTTGGAATTGACTGAGTCTCCTGGGATTCCCCGTCCTTTTTCTTCTCAACGTTACTGAGTAATCGTCAGTGACGTAATGACTCTGTCAATGTCTTTTAGCTCTGTAGACGTTCAGTGTGTTTTTTTTTTAAATTTCCAGTGTTTAATCTTACAAATCTAGCACTTCATCAGCAATGGTGCCCGTCTGTAGGTACAGCAGCGTCAGTGTATACAAGGAAGCAGGATCCTTTACTAAGTTTTCAGCTCAGTTGAGAAAATAGTGCAGTTAGTTCGGCAGGCTATACAATATAGGCCTACTGAGTGGTGTTTGTCAGTTTTAACTTTTGCCCATCAAAGAGCCAACTGCAAGCTGAAAGACGGATGGAAATTAAAAAATAATAAACCAGTCGTATTTCTCAGCTATAAAATCTATTTCAGCTGAGATTCCTGTGACATCGGTAACTTTCAGGATGGCAAGAGATCACCAGACTGCAGTCTCATCAGTGGGGAAGAGCTCAAGAGTGCATATTTCACACACATCACTGGAGGGACCCCAGCTGTTCAAACAGATCAGTTACTATGGTGTCCAAATCTGATGGCCCAATTTCTTTGTTTTTCTAAATGGTGAAGATTGCTTAAGGTGCTGACTTGTTCTCATCTTGTGCATGTACTGTATGTTTCTTGTTAATGCTTTCATGTTGTGTTAAGTGTATTGTGTGTTGTTATATTATGTCTTCTACCTACCCCCAGAGCATATTTCCTATCTGGGACAACAAAGGAAGTATGTAAGCAAATGTGTTAATTAGTTAAGATTCCTTAGCAAAAGAAAAAAAAGTCCCAGAATGTTTAGTTCACCACTGAATGGGTGGAGGTATGATGGAAACTGCAGTAAATGCACAGAGGACCTGAAACAAAGAGGCCTGCGTGTGCTGGCGAGGAGGCAGTGTGCAGCACTGGAGTGCGTCTTTGTTCTGAGGGCTTGTTACTGGCACACGAGTGGCTTGGAGCAGGGTGCTTGCTGCCACCTGCTTGGTGCAGACGGGAAGCTACAGAAAAACCGCAGGAAATCCAAACTACATTAACTTCAGCATCTGAACATAGCAGGAAGCCCAAAACAGTCTATTGGTGGGGATCAGCAGCCTTTCGCACACTAGAAAGAGACGATTCTGCAAGCACAGGCAGCTTGTATTGATGGAAGTGTAGATTTTGCAGCCTAGGAAAAGACTCCCTCTGACCCCAACATTTATGCCATCAAGTTTACTTTTTGCTGCAGCATTGGTCTTGGTAATTTCTGCTTTCCTTAGGTTGAAACAGGATTACAACCAATGTCCTTTGATTTTTCTAATCAGTGCCATGATTGCAGAGGATTAGTGTTGTGGCTTGTTTTAGTCCTATTGAACACAGCACTTGTCCAAAAAGACCATCAGCTTATACCAATGGTCAGTCCTGCTTGATCTGACCATGTGGCTCTTTCTGAGTAGAAGCAGAAATTTGTGAGGCAGTTGACCTCTGATTAGATAATAAGAGTTTCAAAGATTGTGTGGGTGGAAAAAACCTAGTAGCAGGTAACTTTTGACTGGGACCGATAGGTGATGCACAATAGTGACAGTGCTCAGAGCAGATAATTGCATGGGTCTTAATGTAACACAACAGATAAGTTCCCTAAGCCTTTTAGATATAGAAAACCATTTCTGATATGCCTAAAAAAAGTGAAAAATGTCTTCAAAAACAGAAGATAGCATTTTTATCATCTTTTGAAAGGTCATTTTTTGGTTGGTTTCTTGTTCCTGAAATTTGAAATCATTAATATGAGGAAAGAAAAACAAACAAACTGCATGCTTCATTTTTTAAATTCTCATTAGATTATTAAACATTTAATATCCATCCACTTTTTTTTCTTTTGCCTTATCCAATACAGCGTCTAGGGGTGTACAGTAGCAGAGCCTAACCTGGCAAACAAGGGTCACAAGGCAGGATACATCCTGGATGAGATGCCAGTCCACCGTAACACACACATTCACACCAGGGCCAGTTTTCCCAGAAGCCAGTTAACCTACCTCTGTGTCTTTGGACTGTGGGAGGAAACCCACACAAACACAGGCAGAACATACAGTACAAACTCCATGCTGAATTTACCCCAGGTCCAGAATTGAGCCCATGGGCCCCTAAACTGCAAGGCCGCACTGCACGCATTTATTAGCAGATCATTTAATAATGACAAATCAATGAAAATAAGGTTTGTGATGGCCTTATAGATGTACACTAAAGAATCAAGAAGGGCTGTCCACTTAACTGAAGGGTGAATGACTGTCTCACACCCTGCATGCAGGCGTAACGGGCAGAGATGGTACAGCTGGGGAGGTCAGCTGTCGTCATGGGGCACCTGGATTCCTCTGGGAAATGAGTGGGGAATCTTGGTGCCCAGCCAGTGTGAACAATATTACCTTCAGAAGGGTGTTCATTATTGGGTTTGAGCCCAGGATCCCTGGTGTTAACAGGCAACGATCACGAGCATAACGTGCCACTCTGTCACCTGTTTTGAGTAAAGTAAAACGTCTTAGGCTATATGCCACTATTTCTGAATTAAGAAGAAAGATGAGAAAGGTGTGTGTTGAGAGGACTGTCTGTTAGCTCACAATTCAGGTTTGCTGCTCTTGAAAGGGAATACTTTCTTCAGAAAGGTGTACTCCTCTTCAGTGCTAGGAATGGCATGGGGACAAGGCCAGAGATTCAACAACTAATAAAAGGTGTTTTTTTATCAGGCTTGGTATGCTCTTCTTAAGTGCCAGTATTGCTCTTTGTGCTTTCAGTTGGGGATTATTTCCAAAAGGTCTAGTTAGCCTTAAGGATCTTTTCTGTTCTCTGTCCCAGGGAAGATGCGGTCAGTGCGGAGGAGCCTGTTCCCCCAGTGTGGAGCTCTGGGGAGCGGGGTGTCCTGGGAGTGGGCTAATGACGAGGGCGGCTGGACCCCCTACGAGATGCAAACAACCATCCTGCTGGAGCAGAGCTACCAGGCCCGACAGCCCTCCGCGGACCTGGGCCAGCAGGGCTACAGCTACGTCGTAAACCTTGCGGCACTCGTGCAGGTCAACAAGACCACCGGCTTCAGGCGCCAGATCCGCAGGAAGACCTCCGCGCCCTACCCGGCCGTGGGCTCTGTTATCCACTCGGGCCCGGCCTGCTCCTGCCTCCAATGCATGGCTAACAGCGGCACCGGCCCGATGCCCAGCCGCACGCGCCACTCCTTCTCCGCAGCTCAGAGCAGCAAACCCAGTCTGCAGGTCTATGGCAGGGCTCCGGCTGCCAGCCCCACCCCTGCCTACTCCCCCTACCCCAAGCGGCCCCTCTCTGTGGGTAATATGTCCTGGGGTGGCCCCTGGCACCCAGTGCCCCCTGGGGGCCAACCCGCAAGAGCCTATCAGCCCAACGTCTCCAATGGCTTAAGGTAAGCATCCCACTTTGTTTTCTCTGCTAGCGCAACTGCTGTATAATATGAACATCAAAAGAAAAGCTCTGTAGGGGTTCCCTAGTGGGTCAGTCACTAAAGTTGCTGACTTGGATCTCATCCCAGTACTCTATGATCCAGACCTCGCTAGACTGAGCATGGGTCTGTCTGCTAAGCAGCTGGGTTCAGGACTCGCCAAGCCAATAGTTTTGGTGAGCTGGTATTCATTGAGTAGAGCTTGGTTCTAGCTAGCTGCAGGTTCTGTAGCAGGTTAGATGCTTGCAGGTTTGCACTGACATCTGCGAGAGAAGCTGCACTACCTCCCCTATCGGGTATTGTAATGGTTCTGCACGTTGGTATATAGTAGGAGCATGGCCACATGCCTCGTTCTTTCAGAATCACTACCACACCAGAGAGCCAAATGTTAAAAAGCATTTGGCCTTTCCAAAATATTGTAAAAAGCGTGCATTTTACACCAGGTACAAGAGTCTTTCAGTCACAAAGTCTGTACTTAGTTTTTCAATACTTAAAGTTGTCCAAATTGAAATAAACCTAAGCATCATCAGACCATATGATAAGGAGGAGAAGAGCAAGGTATTACCAGGGAGAGCTTTACAAAGACATAAAAAGCTACTTCCTGTCAATGTCCATTTTGCAAAAAAACTTAATGCTTTCTCATTGTAACTATATATAGATGTGTAAATGTTTCAAAGCTTTATTTGATTATTTTAAATATAATTTTTTAAAATGGCTATTGGACCAGTATTCTCATTTGGACAGTTTCTTCATCATTCATAAAAAGTCCTACTGTACATATACCTCAGAATTGGAATACAAGTGTATTGTCCCAATTGTTTGCATTATCTGCATCTCAAGAAGAGTTCATCTGTTATCTTTCAATGTATCTAGGCCATCGCGATCTGTCATCTGTCAAGCAGCGTGCTCTAACTGACCACTGCATGCCCACACGTTTCCTGTTCTTTTGAGAGACAGCACACCGTGCACGCACAGCTGAATATACTGTTTGAGCTGCTTAGTACCTTTAGTTTCGGACATCAGAAATTTGAGAGACGAGCTACACTAGCTTCCTTTCAAACCGGTTGTTTGTAGTGTTACTGGAAGTGTTCAGCCTGAAATCTGTGTGTTTTCCTGCACTTTAATCTCATGTTCTTTTGGAATAAATGTCTGATTTATAACTAAATGCTGAAGGGTTCCAAAGGCAATCCTTGTTTATCTCTTAAGTGATTTGTGCCCATTTGTCACAAATTATAAAGCAAAGCATAAACATTACACTGGCAAGTTTAATACTGAGTTTAACGATACGTACTTGACTCATATCTGTATAGCTCGGTTACGCTGATACCCCATTTTTCACGGTAATGAATAAAAGGAAGATTTAAAAACACTAGTTACATCACCATTTGACCTTGCAGTGCCTGCATACAAATCTCCCTGCATCAAGGTTTTGTTTTAGGGTGGAAGAAACGGAAAGTCCCAGATTTGTAGTGTCCATATTGAGGTAAAATTATAAATCTTTTAATAATGCAAATCCGGGATTCCCTGCTTTTTGTGTTCTGTTACACGTTATTTGTGTGGGTTGTCTGAAGCTGGCAGCACTCCAATGCCTACAGGCTGAAGTGTGCAGACGTTTTCCAAACAATTTCCCTAAAAGATAGTCGCAGAAAAACCCCTATCATGGGACAGAATGAAAATCAGTAAACCATTTGTTCATGCTGTGGGGGAAGAAAGTATTTTTTTTTTCGTGTGAGCAAATACAAAGATATGCACATTCCAATATTGATAGTGGGAGAGAAACCATATTGCTTGGAATATAAAGTGCTTTCAATGGTGATTTAAAGCTCAATGAGAGTAATTGGGACAGTTTCAAAGCTTTTTTCGATTACAAGTGGAAGAAAGACTTGATTCCCTGTAAAACAATGGAAGTTTTGCCTGACTGTTGTGTCTGTGGCGCAGTGGTAATCTGCAGTACAGTCCTTGAGTGCAGCTCTCTAACCTTGTCTTCTTGCTGCCACTGCTGGCTGATAATTCCAGGAAATGAGGAGGACTGAGACAAACAGGGACCGCGCCATTGTTTCAAGTGGAAGAGGAAGGGGTGATTTAGGGTCCCATTGTTCTCTTTTCTGTTTATACTGAACTCTGAACCAGGAACAGCCCATTTTCGCCTGGCCTACGGGGCGACAAATCAGTCAGCAGTTGGTCCAGCAGAGAGCAGGGTTGACAGCTCGGATCCCTGTGGCCAATATTAATCCGGGAGTCCCTGTCCCAGATTCCCAAGACCTGACACAGGTGTACACAAAAGGCATGAGAAAAAAAGTCTGTTTTTCCCAAGGGTGTTAATGATATGCTATGCAGAAACCTGTAAAATATTGTACAGTTCTATCTAAAATAGATCTTAATTTCAGAGTGATTAAATATTTATTCAAAAAAACATTGTAGCCTACGTACTAATGATAAAAATAAAGGTGACTAATCTAAGGCTTACTAAGAAACTCATCCTAATTCTATTGTTCAGATTGAAACAAAAAGCAAAGTGACGTAAAACACAGTGAAGATTTTTTTTAGTTATAAATGCATCCTTGTTATTTCTCAAGCTCAGGCTGGCATTGCTCACAGTCTCCTGCAGTGCTAAGCACAGCAGTTTTGTGTGTTTCCCCGTGCTTGACGAATAAGTTGTGCTGATGTGGCTTTATTTTGATTTTGAGCTCATCGACGGCAATATCACCTGTAGTACAATTTTCGCTTTTGTTAACCTGAAATCAGAATAGTGGGCTGAAAGCCACAGGAAAATCTCTGTGTTTGTACCGGATCACTTTGCAGGAGTAGTGTCTTGATTGGCCACAGCTTTCTTTATCTACCTCTGTTCAGAGTGCCACTATATCAAAACTGTAAAGAAACCTCTTTTCTAAGTGCAGCAACCACATAAAATGTTAAGCCCCATTGGTGAGAAACAAGAATGCTTGAGTACCTTCTCTTTATTCTCTTCATTTATTTCAACATGATTGTTTGCTTATACTTTTTGTTTATGCTTGTTTATGGCCTTCGTGGAAATTAAGCAGGACACTTCATTTGGCCGCTTGCAGTAGGCACTGGTTTTGAGTCAGTAAGCATGCTGAAATGAGCAGCCTCAACACAAGCTTAATTTTCTGGCTAACTGCCAAAAAAGTGAACTGTTTGTGTGCTAATAAACTGTTAAGAAAATGATTATTATGCCCCAAAGTGCCCCTTCTTTTTGATTACCTTACAGATAACTCCATAATGAAGTAAATTGTGCATTGCATAGTCCAGTTCTAAGATCATGTGGTCTTCATCATAAATCATGCTGAAGCCATGATCACAATATTCTTTTGTGCTTTACTGTATCCAGCCTAGTCTAATCTAATCTTGGTATTCTTCCAATATCAAGTGTTTCATTGCTATATCACAAAATGGCCTCTTCCTTGCCTTAACAAAAGGGAGACCTCTTCCCCCTTACACTTGTGTTTTTCTAAAAGAGCCCTTGTTTTTCAGCAGTATTCCTTCTGTTCCCGTGCAGCTGAATGGACCCAGTGGCATCAACTCAGCCTTGGCAGGTAAATTCATCACTTCCATTCTAGCAATTGCGAAGCGGATTAGAAGTCGAATCATTCACGCTAACGGCATCAACGTCTGCGATGCTCTTGATGCCCAGTCACAGTGGGTTGTTCTGCAGAGTGTGCCATATAGTAGTCATTTTGGCAAGGGCAGATATGTCCTCGGCTAAGTATATGATGGAGAAACATATCAAAATTGATACGCACAAATACACAGCAAAGCATGCTATTGCAGCATTGGTGAAAAACAATTTCAGTGCCAGTCTGTCTGAAGCTGGAGGAAACTGTCTGGTTTTGCACTTCATTCTCTCAGCAAAGCTGTCAATAAGCATTTGGCCCACCTCTTTCTTTAGGATGGTCTGTCTCACACTTGTTCCTGCTACATTTTCTTCTGTCTAGTTGCAAGTTTCTGAAGAAATTTGTTTTCTCTTCCAACCTTGCCATCCTCCCAAGATGGCCTTTACCAGAATAATTGACAAATAAAACGTTGTTACAGCTTGCATGTAGTGAAGAAAAAAAGAAAATGCCATGCTTAATAGTGCGTAGGGTCATTCCAGCGTGTATGCACTGCAGTACACAGCCTGCAAGCATCTGGCACTTTGTAGGGGGGGATGCAGCTTCATTTTTCCATGGAAAAAGTCAGTCGTCTCATGGCAGGCTGAAGGCTGAAGGCTGAAGGTGGTGGAAAGCCCTGTCTCAGGTGTTGTTCCACAATATCCCAGAAATGCTCAAATTGTTTTTAGACATTGTGACTGAAAAGAGAAATCACACTCCTTACGCCATGGGATGACCACATGTGCTTTATGGACGGGGACATTGTCATTCAGTAGCTCACCTTTATCGCTTAGTAACATGACACAACATGACATGACAACGTAACATGATAGCTATTAATATCGATCTTATCTTAGGAGAGAATGAGTGCACCCAAATTCTGTCAGGAAAAAGCACTCACCAGCATTAGAGAACCACCAGAGCCCTTCCCAGTTGGAAACACATGCACTCATCTGTTTGTGGAGAACATGGGGAAGGATGATTCCTACCCATATTGTATTTCTCCACTGCTCAGTAGTCCATTGCCTGAGTCCATTCCACCACTGGACTCGCAAACATGCTTTTCCAAGTATGATGAGCACCGCAATCCGACTATGATGTCCTGCCCTGTGAAGTTTTTTGCTGTCCTTTTTAATGACGCTGGCTGCCTCAGTTTAAAATGTGCAGTTAATTGACCTGCAGTCGTCCTGTGCCATCAATGTGATATCTGTGCAGTGGGCGCTTCTGCCAAATGTTATTTGTGAATGATGTCTTGCCCACCGAGTTCCATGCTGACATCACTTTAATCACCGGTGGTGGCGAAACTTCAGCAGGTGGAGCAGTCGTGATCACTGAAATTTCAACCACATGCTCGTCACCAATCTCCCCTATTTCACTAAGGTCTGTTCTTTCTAGCCTGTAAGTAACAAAATGGGCAGCAAGGCCTGTCTAGCATTTTTATATGCAACCTGAAGCATGTTGGGATGTCTGCTTAATTATCGTATACTCCACAGGTGTGTGGAAGCCATTGCTTCCATATACTGGGCGACTCATTTATCCAGGTATTTCCAGTTTTTTTCCCCACTACTGTATCTATATGTTTCGCACTGTAATGTAAGCTTAGAACACCATCTGTGAATGCAGTAACAGGAAGGTTCTGTAACTGAAGATAAATGCTGAAGTCCTGCTTTGTCACAGTTCTGACCTCCCCAGAGATCGCCAGTGTCTGTGGACCCAGAGCCATGTCCTTTGTTGATTCTACTGGGATTCTGGATCATCTCTATGATCTGCCTTTCTTCTCTATCCTTTTCCAATTGAATTTTCTTTCAAAGAATATTAAATCATATAAAGAATTGTAAAGACCTTAGTAGGAAGTTGTCGAAGTGTTCTTCATAACATCCCTGCAAGTTCATATTTCATTTTAATTAAGATGGATATGATTAAGAGTATGACTTTGCAGTTCTTTTAAAGGCCTGTTTATGAGATTTTAAATTTATTTGAGTATAAGATGCTGAACAAAGTGGTTCTCCATTAAATAGACTCGCTTTAGTCATGACAGTACTTTAGAAATCGAGGACTCAAAAGTCTGTTTTTCTGTTGTGTAATGGTTTTGGTTTTAGAGATATCAAGGATCGTGGAGAACATACTATGAGAGACTTGGAATATCTTCAGACAAATATTTTTCTTGAGTAATTTCTAAAGTAAGAGTGGAACTTTAGGGAAACTTTAGTTTCTCACCAGAGCTCTGTAGTCATGAGCTGTTACAATAGCATGTGTTAATATAGCTTTAACATTAAATTAACACATTTTCTGATTTAATCTGTTAACACCTTTCTGAAAATAATGTTTTGGTATAAGACAAAATGAGGAGAAAAGAGGTGATAAGCAGTTTATTTTTAACACAAACATATCTTATCAAAAGACTGTATGCCTCTGTAGTGACTGATTTATTCATGAGTATACAATGAGTTATAATTAGATAAGGTGTTTTTTCATTAAAGCATTCAAGTAATATTTTTAACCATTTGACCGAACTCGGGATTACTTGAGTTATTAAGTTGTAATGGCAATTTCCTGAGGGGCATTTCCTGCATTTCTAAAAGTAGCTCATATCTCTGCTTTTCCGGAGAATAAAGGTAAGAAGTTAAAATAAAAGCTTCAGAGATTTCCAAGGAAGTCATTCTGTTGAGGACTTTACAGCAGCTGCTTTGGTGAGGTGGTGTAAAAATCATGGAGCCCCAAATGGCATTCGTGTTTATCTGATTTTTCATTTCTATTTTTAGTTGAATAGTTGTTTAAACCATTATTTACCTTGCTGTGATGTTGCATTTTGTTGGCCTTAAACTGGTGTTTAAATTCAAAATTAGTAATTACGCCATTGTAATAAGTCAGACAGAGGCATAGTGGAGAGTGTGTGCAGTTTTTTTTTAATCAGCTATAAATGTTGAGTCTTCGGGATCGCAAATTCCATGTTTCTTTGCTTGCAGATTTATTTCTATAAACCTCTTAACTGTCTGTCATCTTAAGTAACACTAGAATGTTTTCTTTTATTGTGAATTACGTTGTAACTTAGTAATCAGCACATGCAATGTAGATAGTATTAGAGAGTTTCTTTACTTTTCCAGCAGTATGGAGTGGCCAGTATCAGTCAACAACCCCTGTCTTTATAGTAGCTCAGTCTTGGCAGATAGCTTGATGGGACGTGAGCTCTTTTGTTTCCAGGGTCTCTGGGGGTGTAGGGTGAAAAGTTGTTTTAAGCTTTCTGGTGCTTTCGGCAGATAACTGAGGACAGGAAGGAAGGAACAGGCTGACGGTCAGATTCCAGTCTGATACTCTGCAATTGGGCGTTTGACCAATTTGATCATCTTCTATTTTTCGGAGTCTGTCACATATCTTGATCTATTATTTCACATCCTGTTGTCTATATCTTCTTCTCTTTCATCGGATTGTTTTTGTAGCCTTTTTTATAATGTACCTCTGGTGGAGCTGAGCAAACTGGAAAGAAACATTTGGACTTGGTTTATTTTGAGCAGAGGTTTGGTAGTGAGATAGGTGGAGTGTATTTGTATAACAATGATACATTAGTACCTGCCTTCTAGCACATCCTCAGGAATTGCTGAGAGAATCTTGTCAAAATTAAACATTAAATGGGCTGAAAGCCAGCTAATTGGTGCTCCAAATGAATTTAGCAAGCAAAAGATGTGATGTCCTCTTGTTTCCCGAGATGTCAGGAGTGCAATTGCAAAAATCAGTCATCAGGTTGTTTGCTGTATCAACAAAGGTGTTTGAATTTGTACAATTGAATTTTATGATGACCGTCTTTTAGGAATAGCTTATGCTTTGGACAACTGTGAGAACAGATAAAACAGAGCAGGTCATATACACATTAGTACGAAGGAAGGTAAGGATTGTACATGCCCTGGCATTAGCATCTCCCTCATCTGTTCTTATTTTGCATAACTTAATACTTTGGCAAAGGTCCCTTGTTATGCCTTCATCTATGTATAAAATGCTGTATGATTAGTCTTTGTAACTCCTGGAAGATTGTACATGCATGTTTGAGGCACCTGAGGGGGATTTCTTTGGGTTTGTTTTCATTTACTCTTCTCACGGTTTCTAAGTTGTTCACAACCTTTGGAAGCATTTTGGTGCACGTGTAATGAGTGTGTGTCTGGGAGTTGAACCACAAGGTGGGAAGAGGGAGATCATATTTGTGCCTGTACAGCCATTACACTGATCTGCATTTCTCAGGCAATCTCTGTAGCTGTAAATCACAGTGACTCTTAATAAGATGGTCTTACCACATGAAGACTTTGTTTTTTAGTGAGAAATATTCTAAATACTTTAGCTTGTAAAGGGAGCTCCTGTATCATACATTTCGTGTTTAACTATAGCTGCATCAAGTGTAGTCTGTCTATTGTGGCCCTGCGAATCTATTAACAGAAGTAGTTGCTTCCTAATCACGTTTTAACATTAAGAAAGTTTACAGGAGAGAGAAGGCTATTGTATCCAGTTTTCTGCCCTAGGATGTTTGTTTTTCATTTTTTTTCTAATAAAGTTATGACAGTAGTTTCCATTCTTCACTGATGTGAGAATTGATAAAATGGTGACTGGGGTTAATCAAGCAGCAGTGCAGAACTGTTTTAGCTCCTCCGAAGGTGAGGTAGAATCAGTCAACCGGGGCTCTCAACTGGCTGACCCCTGTGGCTTCCCAGGTGCTTACAGGCACATGGTGCCGTCAGTGCAAGACACTCCCCTCTCAGAAAAGGGTTGTGTTGCCTTTGTGTTACAGATGAATGGGTCCAAAGTGGGCAGGACTCTGCCTACACTTCCTGTTTCTCCCCGTGCGCTGTCTGAACTGAGAACTGAAAAACACAAAATATGTTGTTCCAAATAAATAATTGGCCGTTCTAAATTACTAACCCACTCGTTATTCCTAGTAATTTTCCAGGAATGTCTGGTCCATGAATGATCTATGTACACGCGTGCTAAAGATTTGAAAAGGCCAAAGGTGAAGCACTCCCAGTCTCCCAGTCTGTTACTCCTAAGCTTCACAGGTTGTATAGCCAAGACATCCTAGACACGCAGGGAAATAGAGTATCTAATGTACTGCAACAGGGATGAGATTCACCTCACTCCCCCCAACACCCCCCTGCTCAGTTGTAACACATCCCGTTTTATTCATTTGTTTTTCCTCTTCCCTTCCTCTCCATTCCACCTCTCATCCTGCATGGCTCCCCCCCGGCACTGCCCGCTCCAGGCATGGCGTCCATTTTGATGTCGGCAGCTGGACTCCGCGTTCGCCTCACGAGCGCACCGCCACCCCAGCACCCCTCCTCTGGCAAGGCCAGCAAATCTCACAGCGCCTTTAGGAAGGCAAAGAGTCAGCCCGAGACAGGTAGCTACTCCACTCTGCGCTCCGGTCCAGCCCTCTGGGCTTTCTGTCGCTCTGCTGCTGTGGGAACCCGGGCACTGGCACATGATCACTCCACAGCAGCCCGAGCTCCTTCCTGTAGGCCCTGTTCTGTTGAGGCTGCTCCTTAGCTTATTCCTCCTAGAGCTGAATGTCAGCGTTGGTGCCATTTCTGATTCTGCTGCAGTTTTGCTGCATGGAATGCCAATCTTGTGACTCTGTGAGAGGCAGACTCTTTAGCTATTTTTAAATGTAGACTTAACATCTATGGTTGTCTTACAGTTTGTCTTGTGTTTTCTTGTTTTCGTTTTGTTTTTTTTTTATTGGATTTTTACCATTGTGTACAGTGTCCTTGGGGTTGGAATGGCTCTATATAAAAAAAAATATAATTTATTTTTGCTCATTTCCAGCTCTGCAGTATTAATAAACCAGGGTGCAAAAGATACTTCAGAGTCTGCTCGTCTTACTGTCACTGTACCTTAGGGTGTTGTCTAATCCCAAAGTCTTCACACTGAACGCCAATACTTTATTCCCAGCAGTCCTGAATTTTGAATATGAAACATTGCATCTTATGCTCATCAGGGATAGGTTTTATTGAATTTAGTGTTTGGTAACAAATATATTGCCTCCCATCTCCTACAGTGGTTTGACACTGAGTAAGACAGAGATGCAGAGTTTTTTCTTTGAGCTTTCTACATTTGGCATTTAGTTCTGAAATATTAAGAAGTTTTAAACAAAGGTAACTGGTATGTTTTGGATGTTGGAAGTAACCCAATTTGAGATGATGTCAACTATTTTATGAATGAGCCAAAGTGTCTTGAAGTTGAACCCGAACAAAATATATTAGCCATGATCTGTACTTATCCTACATTTCTTCTTTGTTCACTGTGATAAAATGCTTCACAAATTACAGTATGCAAAAGGGGGACATTTTACAAAGTCCTACACCATTATTCAAGTATGAATGATTGATTGAGGATCACCATTTTTCAGTCTCTTAGTAAGTTTTAGTTTTTTAATGTTTTAAAAACAACTTCTGCCTAACCTTATTTGGCAACATCTATTGTATTTGCAACCCTACATTTAGGTGCATTTAAATGAAACATGACGCACAATTCACTTTAGAAGAAATGCTGATAGTAACTGTACCTTCTGAAAAATCATCAAGATTCACCTACAGTACCCCATCCTGCTCTTTTTAATTGCTAGCTTCCTTGTTCACTAGGGTATCTCACAGACAGCACAGTTTCCCCCTCCAAATGCAGAAGACAATAATCCAGTCCTGAGAATATCCAGTGTTGCCCTTGTCTGATGTCTACCCAGTTTTTTTACCGTCTCTTAATGTAAGAGCAATCTTGTGTTGCATGCCCCTGTACAAAGCTTTTGACCTTTGCTTTTATTTAGCTGCCTACTTATGTTAGTTGCAGCATATTCAGGCAATACAGGTTAACTGCGGCCAAGTTTTTTTCCTTTATTATCCTACTTGTCCTGGTTCTGTCTAGCTGTACCAGTTATTCTAACTCTGCTTTTTATTTTTCAAATATGTAGTGGTTTCACCATGTAGGTATACTAGGTATTCAAGTGTATATTAGAACCGCTGTAGATTGCATGAGCTACGTTTAGTTAGAAATAAGTTTCTACTTGTCTAGTATATTCTCTCTGATTTTACATCCTTTTCTAAAAGGGGATTTCCTTTTATGGAGCACCTGTTAAGAGGATTTAAGCAGTTTGCAAACCCTAACATGAGAATGTTTTAAAATCTTTACATACAGTCATTTAGCAATAAGCATTTGAATAATTGGCCATTAAAAGCACAAGATAATGTTATGTCAAGTTTATTCGGTACTTAGAAAATATCCATGGAATTTAAGATGACATAGTGCCAATTGTTTTAATTTGTCATGGATAATTTCATGGTTTCTTTCTGAAGGTATGGAACATTTGTACACTCTGATGGAGAGTGACAAGGGGAGTAAGGAAGATTTTGGTTAAAGGCTGAGCTTCAGTGTGTAGCAGAATTATTATATGTGGGTCATTTTGTGATGGTCCTACCCTTCTTTAAATTCATCTTGACTATGATTGGATGTTATCAGTTGTATATGGCTTCTCTTTTGTAACGTGGCATGTTGTTTTTGATGAATAGGTAGAAACAGGACAGCTATAGTAAGAAACACCTTACTCCCACCACTAGTATTTAGTTCACTCTTTTTTGATAATCCTTTTTAGAAGCTTACTCACTGCTAATGTTTTTCAGTCTAATCATGTTGGTTACTGTGAATTTACAACACTTTGCCCTGGTTCCTCGCTGTTTGGATGCTTTATTTATCTCTTTGCCTTGCTGTGCTTTTGTCTTAATTGTACAGTGCTTGATTACACTTAATTGTGCTTTACTATGGTATTCCACAGTAAACAATTGTAGTGCAGGTGTTGCTAGAATAAGCAGAAGTAACATGAAATAAGATGTGGAAACAATTCAAACAATTTAGAGAAGTTCCCTGTGCTGCAAATGAGCTTGTTTTAGTCTCGTTAATGGAAAACAGACTGCTTAACAGCTGTCTCTAAAGAATGATTTATTTTTTAAATAATGCTGAAGTCTTAATTATACCTCGTTACTCTTCCTCCTGCCCTGTGTGTCAATGTCTTTTGCTGCACTGAAGTAAGTCAGGTCACCTATTTCAGGCATTAAGCAACGTATAACAAACAAGAAAGCTAACATCGGCGAGTTTATTTTAAATTGTTGAGCATCTTCCCTGCTACTCCGTTTTTTGCTATTACTATTAAAAAAACTTTACTATTAAAAAAACAAACTCCATTTATTTTTTTTATTTCACTGTAGGCATGCATTTATTATAAAATGCAGATATAAAGTATGGATTTTATTTTATGCAGTTTTATTAAACTGCCTGTGAGTTTGCATGCAGATCTCTTTGTGTTATTTCAGTTGGTGTAGGCTGAACTGTGATTGTCTGTTGTGCATTTTCATAAAATATTTACTGCCTAGCTATTTGTACATTCATTTTTCTCAAGGTTAAAAAGAAATGGTGAGGTGGCATGGTGTGACACAAATCTTTCAAATTGTCGGTTTAGGAGCCCTTCCAGGCCAACAGTGCACAAAACAGAACCTAAAGGGATGCCAGTTAATTACCACATACCAAATTTGCCTACGCAAGTCAAGTTGTTAAATCCTTTCAGCCATCGGATGTGTTTAAATTATATTCAAGTTTTATGCGGTCTTTTCACAGCTCCGGAGCAGAAACCAGAGGATGTCATCCAGAAATATATGGAGAAAGTTGATGTGCCCCCAGAAGAGGTGAGATTGCAGAGGGTCTAATTTAACATTTACAGCTAAAAAAAAAGCTTAGCCAAAGTTATTCAGAGCCTTCTTGTTCAGTTTAAAAAAGTGCGTCATTTTGTAATTTTATTTGGTTTGGAGGGATGACTGTAGACTGTGCTCTCAGGGATATTCAGAAATTTCAATAATTCTTGTATCCATCTCCCGATCTTTGTTTTTCAGTGATTTTATACCTGACTTGCTTCGAAAACTTAATTGTCATTATGGTTAAGTCTTTGTCAGGTTCCTTGGTCTGTTAGTAAGTTTGAAACAGGAAATCAGAAAAACCACTCTTATTGTATAAGGAGACTAGACAGCTGTTTGTGTGGCTCATTAAGTTACTTTTGTGGGCCAGAATTTAATTTGAGTATTTATGCGATCATGCCTTTAACATTTTTCAATCATAATTTTGTATTTAATTTTTTTGTATTTTAATTTGAAGGTGTGGAGTGTGTATAAGAAAGTAAAAATTAACTTCTTCAAAGTATTATGGGCACACAGTGAAAATCTATATACTTTTCCAAGGCCCTGTATGTAAATCATAGGCTCAAACCCTCACCACGTCTGAAGCTTGCATTCTTGTCATACTCTAATCTAAGTGATTGTAGCATCCTAGCCTCCAGTGTAGCTTGGTAGTTTTTCTGCATTATTCCATTTAAAATTTGGTGTGAGACAGACTAATTTCCATAAATCTCAGCTGCTGTAAAAATAGAACATTTGTCTGTAAAGCTCCTATTTTGGGAGCACCTTACCCTCCCCCCCCCACGCTACAGAGTCTCAAGTCTTTTTAAGTTTTCCACCTAAAATAGGAGCATATGTGTGAAGACACAGCAGTCTCACACTCTGTCAGCTGTCTATCCAGTCTCTCAGTGACGATACACCATCTGGTTCAGTTACAGAGAAGGAGGCGTTTTCTGTGGCCTCAGTCAGGGCAGATCTTACTTCACCTTAGGCCTGGGCCATCACTGACTTCGGAGATTGTGACCCCATATTTCCTTCGCAAGCAGTGAAGAGTTGTGCTCAGCAGAGCATTGCGCTCAGTCTGCATTTCCTCTTGCTCATCACACATACTGTAGACTGCATCTGTAGTGATACTTTTTTGTGTCCTTGCCAAACTAGGCTTTTTGGCATTTGTACTCATAGCAGCCTGAGTTGGTTTGCCTTATTGTAGTGGGTAGGTTTTTTTTTACAAAATTAGGTGGAAATGTTCTGGTTGGGCTTAGTTTTTCTTGGTTCAATATTGGTAAAGCTCTGTTGATTGGGTTCACCCACATGGTCGTTTCAAAGTCTCATAGTCCCCTCCAAGAAAAATGTCTCATAGTGGCCTTTTTCCACCTACTATTGTTTACCTGCCTGTGTTTCCATCTGTGTAGCCTGTGAACTTACTGACTTGGGTGGATGGTTAGAGTTCAGTGTCAATGTTGAGCACAAGACTTTATAACCAGCCTGTAGTTGGAGAGGTTTGAGGTTGGGATGCATTTGTACATGCTTTGTGAGATAATCACTTCTAAAGTTGTTTAAAAAACCCAAAGAAACTGCTTTTAAGTATGTCTGTGAAAAGGTGTAAAGGCTTTATGAGGGTTTCGAAAACAGGGAATCATGAAGATCTACTGTTAATACTGTAGGTGTCATGAATGTGAAAACTCATATGAAAGAGGACACTTAAAGGACATTTTATGATGCTTTTCTTGGCACATTTGTCTCTATGTACCTGCCCTTAATATTCGTTTGTTATTCTTTTAATGATCTAATAAGCAGGCTGTGTACATTGGTTGCAGTTTATTAAGCAGGTTGTTTTTAAAGCAGGTATTTCCTGCAGTCCAATCTCTGTTGTGCGGATGGCCGCAGTTGGTGGCCATCGCACTGGGGGAACAGCTGTCACAGCACCGTGCCGTGGGACCAGTCTTTCTGCACAACTTCCTTGTTCTCCAGCCCTTTCCTCTGGGGTTTCTCAAGCCAGTCCCTTCTCGGTTTCAGGACTGTCTCATCTGTATGGAGCGGCTGAGCTGTGCTTCGGGCTACGACGGGGTGTCGGAGAGCCCATCGGTGTCACCCGGCGCCGTGGGCAAGTTCACCAAGTGTGGGCACTTCCTGCACCTGCTCTGCATGCTTGCTATGTATAACACTGGAACCAAGGTGCGCTACTGAAATGCTGCTGTTAAATAAGAATATGCCTCTGATCGGACAGTTTGGTCAAAGCTTGCTGCCCGCTTCTCCGGTTGATGCATTTTGTTTCCAGCTGTGGTCCAGCCTGTTTGGCGATGTCCCCATGATAATTTGTTTAAGCTGTTTTTTGCCAGAAATAGCTAAATAGCTTGGTATACTTGAAGCTGAGAAAATGAGGAAATAGTGTTTGAAATGTAATTAATATAGTGTACTGCTCTTTTAACCTTATTAAAACACGGGTATTGTTGAAGCAGTGATCTAATACTAAACCGTAGTAAGTGGGTGCATTAATATATCTTAGGAACAAGTAATAGGTTTATTCCATGCTGAAAAAAAGAAGAAAGAGAACACAACGTTTCAGCCGTGGAGCCTTCTTCAGGTGTCACACCTGAAGAAGGCTCCACGGCCGAAACGTTGTGTTCTCTTTCTTCTTTTTTTCAGCATGGAATAAACCTATTACTTGTTCCTTTGCAGCCTACGCATGCTGACGCAGCTACCCACCTTAATATATCTTAGCTGTCTTTGGTCGTGATCAGTAATTGGGAACTAAATATAAAAAAAGATAATGTATTGAACTTTAATGGAATTGTACTGGAGATCTTTTCACATTCCACATTCGTTTTGCTTCATTACTGGCTTTTGGAGACAAAGAAGCTGGATTAATGTTGTGATATTTTGTTAATGGGCATCAGGATGGCAGCCTGCAGTGCCCATCGTGCAAGACAATCTATGGAGAGAAGACAGGGACGCAACCAAAGGGCAAGATGGAAATCTACCGGATCCCCCAATCGCTCCCAGGCCACCCTGATTGTGGTACCATACAGATCATCTACAACATCCCACCAGGAATACAGGTAAGCAAGGCGGTTCTGGAGAGCCAGGTGGAAATACATCTTGCATGTGTAGAAAAGTAAAGTTGCTTTTCTTTTTAATGTGAGTAAGCATAGACTTATAAATAAAAGACCTCCTGATCTTAAATTTAAGGAAAAAACTTCATTGGAAGCACTTCTAAGCAACACCTCTGGTATTTGCTGCTGGGGTGCAGTAATTATTTCAAGGTTTCATTATAAATATGGAATGAATCAGAGATGAGAAATTACATTTCTTTCAGTGGTAGGATTAACACAGCTATTGATAGGGTAGCACTCCACAGACAGGTCAGAGTTAACCAAGAATCTCCCAGGCAGCTCTTCTATGTCTTGGCAGGGCTGATGCACCTTAGGGGTGCATTACCCTGTTGGTAAGAAATTCAGTCTGGACCTCTGAGCTGTATGACTCACCTGCACTCCAAGTGGAGCTGTCCAGCTCCCGAGTGACTCTCTTATTCCCTTGCTGTGCAGGCTATTCCTTTGTCACTGTTTGTTTAAAGGATTGTCCTTCCACTTCTCTGCTCTAGGGGCCGGAGCACCCCAACCCAGGCAAGCCGTACTCCTGCAGAGGGTTTCCTCGCCTGTGCTTCCTCCCCGACAGCGACAAGGGCAGAAAGGTGAGGTCTCGGGGGTCTGCCTGGGGGTGCAGCGCTGCCCGTCCAGTCGCCTCCCTTCAAATCATCGGAACAGCTGTGTCAGGAGGGCATGCTGACAAAATTAAAAAAGGTCATTGATCACGAGTTTGGACTGTATCTAAACTTCAGGCAAATTTTCCTTGCTTCTCAAGGCACTAAGTGCCTTATCAAGCCCGCTGTTGGAACGAAGTTCTTAATGTCGTATTTTTAAATTAGGAGCCACAAAAGACTTAATTTATAGGCAGGAAAGTTCTGAAATTAGATTATTCCAAACTTACTCCCTTTCGTACAGTATGTACCAACAAATCAAAACTCTGCATCCATGGGTTTTGTGTGATGAACTGGATCCCACGATTGCCACCTTTTTTCCACGTTTCTTACTAGAGGTGCTAATTGCTGTGAAGGTTCACAGCCTTTCTTCAGTGTAGAGTGTGAAATCGCCCAGCTCAGCATTGTTCTTATCCCTGCTCTTCTTCCTGTGTAAGAGCTCATCACCCCAGCTGTGACTCACCCAAACATGCAGTTTTTCTTCCTGATGTTTCCGCCTTCTGGGATTATATTGTAATGTGGAATCCTTTTCAGATCTAAATTGCATTCTTCAACTTTGTCCTGGTCTCTTTCTTTTTTCTTTAAGAAATCCAAGCTTCCATTTGAATACCAGTATACTAAGCAACTGATTTGCTCCTCAATTAATCTGAAGAGATTTGCAGGAGCTGCTATAATTTTCTGTCCTTGGCTTTTAACCAATTCTGATTCCCGTTAATGATAGTCGGAGTCCATCACTGACTCCAGCTTTTCTCTAGGCTTGTCGTTGCTGTTTCTCTGTTGGCATCACAGCCATTGTCTCTCCATACCCCCAGCAGGGGAAACGGCCCTCCTCTGTAAAGCTCCTCTGTGCCCACAGGTCCTGGAGCTGCTGAAAGTGGCATGGACTCGTCGGCTCATTTTCACAGTGGGCACCTCCAACACCACTGGGGAGCCGGACACTGTAGTGTGGAACGAGATCCACCACAAGACGGAGATGATGTCCAATGTTTCGGGCCATGGCTACCCTGACCCCAACTACCTGGACAATGTCCTGGCTGAGCTGGCAGCCCAGGGCGTCACCGAGGCCTGTCTGAAGCAACCGTGATCCACTGGGCGGACAGAGGTCATGGGGTTGATGGCTGTGAACTGATAGGAAAGGACACGCGTGGACAGGGAATACCGCCACTGCTGACCTATCCTGCTATTTGCAACCACGTCTTTTGTCTCCAAATCAGGACTTTCTTTAAGAAATGAGCCAGTGAGAAAGAAGTTTAGATTACTGATGAAACCTGTTGTTCACAACTGTTCAACTAATAAATGTAAAAATGTTCGTGGAACACATCTTCAGTAGGTAAAATATAAATGCATATATGGGTTGCCTTACAATGTTATTAGGTTTTATAGATATGTACATTATAGTGTGTGTTCCATGTTTTTATACAGCTGTCACGTGTTGAACTTCTAGAATGGCTCTCCTCCTACCTATGCATTTTAACCAAATGTTTCCCCCCCCCGGACTCCTTAAACTATTTTATTTTCATTAGAGAAAAGGGGGCTTTTTATGCTATCCTCAGAATGTTTCCGTCACTTGAGATGCTGCTTCACGGAAAGTTGGGCTTGACTAGGGTCTTTTCCTCTATTGCTCAGAGGTTCATAGTTCTCTCAGTCAAAGAGCACTTTGTCTTCAGCTACTGTGTCTTGGGCTGATTCAATTTGCTCTGGCTCTTATAAATGTTTTGCCTTTTCCCTTGTTCAGTCTTGTTTGTGCTGCAAACCCAACTGAGCAAATTAATCCCAGCGGCAGTGCATTCTGTATGACCTTGTAAAGTAGACAATGTGTATAAGTGATTGGCAGAGTGGAGCGCTGATTTTGGATGTGGATTGGTGAATTGTCAGTCACTACTGATAGATATAAAAAAACCAAGTGCCGATACACTGAATTCAGACAGGGTGTTGAATAGTCACAGACACATAGAGGTACAGATACATAAATGTTGTGAACTACTGCAGAAGATGATGTATAATGAAAAAGCTTTTTTGGAATATAAGATAATAAAGATGAAAAGAATATAAAATGGATCTCCACTGTTGCTTGTGTTTGTAGTAGGGCACCATATGTCTGTAGGTCTCTGGTAGTGACTTGTGTGGAGTTAATGAGATTTTACTTGGTGGTGCCAATTTCATTTTTCTCCTTGTACCATGATTGTAAAACTGGAATGACCAGACCTAGTGCTGAATGGCCAAGTCAGAGTTGACTCCAGTTGATCAGAAAGCGCAAGAGTCATGAAAAAGGCAGTGAATGACCACTCATCTTGATACCTGGCCAATGTTCCCTTCCCTGGTATCATTGGAAAAAATAAGTAAGCTGCACTTCCTCATTTAGAGCTCTCTACTCATCTGAGCCATGGTGTTGGGGGATATGGTGTGGGTTTGGAGTTCTACTGCTGATGTGATCAATTACTGGACAGCATTTCTTGCGTGGTTGGCTGACTTTATTTTAGGAGTCTTAAATTATTGTGCATCTGAATCCCAGACAATGTAAACCGGTCTCTTCATATATAAGAGAATATGGGCAAAATGCATCTTTAAAATCTGACAATAAACACAAGACAATTTGGAAGATTGTAGCAGGGGGATGTGTGTCCAGCTGCACTCATTTCTACTACTTCTTTTTTCACAAGTTGTTTAGCCAGGGGGAGCTTGGTGCAAGCATGGTTCTGCATCAGTTACATCACTGTCTTGCCTGAAAACCGGAAGATTGTGGCCACAACCAACAAGTCATAGATAGATAGATACTTTATTGATCCCGTGAGGGAAATTGCAGTGCAACAGCAGCTTAACACACACAACACAGCCACAGTGTAACGATTATATACTAATAGTACAATACATACAATACAATACAATACAAGAGTTACTCACAGTCCGGACACACAAGAGGAAACTAGAACAGAACAGTACACAGAAAATCGTATCACACGTATGAATATAAATATAGATGTATATATAGAGAGTTCATCATCATTCCAAAGAGTCCATTCTTCAGCTTGTGGGTGAAAAAGGACTGCTTCTCACCTGTAGCTGAAGGACTTCCAGATATCAGTGCAGACTTTACCGATAAGACATAATGTGGAAAAAGGGCTCAGGAGTAAATGTGAATTGCTTGCCACAGTGCCTGGGGGACATCCCTTTCTCCAAAAGATCATCTTCTAGAAAGGGAATTGTAACCAACGTTGTTATGTTTCAGTGATCAGCATGGATTTGAATCCTACATGATCTAACTGGCCTTACTGTACCCAGATAAGTGTAGCACTTAATTATTGTGGCACTAAGCTTGGTACACGTATGGCAGCATTGTTTTAATCTTTTACAAGCTGACAGTGTCAATTTTCTTTAATTGCACACACTTTTCAATTTCAATATTCCCTTTGAAGTGGTGTTGCAGAATTCCCAGTGTCCTCTAGGTGGTACCCCATCATCAGACTACACTGAGGCACTTGCTCACATTCCTCATCTGCCTGTCAGTGCGGAGAACATAGTCAAACATTAATCTTGAATGTTAATTAACCCTGGAAAGGATCCTATGCGTGAAATTCAGAGCAGAAACAATAAATGCTGAACTAATCATATGGGTAATTAAATTATGGAGCATAATGGATCGTAATTTCATGTTTTCCCATGGTTAGCAGCCTTTTAAGTCATTCCCAATTTTAACTCTTGTCATTCAGTGATATGCATGTTAAATAAGGCTGAATAAAGAGCCATACAGGTGGAAGTAAAATACTAAAAGGCCTTGAACACAAATCTACATTGTTGGGGGCTTACTGCCCTTTTAAGTAACATGTTGAAACTGTGAACTTCAGATCTGAGCTTTCCACAAACACCATTGCAATACGGTGAGCAAACAAATACTGAGACAAGATCAAGGAGAGTGATTTCTTACTTGGCCTGTGCAATGCTTGAGCTGACCGCCTTTGCACAAAAAGAAATATAATCTGTTGCTTCTGCTCTAGCTAGCACTCCATCTACTCGACAGAGACAAATTGTCTCTGAAACGGCCTCTGAGGGCTGAATAAACTGCAGAGCCCTCGTCATGCTTTACAAATAGACACAGAGCCTTGTTCAATGTTGAACTGCACAAAATCAGGCAAGAGAATCACGCTGAAAGCTTCATGTTGAGGCTTGTTAATCTCCAGGAACCATCTCAAAATCATATAACGCCTTCTCTTACTACCTTGAGATTGGTTCCAAATACAGTATCTCATTACTGTCTGCAGTAGAAGCATTAACATATTGTAGCTAGTTCAATTCTTGCAGTAAAGTGTTTCTAGTACTAAGTATTACTTGTCTCTTTGTGCTGTCAAAAACCTCTACAATAGGGTGAAAAGCCTGCCTGGTAGATCTGAGTGCATGTTCTGCATCAGGTTGCCAGGATGACTATTACAAGAGCAAAGTAAAGGACATTTATGTCTTTTGTGTGTGGTGTCTGTTTATGCCCTTTGTCTGCGTGTTTAGATTGTTCTTCCCCTGAGCTCCATGCTTGTGGTTACACGCCTCTGGTTGAAGATCTATGCCACCAGGTAAGATAAGGTTTGCCTGTTTGTGCAAGAGCCCCACCTTTTAGTGAATGTTCCAGTTGTGATCATATGAACACTGTACCTGTTTTTCTACATGCTGTCTAGCTGGATAATTGTGGCCAAGATTCAGGTTTCTGATCTCTGATTTTCCTAAGCTTTTTTATGAATTTGCTTTTAATTTTTGAACAGCCATATATGTGAAGAATCTAGAATTGTGTTGGTATTCTAACACAGATAACACCCTTCAGACTCTTTGTAAAGTGTGAAAGGCAAAAATAAAAGCAGATTCCTAACACTCAACAGAACACTGTAGCCTCACAATCTCCAAAGTGATGAAGATTCCCACTTGACCCTGAAAGAGAAAGCATTCACACTTTTGAGCTGGAAATACAATTTATTGACAAATTATTGACAAGTTTTTTTTCTGAAGTGGGCTGTGATTGTACAATGGACATCGATAACAGAGTACTTGTCCTTAACTATCCTTAACTGATGTACAAATGGGTGGTACCTTAAAATTAATAGAAAAAAATGTGCAAAAGAAAGAAGTTAGTGCTTCAATTCCATGACACCCAGTAACACAACACTTCTCAGCTGATTCCTCGCTGACATACCCAGTTATGACTGGCACTCGTGGTGTTGGGAACAATGATAGACCTGAATACCACTCCATACCTTGGCTGACGCTGAATGGCTCTGCTCAGTTTCGGCAAGGAGATTAAGTGTATAACCCAAACATGGAGTGAGTCACGTCCTGGAAAGAGCTTCAGCTCATTGTTTCAGTTGTTTTGCAGTCAGTTTTTATTCAGAGTGGGACAGGTAAAGGAGAAGTAGTAACCTAGATCTTTTTTCATTTCTTTCATGTGGGGCATGATTTCTAGGACTGCAAGTGTTTTTAACCATGTTTGTTTCACAGACCGCAGGATGCAGACAAGATGAGGAAGTCCTCCCCATACAGTTTTATGTGCAGAAGATCACGGTTTCATTATATTAGTGAGGGTGATAATTTCTGCATTTGTTGCCTAAAACATTTACTTATCTGGACCACAAAATCTGTCTCCAATGCTAAAGGACACCTATAGAACTGGAGATTTGGGTTTAGAAGAATGGAGGGTTAAGGCAGTGAAATAAAAGCATTAGGAATGAGCAGGTATTTAGCTTGATTGCTTAAAGTATTAAAGTGCTTTTTTACATCATCAGTAAACTTCTGCAGCTTCTTCAATCTCACCTGGATGGGGTCTTTTTAGATGTACTAACCATACTAACAGCA